AAAATGGACATTAACATGGCGGGATGAGTGGACGTGGACATTTGAGCTTCTGTATTTGTACATACGTGCACACGTATACGAGTGTTGTGAGCCGCAGGCTTTCCTGTTGTTATTTCTGTTCTTCTAAAGTTGAGCAGGCCAGACTGACCCATATTCACAGAATCATTCTATTTTAAACCTCGAAAGACAAACCGAGGCAACAGCTTATGAAAACAGTTCTAAAATGATTGTACGGAGTGATGTCATCCATCATGGTTTTGTGCGTCGGGTCCAGTTGTTCCGTCACTGAGGGCCCCTCGTGTTTTGCAGGAAAGCGCCGTTCGTACACACATACAGGCTGATCCGCTCGACCGAGGGCTGGTTCCTCCAGGTGGGTGAGCATTGCATGTGTCCACACACACACGCACACACACACACGCACACACACACGCACACACACACACACACACACACGCACACACACACGCAGGGTTGTTTGTCATGGTTTTGTGTCATCGGCAGGACCCGGGGGTCAGAATGCAGAGTTTTGGGACTCTTGAAAGACTGATAGAGAATTACAGGCGGAGTTGCGGCTCTGATGTCGGCGTAGCCCCCCTCACACAACCGCTGGACAAAACGCAGCTGCAATACAGCAGCTTTGGACGAGGTATGGCACGCACACCTGTTCCCCTGCAACAACATCTGGTCCACGCAAACCAGCCTCACACACATCGTGACCCGAGTGTGTGTTTCTGGGCTGTAACACGTCCTGTGCAGCTCCCATTCTATCCTAATAAATGCTCCGTGGTTTCCTCCACAGAGTTTTTGTACATGGAAATGTGAATCCGCAGCAGCTCAGTCGCCCATCATCAGTCGGAATAACAAGATGGCGGAAACCAGCATTTGGTGGGAAAGAAAAGGCTCTTTGCACTGGTCACATGTCTCTTCCTCCTCAGTGTCAGTCAGAAATATATATTATATATAGATATAATTATGCTCACATTGTTACAATGTCAGGCCACTTTGCACAAAGTACTCAACGTTGTTTCTCAACGCGTGTGGGAACAAAACCAACAGATGCAAACATATCGCACACAATCTCTCTTCTGTGGTGTTTTGTGTCATGTGAGAAGATATTCTTTGTTTTTCGTCTGCTCGGGAGGCGAGTACAGTGATTCATGTGATGCGTGCGGTTTGTCGTGGATCTCATCTGTTTGAAGCCACTAGCAGAACAACACAGGAAATGTAGAAATGCCGGAAAGGCGGGTCACAAACCATCAGCTCATCCTGAGACTTCATTCGTTCAACGGCAGGTTCTCCTCAGTCCTGCTCGCCACCCGGCCTTCATTTACAGGCCGTGTTGAGTGTTTAGTGCTTTGAGTCCTCGGCCACTATTCCAGCCTACGTCTGACAATACAAATAAACGTTGATGTTTCTCTCTGACCTCATGGGAAGTACTTTTTGGCAACGAAGATGTTAGATTCATGGTGCTGCGACAGGCCGATCTGACCTCATCTGATCTGATCTGACCTCACCGCTGCCGTCTACGCTTCCCCTTTGCTGTTCTGCCGTCGCCTGTCAATCCATCACATTGTGAGCTGATGTGTGCTTGAAATCTCTCCTCCTGGATTTGAAAATCATCTCTGAGTCTCAACGAGACTAAATTTGCTTTGATTTTGGTGTATTTATGGAACGGCGTGAACGAGGTGCACTTATACGCCACTGCCCAAAATGTCAAACTTGAATGGGTTTAATATTGTTTCGTTTACGCTTTGTTTCATGCGTTTGTAACCCCAGAGCAGAACACACACAATAAAGAGGGATTTTCAATTTCAATCCAGGTTCGATGAGGAGACTGCTGAGTAAAAAAAGTGTCCTTCCACCCTTCTGTGCACAACCAGAGTCAAGTCGAAGGGACTCACTGTGACGTCCGATGTGAGGGTCCTCTTGGTGGTGGATGGATGAAGATGATGAAGATGTGGCAGAGCGGACAGTCTGGTTCCAGTGATGGAGCTATCAAACCAGCCAGGATATTAAATGTTCAAAGGTTTCATCATCTTCCCCGAAACTCCCGACATTGAACGGCTCATGGCTCAATATTCAAACTAAATTTGTTCATTTTTTCGATGAATCATTTCTTTTCTGCTCTCTCTTCACTTACTTCAGTAAAACAAAGAGGGTCTTTATAGAGACAGATGATCACTTAAATAAATCTCCGTGCACGGAGTGACAGAGATTGACTATTAAGGGAAAGATGAACTCTTTTCCCGGTTAAACAGGAAAATGTTACGACTCATCTAATTTACTTATTGATGCATTTTTTAAATCGTTGTAATAATGTTGTGTTTTGCTCCGTGGAGGAGAGAGGACGCGCCGGGATGCATGTTGAAGTGCCCCTGAGCAGGGCACTCGACCCCCAGCGGCTCACCGGGCAAAAGCTCGACCGCGGGTTCCAAAGTCGCTTTGGATGAGAGCGTCAGCTAAATGACACGTCATCCTTCTTTAGGCTCAAAGCGAGTGAACCATGAACCACTGAATGAAAACACTTCAAATACGCATTTGGTATTTTACTAGATTACTTTATTATTTAACTTTATTACACACATTTAATATAAGCACAATAAATCCATGCTTCAATACCAGCTAACAAGCCAGTTCAGCCAGAAGACTCATCACTGAATAATGTTCCACTTGTTTAAATTAACGATATATTAAAAAGTCCACAAGACGACGACTAAACATCTGTGCAGACTTCTGCTTATCGCTGAACGGACGGAGGACACTCTTCACAGTGAAACCTTTTCCTCAGACAGTTGGACTTATGTCTTTTCAGGCTTCTGCTCCGTCTCCAACACCTTAGTGATCTCCGGCTCAGCCGGCGCCGCAGGGTGCCAGAGCTGCACACAACGCAAAAACACACGAAACGTCGGCGCCGTTTGCCGTCTTTGTGCTCGGGCGGTGAAGTGCGTGCGGTACTTACGTTGAACGTGTCCCCCTTCTCCAGGATACCCTTGTATTTCAGCGGGGGGCGAGGGATCGGAGGGAACAGGACGCTACACACCCTGAAAAGCACACACACAGAATGAGCTCATTCCATTTCTGTTCAAACAACCAATAGTTGAGCCAATGAAGAGGAACCGCCGCAGAAAGGAAAAGGAAAACATAAGCACATCCTTCCTCAATGTTCATTACCTTTCAGCTTGTGTTTTTACCCTGTTTGGCTATTGGACACGTGGGCGTTACTGTAGGGTGGAAGATTTGCATTGACTTCTTACTTCTCGTTTCTCTCTAACTCCCCCTGTTCTGTTGACATCTCGGTTACAGCGACAAATACCTCTGATGGCGTAGCAGCAGCAGCCCGGCCAGGAGGATCATGGGTATTCCGAGCGAAATCGAGAAGATCACCAGCGTGTTGAGTCTGTAAACCAACGGTTCCACCTCTACCAACGGACACACAGAGAAAGATAATACACACTCCCCCAAACCTGCGCTTAAAGGACGGAATCAAGCAGCACTCACTTATGGGGTCGCTCCAGACGCTCCAGTGGGACGATTCTTGGCAGTCGATGGTCTTCCTTGTCCTCAGCGTCACGCTGTAGTTGTAGGTGGGGTCTGCATTGGTCTCTGTGTAGGACAGCGTCCCGTGCACCAATTTGGGACTTTCCTGTTTGTGGACGATAGAGTTAAACTCGCAGTGGTTGACACGGTTTAGCCTGTTCGGGTCTATGTGCAACAGAAGACAATGCAGTAAAGGGTACACTACAACGTCTACAGCATTCACACGCGCCTACCTGGTCCCCCAGGTCCAGCTGGTATTGAAGGCAGTCGTCATTACAGACTGTGCGACGTTGGGGCAGATCCCACGTCACCAACAGGCTTCCATCTCTAAACGAGGCGGTGATATTTTGGGGTGGCGGCAGAACCTCTGTGGCACAAACAACCCAAATAGAATGGAAAACATGAACGAGAGTTCAGTGGCTAAACCCAACCCGGGCATTCGGCTCGCTGACGTTCTGAGGGATTTATCTGCTCTCAGGGACTTTTGCTCACAGATCTTCCTCTGGTACGTTTGGGGGATTTGTAGGTTGAGCTTATTTTGCTTCCATGGGCCGCTGGGTGATACGTTCAGTGTGCTAACAGGACTTATCTTCTCTGCCAGCTAATGTTAGTATGCAGTCCGCCGGGGGACGAGGCTCCAGATCTAAAGCAATCTGGCACATTGTCAGTTTGACATGTGCAGCTTTGTCTCAGATTGTGATCTCGTAATCTACAGCGTGCCCCTGGACGGGGAAACAACGCCTTAAAACAATGACCAGATTGTGGCTGAATAATACAGCATTCAGGGGACGTGTAACTTCTCTTCAAACTGGACTACAGTTTTTGCTCCCTAGTGAGAAGGGCTTTGACCAGACGCCAGCCGTCAAGGAGCTCAATGCCGTCTACTGCTGAGGTGTAGCCACAGATATTACACCTGACCTTGGGTAAGTTGTGTGCGTTGTCCTCAACAGTCAAGATATGAGAGACATTAGTGAGTCACATTAATATACAAGTGCGTATTTAATAGTGATCCATAGTGGCATTGCTTGTTGTGGATTATTTGGGGGAGTTTCTAATGAACCTTTTCTAATCAAAGGGCCACCTGCTCAACCAGCGACTTCCAACGGACGCCATCAGGATAATCAACTACTGAAAGACAGTGTTTATCATTACCAAGAAAGTCCATGCTGTATTCTGTGGTGTAGACCGTCCAATTGCCATGCAGGGTTATGTTAAAGTGGAGGATCACGTACAACATCACATTGTGGTGCAGAGTGAAAGACAAGGATCCGACTCTCTCCTCAGACGAAAGGTTCGTATGGTTAACCTCGCCATCGCCGTCGCAGATTCTGGGAAAGAAATAAGTTACACGCTCAAAACAACTCATACATTTGGAAGAACCCGTTTTGCAAACATACATTAATTCTCAGACACCCTTTTTTTAAAGTACGGCGCATGGGTACAGTTTAAATTAAGAAAATAATAAAGACCTGATATGGACAAAGAGCTGAGCGTCCTCGTGTAAAGTGTGGAATGACCACGAGCAGTTGAGTACATTTGTTGGGTGAAACAGGCAGCGAAAGTTATCGTTCACTTCAGCCATCTCGACATTTTCCTTCCCCGAAGAAAACTTTGGTTCAATCTGACAAGGAACAGAATACAGAAATGAAACATGAATGCGTGTGTATTTAGAGCAGAACATGTTCACTGAGTCCACGTTGAAAGAACATTTGCATTCTCACGTTTCCCGGATCCCTGCTTTCCATATCACAGACATCTGGATCCCCGGCTTCCGTCTCTGTTAAAAGACGACACGTTATCTAGAGTTATAACACAAAGGAAAACTCAAACGGATTTATTTTGTGGGGGGAAATGCAACAGCGCCCTGATGAACGCCAGAGGGCCAAATATCTTCTCTGAATCTAACACAGCGTACCGAAGCAGAGCGGGGAGAGTTTTCACTCACCACCAGGTTGTGAGACACACAGAACCAGCAGGCAGGCCCACAGCTCCGGATGAGCAGGAAGCAGCTTCATACCTACGGGCGTTCACACACACACAAAGACATAAAACACCACTGAGAAGCTGATGCATCAATAAGTCATTTCCCGGCTCTTTACTTCCCCTTTTAAAATGCTTAAATTAAGTGGCTGACGTCTCAGGCGGAAATAATCACACACAAAACCGCTTTCTGCGTAGGAATCTTGATTCTCCTCAAGCTTCATGGTAAAAGAGAGTTTAAACAACATTTCCACTGCCCAACGTTACTTTTGCACAAAACAGATGCTGTTCTTCGTTTTGTTCACAAAACGAAAGGAGCAAAGGTTAAACCCCCGACTAGGTAGAAGCTTTCTTCTGAATACAAAATACGGTTTAATTAACGTTGGGTGCATATTGTCGAGTATCAATATTGTAAAACAACAACGACGGCGAGCTGTCACCTCCCGCTGTGTCGCAGCGGGTCGCTGCTGTGGCTCTTCTCTCCTCCGCGCGTCACCACAACTCGATCGAGTTTAAAAATAAAAAAGCATTTAATTACTAACAAAAGAAAATATAGTTACAAAGTGAAATACGGTATACGAAATAGAGGATCTTCCTTTCCCAGTCGAAAGTCTACAAAGTTGTGGCTGCGAAAGATTCGGTCCCTTCTTCTTCTTCTTTTTCTTCTTCGTCTTCTCCTTTTTTTCTCTTATTCTTACTCTTTTCTCTTATTCTTCTTCTTCGCTTTTAATTGGTATCCATTGCGCATTACCGACACCTTCTGGAAGGGAGTGTGGCCTGAAATGACAGTTCTACTGTACCCTTTCATGTGCTGTGTCACTTTTGTCTTTGCTAGATATTTAAATATTCTCCTATAAACTATATGCTGGGAATTAAGTTTCATCAGTTGTGTGAACTCAGACCTAATCTTTTCTTTCTGCAAAACGTCTCTGAGCCTCTCCTTGTAAGGATTGTAGTGTGGACAATGGATTATGGATGTTCTATTGTTTCCCGTTCACTGCAATGCTGACAGGGGCATGTTGGATGTGTCCCCAGTATTCTATACAGTGTAGTATTGCTGTTAATTCTCCTCTGAATAGTGATCATGTATTCTTTTGCATAATTGGGTATAACAAATGCTACTCCTACTCTTCCATTGATTGTTTAGGATGCATCAGTGTGAATTATTGAGTGGTGTTATTAGTTATTTGCGACCAGCTACATTTACCCATTTTGGTTGCAGAAAGTGACGGTCAACTTCTGCCTCCTTAACGTACCATGGTGGAACTGCCGGGATAAGTGTGGGACTGAGAAGTAAATGATCAAACTGGATTCCCTTCACTGCGTCTTCTATGATCTACCCTGAGCTATTCTTTTTGTCTCCTCTCCTGACAGGTTGTAATAGGTTTTGGGCCGGGAAAGATGTTTAATGACCGCGTAATAGTAATTTTTTGGTAACTGCGTTCTCCTGATGTCCGGTGGCATTTTGTTGCAGCGAGTCTTGGTGCTTGGTGTTGAATTATATGCATTTTTGCTAGCCATTTTTTTGCTGCTGACTGACACTATATAGTATATATATATATATATATAGTCTATAGTGGCCCTGAAGCGTCCCGTGTAAATTGTTTAAATAGACTTCCTGTGCGCTCCCCACTCTCTTCCCCTCAAACACCTAACAAGGTTGAGTACTTTTTTGAATTTTTCAATAACCTTTAATATGCGTTGTTTCCAGGTAAGCCTTTTAACAAACCAGAGTCCTAAATATTTGAAATAATCTGTTTTTTCTATTGTTCCCCCATGCCGTTTTATGATCTCCTGATCTTGTTTTCTCTTCCAAAAAAGGATATATATTTAAAATCTGCACAGCTGATAACAGCTGGTAACTTTCTCTTTGCTAGAACATCTTCAGAATATTAAATTGGTTGAACTGGACCTTTGTTTAGGATGACTTTCATTCAGCTATACCTGTAGCACAAGTTAAAAAAGCCACATTATGTGGTTATTTCTCCATTTGTCGTTTTAACCACCATAGGTAGACTCTTGTATTGACAGCGCAAAAATGATTTCCTGAAAGGCGTCCAACAAATTATTTTACGTAATTATCAGTAAAAACAACGAACACAGATTACAAGAAAAAATGTCAGTTCCCTGACCGGGAATCGAACCCGGGCCGCGGCGGTGAGAGCGCCGAATCCTAACCACTAGACCACCAGGGACACCACGTGCCGATGCACTGAACTTGTTCATATTATACTAACAAAAACCATGGGATCAACGTGTCGGTATAGATTTATTAACTTCACTTCTTGCGTAACTATTCGGGGTGAGTTTTCGATTACTGGAACTTTTACGACTCTTTGCTGCAAACTGGCGAGTCGTTACCACTCGACGGTTCAAGTACACTTCCGCCTCCATCGGCTCCTTTGTCTGAGTTTGACTACATCCTTTTCCTTTCTACGTCCACGTGGGAAATCGAACCTCAGCGCGTGAAACGCACCGTTTAATAGAATAGCGAGTTCGGGAATTGATAACGAAAGCAGCTGGTCGCCGCTATTACGGGCACGAGGAGCAGGATTTCAGGTACTTTCCTAAGGAAATACTGCGGTCCGCCACTAATTCACACAATGTCCGCTTCCACCGACCGACTCTACTAACCGCGTTTCTTTATGTCTCTATTTGCCAGATTCAACATGTCAGCCAGAGGGAAGGTGAGAAGTCAAAAGACGGCCATTCACGAGGCTCTGTGCGCAGACTACTCTCTAATCCTCAACAAAGTCTTCGAGAAGGGCCTGATCACCCCGCGCGAGTACAGGAACCTCAAGAGCATCAACAAAGAAAGCGTAGAGGGACACGTCATTGAGCTGGTGGACAAGCTCCTGGACAAAGGAGAAGACACCTGCGAAGCCTTCCTGAGCCTTCTGCAGACTGATGACGACATTGTAAAGACTTACCCCGCACTGAGGACGCTGCAGTTGGACGATAGAGGCACTTTACACGCGCCTGTCCAAGATACTTCAGTTGGCCACAGTGGTGCGTGTGTGATTGGAGCTCTGACACATGACTCATATTCAGCCTAATTTATGTTTCACTTTCACAAACTGGACTCCTTAAACACATCAACAGTAGAGTAAAACTACCCCGCCTCACGGCGTGTAATTCTGTTCTCTTCTGATTTCCTCAGATGTTCGGCCTCCACCGAGCAAGAAGCTAAAGAAGGTACAGTATTAACCCAATATTGAAATAAAAAATGTTTGTTATTCTCTGTTCGAGAGACACATGACTTGCTTATTATGCTGTTTTAACATAACAGAGTATTGGCTGTGCAATACAATATAAATTCAAACCAGTAAAGAAAGGCAGATGTACCTCTTCAGTAAAAGTCACTGAGCGGAACGTATTGAAATGCCAGTTTCTTGATACTCTGTTTGTGCCACACATTGTGTCTGGTTCTTCTGTTTTCAGGACGAGCGGTATGAATTGAACAGCCAGCCCAGCGGCCTCTGCGTGATCATTAACAACAAGAATTTCAGCAAACCGAGACGCGGAAGCGACAAAGATGCTGGTGTGTAACACTGAGGACAGATTTACACAACTCTGTTCATTGGTGGTTGAACTGTAACTCTGTTTTTTCTTTGTCATGAAATTTTCCTGCAGAAAGTTTGGGCGAGGTGTTCACCTGGCTGGGCTTCAGGGCGCTGATGTGTAAAGACCAAACCAAGGACCAGATGGAGCGAGCCCTGAAATGCTTTGCTTCTCAGAGCGACCTCGCTCAGCTGCAGGAGTTCAACGTCGAGGAGTGGACCGGCAGCAAATTCACGGCTCTGCAAGAGGCCCCTCGGCATGGCGATGCCCTCATCTGCTGTATTCTCAGTCACGGACGGAAGGGCGTAGTCCTCGGTATTGACGACCAGCCTCTTTCCATCAAACAAATAATTGGAACTTTCCTGCCGCCTGCTAACACAACCCTCACCGGAAAGCCCAAAGTGTTCCTCATCCAGGCCTGTCAGGGAGGGCAAGCACAGCATGGAGTGTTTGAAGAGCTGCAGGCAGATGATTCTCCCTCGCCAACCATCCCAAAGGAGGCTGATGTTCTGGTTGCCGTCGCCACTGTTGAAGATTATTTAGCTTTCAGACACATCACTGACGGGAGCTGGTTCATCCAATCTGTGTGTGAGCAACTAAAGGACGGCTGTCCGAGGTAAATGTCAAACTCGGAAATGAATAAATAGTTATATGATAGTGAAGTATGTTGTATATCTCATGATATGATTGATTAAATAAAATGTATACTGAACCCTTGACTTAATCATAATGTGCCCTGATAGAGATAATAGTATGATTTTTCATATTGTTTTAGGGGTGAAGACATTACCACCATCCTCCAACGCGTGAACTGGGAAGTGGGCAAGAAAGAGGGCTGCAGTGCACCTGGGGCAGGGAAGCAGATGCCTGAAGTTAGGTTCACTCTAAGGAAGAAACTTGTGTTGTCTCCACATCCTAATTGCTTTGTCGCCAAATGATACAACCTCAGTGTACTTGACTCATTTAATGATCTTTAATTCGTTCAGGGAAGAGGCTTTCTTAAAATGTATTATATTTTTACCCAAAGTACTCAATCTTTTGTACAATGTCTTGTATTTTCAACTTTAACCATTTATTTTTATGATATATTATATATTTGTCACAGATTTGTGTCTGGGGTTTTTTTCTGCTCAAAGCACAATTCCATATCTTAATGAGGTTGTGTTAGAAACACACAACCTGAATGCAGAATACTGGTATATGCACAAATAACTTACCAATGTAGGAAAACTATTTCATTGACAGTGAAAATTAAGTACAGTATCTGAGTGTCAAACACAACCAGGTGTATTGGCACATTTAAGGACAAGGTAAAACATTTTGTTTTTTGAAGTTTAAAATAACCCTTTTCAACAATAGCTTAAAAACCCAGATGATTAAACCATCACGCTTTATGAGCAATAACATTTGTCTGAGTGCTCTTGCTTTTGCTTGATTTGTCTTGATTTCGGCTGCGCACTTACATCCGTCTGTACGGTACTGAAGCGACGCGTTGCCACGGCAACTCACGTTTGTTCGTCCACACTTCCGTATCGGGAAGAAAACTGCAAATAGATAAAAAGCTGCGTGAAATAAAAACTCTAAAGCGATCCGTCAACAGACTATTACAACGAAAACAGTCGTGTAGCGAAGCCGTTATTACCGGGACCGTCTGCCACCGAACGACCGCAGCGGCGCTGATGGAAGCCCCGCGGGAGGAGGAGACCCCCGCCGGAGCCGTGGCCGGGATGGAGGGGCTCGACCTCGGAGGGGAGTTGAAAGCATCCCACGAAGCGCTCACGTTCCTGTCCAGTATTGGTGAGTTTGGTATAACGCACGGGACGGGGGGAGGAAGGGGGGACGGGGGGAGGAAGGGGGGACGGGGGAGTCGTGAGACAGGAGGTGCGAGTAGTGGCAGCACCTGGTTTTGGCATCTCCGGTCGCCTCAGACGGTTTCATGGACAATAACACAGTTTATTGTAGCAGCGAGCCATAAAATACAGTAGAAATTACCCAGTGAGCATTTTTTGGTTGAAAAGACGTCTATGTTCAGACCCACATTTTCAACGTGATCGTTTTAATACGGTAATATTTCATCTTCTCTTGTGTGCTTTATCATTATTTATATATGTCCACATTGGTAAGTTTACCACCGATATTATAAATCACGTTGAAACGTCTATACGTGAACGTCTTTTCAACGTTAACAAATAGACGTTGAAAAAACGTTCACTTTTGAACCATTTTGCAAGGCCAGAGACGTCTTTTCAACCAAAAAATGCTCACTGGGACTTTTTAGCCGGTTGAAAAGACGTTGAAATGAGGTCTTCGACGTTCAGACCTCATTCCAACCAGATTTCAACGTTACGTCTTGTGCTCACTGGGTTTGAGTACTTTAAACCTTTTCCATTTTGCCCCCCCCCCTCCCAGAGCCTGCAGAGCTGCTGAAGTGTGTGTTCCCAGACTCTCTGGTGAGCGTGTCAGCGGGGGGCCGTGACCTGGGGAAGTTCAGTGTGACGGTGGAGTTCGCCCAAAGGGTCCAGCAGCCATGTCTGCTCCTGCACGCCCAGAGCCAGGGAACCATCGACGACTCCCCCTGTGGAACTGCAGTGACAGGTGAGGGGAGCAACGGGAGAGCCCCCCCCCCCCCATGGTGTTGTCTGTTTGCACATGTCACACATACCTTTTTCTTCACGTCCTTTATTGTTGTCCACTTAAGCCTACCTAACCAGGGAGCTGGAGGTGCTGGAGGAAGACTACCATGAGTATGTCAAGGTGAGTCATCGTGGCACCTGACTGACTTTGACATCTGTCACTTTTTGCTTTGTTTTCATTTATACGCTTTGAATCCACTTTTCAGCTCGATGGTCACAGTTTGGACAAGAGGTGTCACATGGTGCAGCATGACGGACGGATGCTGATCGATAAGGTTATCACTGTAGGAGAGGTGAGAGCGAGCACAGTACCTGCAGCATTTTGTTCTGATTCAAATATTTAAAAAAATATTGTCTCCAAACTGTTTTAAGCAAACATTTGCCGTTAGAGATGTCAACAAAATTGCTGTTGTGGAATTATTGTCAGTGCAAATCTTTGTGTGTACGCAGGAGACAACAATGGAGAGTGTCTCTTATCCCATGTCTGTCCTAAACGGACTCGTCACCGAAGGGTCCAACTTTCTGCTTATGCGCCTGTTTGCTGTTGGGAGGAAGGTGCCTGAGCACATGACCGCGATCTCCTTTGACCCGGGATTACACATCCAACACACCACCTTCGTAAGTGATGATGTCAATTTGACTCACCAATGTCGTGGAAAATAAGTTCAGACCGGACCAGTTGATGAAGTCTAATCTAGTGCTGCCCAACTCTGCTCTTTTGCTATACTTAATGCCTATTGTCGTCCTGATGGTCTACGAAGAACGCACATCAGGGAGAGATGAAGTCAAGTTCATTTATTCTGTGATCATTTAAACTCCTCTTGGTGACTCTGTGTCTTGTTTGAACGGTGAACTCTGATCATGTGTTCCTCTGAGGTCAGAGCGCGCTGGGTCTGAAGCAGCTGGAGGTTGGGGATGACACCGTGGAGGTCTTAGGGGTGGAGAGGACTGTTCACTCTTTGGAAGACGGTCCCACTACCTGGCAGTGCTACTTCCTAGCGGATGGGTAAGCTCAATGACTCCACACTCTTAAACTGGTCAGACAGTCGCCCTGCAGTGTCTGCATGGCATACTGTACAGCCACCAGTTCAATACAACGGCATCCTTGATTTTCATGAATTTAACTATTTGTAAGTCTCCTTTTTATCAAAACAACGTATAGTTATTTGACTTTGAGAAGTGGATGCTCTCTCATTAGGCACATGGCCAGCAGAGTGCAGGTGGGATCACCAGTTTCTATGAGGCTTCTGCAGCTGCAATCACAGCTAGAAACAGGTAGGTAACACACACTGATCACACCCCCTAAAAACATTTTCTTATGAAACACAGTCAGTCACAATGTCCGTGTGTTAGGTTTTGAGAAGATCCCTCTGGTTTGGGAAGAAGACATGCAGATGCGCTCCAGGTTTCTGGACAGAAAGGTAACCAATAATGTTCTTAGGCTATAAAGAGATTCATTCAGCCGGTCTGAAGAATAAGGTTTCCCCCTTAGTCCAGCACGTATCCCCTCATCATCTCATCTTATACATCACAGAGGTAGAGAGTGTGAATGTGCCATGATGTCTCGTTGGGCAGGAGGAGCTGAAGGCGGACCACGCCTCGTACCTGAGATGTCATCCAGAGTTCCGGGCCCTCACAGCTGACTTCCTGCAGTCTCTGCTTTTGAAAAAACCAGATGACGTCTTTAAGTTTTCCAGAGAGTACTTTTGCTCCCAGCCGTCTTCTAGTAACAAGCCTGAAAGGCCCCCTCACTCTGAAAGGACGGCCCTGACTCCACCACCCAAATAAAAAGCATCTCAGTTTATTTATGCTTTCAACTTCAGTTATATCTTTATATCTCTATTTTTCCTTACAAAATACATGGATAGCAGTAGCCTATAGTATACAACTTGGGGAGGAATAATTACTTTAAAACCCAATACTTCAACGTAGCTGTGTGATCTTGCAAAAAGAAACCTTCTGTGATCTGAATAAAGTGGTCTGTTGGACGTTTCTGTTATGTGTTGTTAAAGAGAAGTCAAGACACGTCTGTTAATTGGTTTAAAAGTCACATTAGCAAAAAACCTGTTCGTCTTCAAAAGTGAAAAATTCTAAAGAAAGTGAAAAGTGACGTAGTTGGAAAGTCAATGGAACCCTCGCGAAAAACAGCAGAGCTTTTCTTTTGAAGGTTTTAACCGGAAGCGGAAACGGCACTTCTTCTTCTCCAGAAAGTGAAACCAGTTCGGCGTTTGAACGACACAAAAACAACTGTAAGTGTTTATTTGTGAATACTTTGCTGCCACAAAGTGTATTTATTACCGAATTACAGAAGCGCTTCTTGGACGCAAACTGGCAGCGATACGTTTTAACGTAACGTTAATATAAATATAAATATATATATATATATATATAAAGTAAACGATAACTTAACGTTAGCTAGCTCGTACTGCCTGTACCTCTAAGCTAACCAGCTAAATTACTGTAAGTTATGTAAAGTACCTCGAATACCTCACAGCTCAGACTGTTGACTGTAATCAAATAATAACGTTGAACTAATTGGAGTTTACTTTATTGTTTTGGTTTCACCGATCAAAACTTTTTAAAACTCAAAACGGTCATTTTTTTGTTTGTTTTGCGGCAGATTCTTCTGTGACTTTTAGCACCAGTGAATAGAACACACTAATTATTAGTGTGTTCTATTCACTCATATATATACTCATATTAGTGACTAATATGACCTGGCCCGGTAATGATGATACACGACATCAATTGGTTGGATCCAAGATGGCGCCGTTGATGGCCGCCTCGGTGCTTCGGTGCGCTTCGTTTTTTGTTGTTTTGACTTTGTCACTTGTCACTTTGTCTCTTGTCTGTTACTTGTTTGTTAGTGCACTTTATGCTTAATACTTTTCTTTTTAACTTTTTAATATTTAAAATTTGTTTAACTTTATTCCCTTGTTTTTTTACTAACCCATAGCCTTAGCCTTATTCTTACTAACCCATTGCATTAGCATTTCATTCCACTTTATTTTATTACCTGTGCACTGTTGTCTTGTCTGTCTACTGTCGCGCACTAACCGCTAAGACAAATTCCTTGTATGTTTGACATATTTTGGCCAATAAATGTTTCCTGATTCCTGATTCCTGATCAAGCAGCACGAGATGACAAAGGGGTTTTCTAAAGACTAGCGAATAATACACCTCACAAGTGTAGGCAGTTTGAGCTTTATAAATAATCAGTACAATACACTATGTCTACAGTATTATTACTGATCCTTCTTATCATCCTGTCTTGTTTGTCCTCTCGTGCTTCAGCCCCCAGACACCTGGTCACTTTGCCTCCGTGCCGCGCTTCCTGTCTCTGATTCGGCCTCTGATAGCAGCACCTGTTGGGCGCTCTGAGTGCAGCGCCGGGCCGTGCTGGTGGAACCGGGTCTGTGATGGACAGACTGAAGCTGTCTCGTATCGACGAGGACCTGGAGTCCTCTGAGGTGGCATCTCTCTGCTTCCTGTGTCGAGATGTCCTCGCGAGGAAACGTCTGGAGGGGGTGAACAATCACAGTTCTCAATCAACAATTCTGTTGTCTTCGCGCTTGTCTTCACACCCACGTCTGACAGTTTTTGTTCCATTTGTTTTCTTTAAAAGTTAGTGTTGTATGCAGCAGATACGCTTGTGTTGTGGTTGTTTTTGCGACGGTGTACAAAGCTGGATTCACATTACAGGCAAATGCAACCCAAACCCAATTTTCTTTATTCCTTTGCTCTCATGAAACTTATCTGATTTTCTTTGGTGTGGTGAAGTCAAATCAGATTTGTTTTCCTCAACAATTCGGGCTACTTTTATATGTCCATCACTGCTACAAACAACCTCAGTGGGTTTTCCAGGTTGTACTTTAATGTGCAAATCCCTCACCATGCAGGTTTGAATGTTAAAATGTGAGCAAGTGAGCGTCACATAACTGAGGAACATTTGAAGAAGGAGATATTATAGCCTTAATGGTGTTATTCAGTTCTCAGTACCAGCAACTCCACAACTGTACATTGGACTAATGAGCAGTTCCCAGTGTGTATGATGCTCAGATGTTAGGATATGAAATGCCGAGGCAAAAAGTTCTGATGTGGGCAAAAAATCTTATTTGAACATTAAGCCCTGTAAAGTGAATGTGGCCTTCTGGACAGCACTTCTCTCCCGTCGCTAATATTCTCATGTTTTCTTCATCTTGTTTTTCTTCTCAAAAGTTTGTCTTTTTGTTTCCTGGTTGTTGTCATCCAGATCAATAATGCAAGAGACCTCTTTCTGAGACTGGAAGAAAACGGTCTGCTGGAGAACAACTCGTTCCTTTTTGAGCTCCTCCAAACTATTCGTCGAACAGATCTCCTCAACCTGCTGGAGTCAGACAGCAGCCCCCCAGAAGAAGCGGATGCAAACCCCATCCTGTCAGACTACAGGTACGTGTGGAGGGGAGAGATCTGCGGTCGTGGCAGTTAGTTAATTTACTTATTTTTGTGCAGGTAATATGTTGTTAAATCGGTTTAAACTTAAATAAATTACCTATACGTCGTATTAATCTGTCCTGTTATTGACGTGTCCAAAGGCTTCTCGTTTCACTTCCTGGTTGTAAAGTCCTGCGTGTGTTGCAGAGCGATTCACCTCCAGAACAACAGGCGGAGTGACGTGTTTTGTTGAAGACGACCTAGAGAGTCACGTCTATTTATTTATTTATTTATTTATTGATCATAGACTTTATTGCCCCGTGCATCCACACTGCTGCTTTTCATCGCGGACACATTTGTCCCGTATTTTCCTCCACAACTTTGTTCCTCTCGACCTCCGTGAATCCAACCCGCTTCTAAACCCGCCAATGACGGCTTGTATAAGCGCTCATATTTACGCATTTCTTCCGACAAAAGTTCTTAAATCTGCTCCGTTCTCTCGTAAACATTCTTCGTATTAATAATGGCGGCATCGGGCTCTGAAAGTGGAAATGTGAGACTCCGTAAAGGACGTAGTTAGCGGACCAATCGCAGCCTGGTGCGCTGCGGGAGAAAAATGTCTCGACACGCGAGGACGCAAGGAGGTGTGAAAAGCGACGCAATGGACACGCAAAGGGACACGCAAACTAGGCTTAATGCGCAACCAGATATTCGAATATCTGTGTTTTTTTTAAAGCAAATATTCGAATGTTGTTTTTGAGATATTTTGAGAGCCCTGCTGTACGCCGGGAGCCCAATGCAACGTTATTCCCAGCGGTCTTTTGTGTCTTCCAGGGTGATGCTGTACAGAGTGGATCAAGACATAACTCGGGAAAATCTGAGCATGATGAAGTTTCTTTTGAGCTCTCAGCTGGGCAAAAGACAAATGGAGATGTGCAATGTGAGAACGCACCCACTCACCCGCAGCTCTAGAAGCAATACTAACACGTACAGCTCACTCTGCTCAGAGTAAAAAACAGTAAAAAGTTCAATCTCTACTGTAATCTGTATACCTTTAGTAATCAACAACAGTGATATACTAAGTACAATAAGAAACTGTCCTGAGTGGAATGTTAAACTTACTCAAAACTTACAGACACTATTTGTTGTTCTCAACGTAACATGTCAGTGACCATCCAGCTTCTCGCACATCTCACCCTATATTGATACATGTAGATATAATATTAGATAAAACACTGAAACACACAGATAATCACACTATAACCGGAAGTCATTCCTAGTTGTGATGCACCTGCAAAGACAATAAGACAAGTCTCCTCTGTTAATTACAGACGGCACTGGACGTGTTTGCTGAAATGGAAAAGACTGGTTCATTGTCCCCTACAAGTCTCCATGAGGTGCACGCAGCGGTGAAGCAATTTGATCAACAACTGGCATTGACAATACAGCGCTACATAGACAATAGAGGTACCGTGTGCACGCACACATGAGCACGTACAGATTTAAGTGTTGTATGACTTTGAAACTCACAGAATGATCGTTTTCTCTTTAGAGGCAACACCCCGACCTCATCGGCCCATCCATCCCCAGGTGTGTGTACATCTGTGCTTGTGTAAAGTTAATACGATACTGAGCCAGTTTGAATGAAACTGTAACCCTGTTTTGCACCAACAGAGGGTCAGCAACACCTCTCAGCCAGTCGATGTGTCCATATCTGAAACTCAGTCCAACTGTGAGTCCCTCTTTCTCTTCATTACTCACCGACTTTCATTCATTTGAAGACACAGACATTAAATCACTGATTAGCCTTCCACCCCCCTCGCTGCTATAGACATTCACCCGTATGCTATTGTTTGTAATGATGCATAGATCTCTGTTTTGGTTCTTCAGATGAAGGAATGAACATTTGCTCCGATGCAGAACCAAATACAAAGCCATCTTCTCCTGACGATCATGTAACTATTTGCACAAACACAAATGTCTTTCTCAAATTGATCAGAAAGTACATCTTTATGAGTTGTCTACGATGCTGCGCTTGTGCCCCGTAGACCGAGTACTACGCTCTGATTCATAAACCACGTGGTTTGTGTGTGGTCATTAATAATGAGGACTTCCTGGGAACGCAGATGAAAAACCGAAAAGGCACCCAGGAGGATGAGAGTAGGTCTCCATGTACTGTTTTCATCTATGAGCTCCTTAGCAGCAGTAGAAGTTGATGCGTATTGTCATTTGATGACCGTGTAATACTAGATCATTTAAAAACTATTTGTCTCTCTTTTATACGACACAGAGGCTCTGTGCTCGTTGTTCTCCCGCCTTGGATTTACCATGTTGGTGCACAACAACTTGACTGCAGGAGCCATGAAACAGGAACTACAGAAGCTCGGCGCACGGAATTTTGTAAATGATGATGCATTGGTGAGCAGCGATCACACAGAGGAAGAGTTTGACAGTCATTTTCCATTTTAGGTACAAACTATTTTTTGAGTTAAATGAGAAGATCGACGTCACTCGTGGTAACGTATAAAAACATGTACGGCTACAGCCACCACTGAGAAATAGTCTGGCTAATAAACGTAGAACTCGTGGAGAGATTAAACATATTTATTGGTTAGGCTGATACGTCCCTTGGACAGGACCACGCTGGCTGTTTCCAAGCTTTGTGCTAACATAAGCTAACTAGTTAGCTGCTGGCTATGGAGTGTTTCTGCCAGACTTAAAAATGATTAACAATCTATAATCATGGGACATTGCCTCCCTTCTGCCGTAGTACATATAAGAACCTTTGAATGTTATTGCGGGCTGTGAGAAGATGTTAAACGCCTTTAAACTTAAACTGGGATGGTGGTCACGTCATTTGGCCGTTTGCAGAGTTTTGCCACTTAGACGGGTCCAGTCATGACAATTAGATTGGGAACTCTTAACACAAAACATGTGTGAACGCAGGTGGTGTGCGTGCTTTCCCATGGGGAGATGGAGTGTGTGTTTGGGACCGATGAGCAGCGGGTCAACATAACAGACCTGACCCGGCCCTTCACCAGCGAGGGGGCACCCACCTTGGCAGGGAAGCCCAAACTCTTCTTCATCCAAGCGTGTCAGGGAACCAGATACCAGGGAGGATCCCTGCCGCACCCCTCCCTGCCGGGACAGGAGGAGGGGGTCCCACAGAGCCCCCTGGAGGAAGACGCTGGTCCTATAAAAGGCGAGACGGTTCCGTGGGAGGCCGACTTCCTGCTGGGGATGGCCACCGTGCCGCAGTGCAAGTCGTTTCGAAGCACAACCACGGGCTCCATCTACATTCAGGAGGTGTGCACTCAGCTGAAGAAGTCAGCAGAAAGGTGAGAGACTCGTATACAAGGAGGCCGACACATTTAGAGAGCCAACAGTGCTTGTAGTGACGTTCTCCCAGATTAGGGGGGAATTCTGTCACGCTTCTGTGGGTGTGCTGCCAATAGTCACGACAATGTACTGATTCCTACTCACAATTTGAGCAAGGTTTACAGTTTGTAACGCGTTGGCTCTGTTTTCTGTGCAGTTCGGCGAATGATGATATCCTCACTGTGCTGACACGTGTGAACAGGGAGGTCAGCAAAGGAAAGTATTTAAACAGCAAACAAATGCCGCAGCCCAAGTACACTCTCACCAAGAAGCTGGTCCTCAAATACGTTTGAGCTGACCGGAGCCCAATGCACAGCGGAGAATGTGCCAATTCCACTGGTTTACCGGGTGTTTTTATCTCACTGTACAGAACAACTGGTTTGATCAATTTGGATGTCAGTGTCTGTTTACTTATCTTGAATCAGGTTTCTCAGCAGTGTGGCATAAATAATGCTGCAAAAGCCACTCAGAGAAAATGTCCATTTTAAACGAATGTGATTATTATGATTTACAACAGCATTATTCTGGTGTTTGAGAAAAGTGTCATTTTAAGGGTGAATTAAATATATCTGCCCAAATGATAAACATTATTATTATTGATATTAGTGTTTTTATGATGTCATGAAAATGCAAAAAGACACAGCTACCAGTAAAAGTCCTCTCTTTACGTACATCCATCCATTAGCCATGTCATTACATCTTTATTGCAAATAGGAATGTGTGAATGTGAAGAATAAAACTCTAAAAGGAAGAAATAAATATGATTTAACTGAATGGAAATGCTGTTCATGAACTCAGTATTTAGTTGCATTGCACCTTTATTCAGTAACTCTTTTTTTTTTAACATGTCTGACATATTATGGTGGTGAATGTTTCCTGACTGATGAGACGTGCCTGTTTAATATAGAAATGAGTCCGTTAAAAGGCCAAACCGTGAGCCCGTGTGGCACCGTGAGGCCCCGGGGCCACCGCCCGGGTATTTGTGGGTGTGTCTCTGTCTGTGGGTTACAGGGTGAGCTGAGGATATATATATGACCCACCCCAATAGGGTCCTCACAGCGTATGGTCCCTTGGCTTGGCTATTGACCACCTCCCAAGGTTCCAATGCCTTAGAAGCATTTGTGCCTATGAGCAGGTCAATGCCAGAATCTATTTCATGAATCTTGACGTCCTTCAAGTAAGGCCATTGCATCAGGTCTTCTTGTCTGGGAATGTTGCGCTTGGAAACAGGCATGATCTTATGTGTAAATACATTGGGCAGTTGTATGAAATCAGTTTTGTCCAGACTTGATATCTCTAAACCTGGGATATGATGACTAGTCACAGGTTTCACCTGGTTCATTGTACGCAAAAGAATACTAGTCTTTTGTCCTGTTACATTCAGTCTTCTCATCAGGCTTTCGGTGCAGAAGGTGGCTGATCTTCCATGGTCCAAAAACGCATACGTCTGCAACACAGTGTGTCCCTTGGGGGTCTTTACTTGTACTGGAACAATAGAGAAGAGACAGGCTTCTTCACCAGCCCCAATATGCCCACATGTATGAGGTGAGAGAACGGCATTGCTCCCAATTGATTTTCCATCCAATTCTGTTTTCCTTCCTATGTCTCTTTATTCAATATGAAGTATTTCAGGATGATTTTTGTCGCAGAAGTCAAACGACTATCGCAGTCTTTGCTCATGTGTCCTACCTTCAAACAGCCAAAACAGACTCCCCTTTTCTTTAAGAAGTCGATTTTTCCCTGTGCATCTTTTTCCTGGTTTGTGGACACCGCACCAATGTGTGACCATCTCTCTCACAGAACAAACAGGAATTTTGAGGGTTAGTGATACATTTTTCATTCCACTTGTCATTTTTTCTGGTATTGGCATTTCCACAGGTGTTGCAGTAGTTGCAAAACTGCTTCCTCTTGGTCTCGGCCTCTCTCTTGCTGTGACATCCTGGATGTTCCCAAAAAGTGGATCCGACAATATCTTCACTTGTCTCTCCATGAAGTCTACCAAGCAAGAGAAACTAGCCCGACGTCCATGTTGTTCCTGGAGCTGACATGCCCTATTCCTCCACTTGTCTCTGAGCTTGTAAGGCAGTTTCAGAAGAATGGTCTTCATACTGGGAAGTGACGTTCAACTCCACCATATAGGTGAGCTGTTTCCATTGCATTGCAACAACCTCTCAGGAATAATGAAAACGCTCGCAATGCTTTCAAGTCCTCTGGCTTGATCGCTGGCCAGGCAAATGCTTTGTCCATGTATGCTGTAGCAATCTCATGTTCGCTACCAAAATGTTCTTTAAGCAGCTCTTTTGCTCTTTTATAGCCCTCAGCCGAAGACAAATGTTGACGGCTGTGGACTAAATCCTTTGGATACCCTCTGGTATATTGCTCTAGGAAATGCAGGCAGTCACTGTAGTCATCAGTCTTTCTTTCCACTCCTCTCTCGAATGCCCTGATGAAAACTCCATATTGCAAGGGATCCCCATCATAAACGGGAATGTCTCTTGGTGGTAAAGTAGAAGAGAGATTGTGTTGAGCTAGAAGAATGGTTATGTCACTTTGCTTCTGAATGATGTGATAGACATCACCTTGATTATGATCATTATATCCAGGTTGTGTTAGAGGAGTCATATCCTGAGCTCTAACAGATGGTCCATCAGCGCTTTCCTTTGGCTGAACAACCTGTTGCTGGGAAGAAGATTCTGTTCCCGTCCGCACATTCAGTCTGTTGCACTTAATCGGGTAAATAGGAGTTTGCATGTGGATTCTCTTTGACTGACCTTTTCCTTTGAACAGTTCCTTTTTCCAAATAAGAGTTCATCCCGTCTGACACTCTTGAGCTATTTCTTGATTCAAGTACATTGATTTTTGCATTGGTGGCTCCCAGTTCAGTCTCTAGTTCCAGTTGTTCTTCCTGCGCCTCCAGGTCATGCATTTTCTGCAGAGCGGCGACCCGTTCGGTGAGATGATGAAGAACTTGATTTATGGCTTGATTTGGGTTTTGACACATTAGAAATACTGTCATCCGGTCCAATGTCATCTGTGATTATATTTTCAGCAGTTGTATGCGTTGCATGCCATCCAAGCTCTGAAAACCGCACATTTACATCCTGTATAAAACCATCCAAAGTTATCATCTTTTGTTGAAACCAGTGATTTTGCTTTTCAAGTTCATTTTCAGGCAATGGTAACTTCACCAATGACTCATGACTTCTTTTGGCATCATTACTGAGGTTGATTAATGTAACCAAGTTCGATTGCACTTCATTTGCATTCCCTTTTGATTTCATGAGCTCGTTCTGAAACTCCATTGACTTCTTAGCTTGCTTACATTTCAAGTTTCTTGCTTTCTGACAGTTTTCAATGAACATTTCCAAACCTTTATCAGTGTGTCTAGTAACCCTTTTTCCTCTTTCAGAATCCAATGCAACATCGCCATCTTGTGACCGAACGTCAGACTTGACTAAGGACACGTTTGTTCCGCTCTAAGTGATCCAGTAAACCGCACTGAAGGCAGAATGCGTCGAGCGGCTTATATTGTAGTGAGAGTCAACGAGATTCAGTGTTGCGGTTTCTGGTCCTATAGCTTTTCCAATAAAGCTTAGTGTTGCACGTACCTCCTCCGTGGTTCCTTGTTGTTTGGAGTTTCCAATCTCCTTCCATCAGCTCGCACAGGTAGAGGAGCACCAGACAGTTCTCACTTATTGTAGTGGCAATCTTAGGTTTGCTGCCCCTTCAGCGGTCTCGTTGTTGTTCTTTGCTATCAGGCACAGGTGGGAGTGATGATTCGACGCAGACACACAAAAGATTTTCCAGCGATGATTGTGGTTGAGGTTTGCAATTGATTGCAGGCATTGTATAAACAGACGGTTGAACGTGCTCCTATTGATGGTGGTCTGTTTTTGTGGTCTGGTGAGAACAGTCTGGTGCTCCCCTACCTGTCCCCTCGCTTCCTGTCACCTACGTCCCTTATGTACACCGAGGTGCACCTAATCACCGCCACCTAGTGTCCAAAGTGTCAATATAAATACAGTCTAACAAACAAAATATACTTTGCCAACAACAACAACAACACATAATGGCCCCTACAGGGGTAATAGAAGAGTCCAACAGTGCCTGGTGTAGCCCCATCGTTCTTGTGGCTAAAAAGGATGGATCTGTCCGGTTCTGAGTGGACTACTGCAGGGTGAATGAGTCGATGCCTACCCAATGCCCCGGGTCGACGAGCTCCTGGACCGGCTGGGCTCTGCACGTTTCTTTACGACACTGGATTTGACTAAAGGCTACTGGCAGATTCCTCTGTCGTCAGAGTCCAAGGAAGAAACGGCGTTCTCCACTCCGTATGGGTTACACCAATTTACCACGCTTCCCTTTGGCTTGTTTGATGCCCCGGCCACCTTCCAACGTCTCATGGATTGGGTGCTGCGTCCGCACGCTGCACATGCTGCCGCCTACTTGGATGATGTCATTATCCACAGCACCACCTGGGCGGGGCATGTGCGGCGGGTGGGCGCAGTGCTGGAGTCACTGAGACAGGCTGGGCTCACCGCCAACCCGGGGAAGTGTGCAGTTGGACGGATAGAGGTACGGTATTTGGGGTACCACTTTGGGGGCGGGCAGGTGCGCCCTCAGGTGGACAAGCTGGCAGCCATTGCGGCCTGCCCGCGGCCAAAGACAAAAAATGAGGTGAGGCGTTTTTTTGGGCCGGCGGGGTATTACAGGCAGTTCCATCCCCAGCTTTGCGGACCTCACCAGCCCCTTGACTGACCTGACCCGGAATGGTGCGTCAGATCCGGTCCAGTGGTTCGGAGCAGGGCCAGCGGTCGTTAAGATGGACAACTACGTTTCTCTGTGGAGTTTTGGCTCTGCTACAAAGGGACGAAAGGTAGTGGCTATGGAACGCTCCCGTTGAAACCATTATTGGCATATAGTGCAGGCAATCAGAAATTGGTTTTGTCCCTGTATTTTAGTGGTGGCGATCCGGCGAGAGAGAAGGAGAAACTCAGCCAGTCGAGGATGGTGTGCACTCCTCCTTCCGGGGCCCCCAAGGATCACCACATTACAGTAGGATGTAAATGACTGACTGATGACAGAGTAACCATGTGACCTGGGGCCTTATTTATAAACGTTGCGTACGCCAAAAGAAGGCGTACGCCGCTCTCTACGCAATAATTGGTATTTATAAAAAGCAAACTTGACGGAAAAATGTCGGCCCTTCACGCAAGCTCGGACCCGTGCGTACGCACACGAACGGGTGAAATGAGAACCGTCGGCAAACGCAAGAAACACGCAAACGTGTGTGAAAGTGTGTAAAACTAGACTGTTGTAAATGAAATGCCAATACTGCCTCATAAATAACACAAACACCCGTCTGATCTGCAGCGTAAAACAAACAGAAATACAAATGAACACATTTTCCAAAAGAAAAGTGAAATATGTTCTGCAATAATATCGGCATGTTATTAAATTCATCCTCAAAACACAGCTGTTGCTTGTCAGATGCGATCAGATGGACGGTAATAAAACGCCACGATGCGTCACAATGCGTAATGACGCTGATGGCTGATCTTGCGCTCTTAGAAGACGTGGCACATGGAAGGATTGGCGCTGTAGTGCAGCGCACCATCGGCCTGTTTAAGGGCAGACGGCGCTGGAGGAGGTTGTTGTTTACTCCTGAGAAGGTGTGAAACATCGTGCTGCATGTGCTGTGCTACATGATGTGGCCCAGCTTCCAAACGCGCCTCGACCCCCTGACGCCGATGTTGGCCCCGACCCTGTCCCCGATCCCCAATCACTGCCCCCAGTCTCTCATCAGGAGGGGACAGCTCCGGTGACCCTTTCCCACCCGTGGAGACACACTTTGGCGATGGCGCGCTAAACGCTTATTTGCATCCACTTTGATGTCAGACCAGTTTTTCTTTATTTCGGCCGGTCCGAGGTCGTGAGGCTGCAGCGTTGCTCTGCAACCTTTTGCCACTCAGGTGCCTTTTTGGCATCAGTGATGTCCACACTGTGTCCTCCAAAGAGCATTTGACTTCTCCTTCCCACCTCCCAATGATATGCAAGGTTTTATAAATGAGGCCCCAGAGACCTGCCTGGTTTTCACTTGCCATGATTTCCAGAGGGAGCAGACTTAATATTTCCGTGTTCCCACATTGTTTTGGAAGAATTATGAGCTATAAACTCCTCGGCTCTGCTGCAACCACTTCACAAACGTATGTTCAACATGCATCATTCTCAGTGCATATACAGCAGTGTTATCTTATCTTCGACCCATATGGGAGCCTGTGGAGAGAAAGAGGGTTTTATTGCATGCCACCAAAGTATATGGTCTGACCCACTAATAAAAATGGCGTCTTTCTTGTATTTTGTCAATCTGTCAATGCTAATTCACAGTGAAGTGCAGCTGATGACCTAATGCATATGCAATCATGGTAGTTTTAAGGAGTCTAAAAAAATCTAAATCTAATATTCCTCTGCCTCCCCTTTTCAGCTGTATGCACTTCTGTGAAAAACAGCTTCCATTGTCATAGGATGTTGTTAATTCATTCATTTTCATCCTCATCACACCATTTATAGACAGTTATTCAGATTTTGCCTTTAACTTTTTTTAAAGTTTATCACTTGTCTGTATTAAGTTAATCACATTAATGTTAATCATTTTAACTCAATATAGTAGCATTTATAATCCATAATCTAACTATAGATAATATAATGGATACAGTGCAGATGTGTTAGCATTACAAAAGTATTTTATTCCAAATACAAGTTCTGTATTAAAAATGTATCAAATAAAAAGTATCGCTATGGGATAATAAATGGCCTTTGTGAGTCTGAGACAGACATGAGACCATTGAATGCGGATGCACACAGGATAACTGGCCTTTAACTGTAGATTGTTGATCCTGAACTGGGGGTCGTGTCCTTGCAAATGGTCACAACGGAGAGAAGACACAAGAAAAAAACATTCTGCACAATACATTTGAGATCCTGTTTTAAATTTCAAACATTGTCCTTCACTTGGACCTCAAAAGGTTTTTGAAATCAAAGCGTTAGAAAAGTCCAGAGTGGAAAATACAAACATCTCACGGGTTCAGAACCATAACCAGGGGCACAAACGTGTCTTCTCATATTCTTTAGTCACGAGACAAAGGTTTATCTAAACTGTAAAGTCCTTTAAACTACAGCTGTTCAATAAATAACACCATCAACCCATATTTGCCTCTGAATGAAACCTCAAATACTTGTGCATACAGTACTACAATGCTCATATTGGACTGGGTATGCTGATGCGGCAGTTTACCCCGCCCCCCCACGGCGTGTGACGTCACACGATAACGCGGTTGCTCGTCACAAACAGCTGGAAACAGACGGATGTTTAGTGAGGTCCTGACATTCAGTTATTGTTGTGCATTCAGTACAAACTCACAGCCAAACATCTGCTGACGGCCACAGAGAATCTGCCATTGGTTACGAATGCTCGTTGAGGCTGAAGCCTGACAGCGAGGAGGAGGAGGAGGAGGAGGAGGAGGGGGAGGAAGAGGAGGAGGAGGAGGAAGATGGCAGGAGCGGTGAAACTCACTCCACTCAGAGCGCTGGAAGAGAGTGATCCAGAAGAGCCCGCGGAGGAGGATAACTCTGTTCCTGACTTGTGCTCGGGACGGCTTCTCCATGTCGGCGGCGGGTCGGAACAGCGCGCTCCTCCTTCTCTCCTGCGCGCTCGTGCAGCCCGTGAGTCCCCTCGCGACGCCTCGGACACCTCTGACCCTCGTGCTCCTTTTCGATGCGCGTCCGTTCTTCGCCTTACGTGATGTCGACCACGTAGAAATAACGTTACGACTTTTGCCTTCATGCGCGTTGGCGCGCGCACTTGTGACGGGTTTGGGACGCGCAGCGCACTTATATGCGTGAGGAGCTGGAAGCAGAAAGGAGTCGGTTAGAAACGTTTACCAAGGGATGGCCTGGCGTTTACTTTCATCCGTTTATTATCTTTAGTTGTTTAAAGGAATTGCATTATAATAATATTACAAAACCTCACGTGACTTCCTCTTCCTCCGTCCCAGCAGGTTCTCCTCCTCAGGCAAAACCCTGCAGCATTTGAAATGACATTTATCACCAAAACAAAGCAAAAGCCCAGAATGTGAGAATGTTTTTTCAATGGCCGTGTTTTAATGTCCGGGCTGATCTCTTTAGACGTTACCAGGTCTCCCAACACCAATCACCTCCTGTTACGCTTGGGTCTCCGTAGCGTCCACATCTGTAACCTCTGCAACCGTGCCTTGCAGAGGGAAACGTGTATGATTCATGTAGGAACAGTTGGAGGTCGGAGCCCTCAGAATAAATAGCGCGCTGGCTTTTTGCATCTGCCTCTGCGTTGAAAAATAAGGCGAAAGCAAACTCACTGCTTCAGGCGCCGCTGATCCATCACTGACAGCACCTCCTCCACCCGTAGTCCAGAGGTGCCTCCTGGGTGAAGTTGCGTAGGACGTGCGTTGTAGTCTACGGAGTTAGATGCATCATAACCTACGTGGGGGAGTCACCATGTATGGGGGGAGAGTATGGAGTCATATGACTAACAACTGCCCCTTTGTACTCGCCTGATTAATGCCCACAAACAGGAGACTCATCCACTTAAGTGCAAGCAATAAATCTTGTGCTCCTGCAGATGGTCGTCACATTCTCTGGAGGTGAACCCGTATGGATTCAGCTTCAAGGGAAGAATCACGCCGTGTCTTCTGCATCGCCCGTACATACAAACATGAGGCCTGGATCTCAGACACAAGACAGATTGTGTGTCTGCTGTGTGGCGAGATGAATGGTGGTCATCTCAGGGAATCCCCGCGAGGGAGACGGCTGACGCGGGATGTCGAGAGAGCACACAAGTGCACTAATAGACGATCGACTTTCTAACGTCACAGTGGAGAGATGTACAGACGAACATCTGTAAATGTTCCCTTTGCAGGTGTTTTCCGCGCACAGCCAGATGTGCGACATGATGAAGGAAATAGAAAAGGAGGAGGAGCTGTGTGAGGCTCGGGATTGAGAACAAAACGACAGGTATGTGATCTTTTGTGTGTGTGTGTGTGTGTGTGTGTGTGAGTGTGTGTGTGTGTGTGTGTGTGTGAGTGTGTGTGTGTGTGTGTGTGTGTGTGTGTGTGTGTGAGTGTGTGTGTGTGTGTGTGTGTGTGTGTGAGAGTGTGTGTGTGTGTGTGTGTGTGTGTGTGTGTGTGTGTGTGTGTGAGTGTGTGTGTGTGTGTGAGAGTCTGTGTGTGTGTGTGAGTGTGTGTGTGTGTGTGTGTGTGTGTGTGAGTGTGTGTGTGTGTGTGTGTGTGTGTGTGAGAGAGAGAGTGTGAGTGTGTGTGTGTGTGTGTGAGTGTGTGTGTGTGTGTGTGTGAGAGAGAGAGTGTGAGTGTGTGTGTGTGTGTGTGTGTGTGTGTGAGAGAGTGTGTGTGTGTGTGTGTGTGTGTGTGTGTGTGTGTGTGAGTGTGTGTGTGTGTGATCTGCATGCCTTTATTTTCTTGGCTGCATGTTGTTTGATCAGAATTTGTTCATTTCATTAGTCGCTTTGGATCAAAGCGACCAATGAAACTCACTTTGTCCAGTTAATGGTTGATAAAGCTGATAAAGCTGTAGTTTCTTGCTGTGATTGGAGTGTTGCATCCTTCCATGGAGAGAGAATCATCATTAAGCCTCTATTGCCTCGATCTTAGCTGCCTGCATCGAGAGACTCCGCTCTCTGTAACGGTAGAATATAATGATGCACACTGTTTTATTAGATTAATGTCTAAAGCTAATCATTCATTCTGAGGAGGTTTTCATGACACCAGCTGTGTGGAACCACCGGAGCAGAAGAATCTCAGAGCACTTTGCATAACACGGCTGCGCGGAGGAAGGAGAAGGTGTGAATGTCTCCAGCCGTGGTCCTAAACCTAATCAGACATCTCTTGTAAGCACCTTGAGTCTTCCTTCGGGTCGGGGACCTCGTTGCCTGCCTCCATCCTTTTATCTTAACAAGGCGTTAACCCTGTCGATGTATGAATATGTGTTGCTCTCAAACATTAAGAAGAAGCTTGCTGCTGGTTGTCGACGTGCAGCTCTTGTACTCTTCGTCTTCCTTGCAAGAAATAAACGGAAAATGCAACTTTGATTCACAAGAGACTTTATAACTGATTCCCGATTCCACGAGGAAACTACTTTACTTTCCCATTTGGACAAAGTGCGTGTGCGTGTGTACACTCCGTCGACATTTGCACTTGTGTGTAGAACTCAAATAACAGTGTGCAGCGAAGGGCGGGGCGCTATTTTATTATTCATGCGTGTTAACTCAGGTCATCCGCTGTTATGGACGTGTGTCAGAAACCACAGCCGGCGACCACATGAACACATGCTGGCTGCCATGGCAACTCCTGCGCTCCACTTCGACATCAGCAGGTCCCTGTTTGTCACAGGAACGGACTGCTGCTCCATGTTCATGTCCCGATGGCGTTTCCACGACCGGACGTTTACAACCCGCCTTTTTTACGCCTCTCTCTCTCTCTCCCTCTCTCTCTCCCTCTCCCTATCTCTCTCTCTCTCTCTCTCCCTATCTCTCTCCCTCTCCCTCCCTCTCTCTCTCTCTCTCTCTCTCTCTCCCTATCTCTCTCCCTCTCCCTCTCTCTCTCTCTCTCTCTCTCTCTCTCTCTCTCTCTCTCTCTCTCTCTCTCTCTCTCTCTCTCTCGGTCAGGTTGCAGAGGAATGTGGGACAAGATCACCTGCTGGCCGAGTGCTGATGTTGGACAGGTGGTCACCGTCCCCTGTCCAAAATATCTTTTCTACTTCTCCGGGGACATTTCCACAAGTAAGAATGTGTATGGACCACGTGGATGTGCCTCTGTGTCTGAGTAAAGACACTGGGGGGGACGGCAAGGCAAGCGAGCGCCTCTCTGTGCGGTTGTCATAGTTACACGTTTTTGTGTATGACTGATAAACGACTGTTGTTACCCAGTAGTTCAACTTAAAACACGTAAAAAACAAAGAGCAGCATCACAGTGGCTCACAATCACACATCACACTAAAATAAAACACAACTCATCCAACGCATCAAAGACACATTCTGTTTACTTGCTGTCCTTTAGTGCAGGAGAAGCCTCACAGGGAAATAGTTGTAGTCATAAGAGAAACCTCTTGAGGATTTATTGGCTGAGTTTGTTTCCTGCACATCTCCATGAATTCATTCTCCTGAGTGTAATCACGCTGTTGAGTTGATGGAGTTGTTTATTTGTGTACAGCTCAATTTGAACTTTATGGCCTTGAGAAACTTTCATTTATGGAAGAGTCTTGCAAAAACACTGGTGAGCATTTAATTCTTCGATGAGCGGTCGCCCTTTGTTTTATTAATCACAAGAACTAGTAACAACAGCTTTAGAAGTTGCCATTAGGGCCACGGATCCATGTCCCAGTATCAAGAACGATTCTGACGCTACGTGAGGGTTTTGCTTTTTCAAGTGAACACATTCATTCATCAGCTCTTCGCCGCTCACTGGCCAACTTGCATTGGCCGATGTGTTAGCGTGTTAGCGTGTTAGCGTGTTGGCTCGACAGACTTTGCAATCTAACTTTCTGATCTGACTTACGTTGTGTTGTGTTGGTGCATCTCTGGTCTCCCGTTGTTCCTCCTGTGTCGCTCTTATCCGTGTTTTCACGTAGCAACAGAGAGTTTGACGGGGTCATTTTTATAAATGTACATTAATAAGTGTTACAATTTGTTTATGCGTCACAAGCTGTTGTGGTGGTGTTTTACCCCGTTAAAGAGTGTTTGTTGTGGATTATTCATTGTTGTTATAAAGTTATGACCATAATCTCAACACACGTAAGACAAGTAGCTCCGCCTGCTGCGTGCTTCACGATGAAAAGTAGAGCAACGCCAGTTGTTACCGTGTAACACCGGTATGAAATTCATACCGTACAGAAAGTCTTACAGCGGTACACCGTGCAGCCCCTTTTTGCCATCATGTCACATTTTGAGTATTAAGCCTGAGGCTTTGCTACAAAGTCTGCTTGGAATGCGAAGAACACTCTTATAGGTCTGTCTGATTGTCTTTGAGTGTGACTGCATTTAAATCAGATTGGCTGACCAGCCTCACAAGCTAGATGTTCCTTTCTGTGCTTTGAGCAAGTTACAGATTTCCGCTGTAACTGAGTGCTCTTACACAACCGAGTGCCCTCGCCCACGTGCGAGGTGTTCTAAGGTGTTCCTGCCCCTGTAATCCAGACAGTATATTCAGGATTTATCATCAGCATGCGTAGGAGAGGGGCTTTCTGGCACCTGGGATAGTGTGACCCTAGACATGAGTAAAGAGTACTCGCAGGGTTGAAGGCAGAAGAGGGATATTTTACCGACATGTCAAAGGGTCTCAGAATCAACATGGACCAGGAGGAAGCAAAGGGGCCTTAAGAGAACGAGATGGGACTGAAAGGTGTCTGTGCTGCACTGATATGCATGACCTCAATTATGCTGTAGATCCTCAGGTTGTACCCGCTATGCTCTCGGGTCATGTGAGAAGGACTTCATTAAGGGATGATGGTGAACTGTGCATTTCAGGAACTAATAAAAACCGCCTTGTTTGAGTAGCTTGACTGCAGCACGTTTTTACAATGTATTCATTTTATTTTGAAAAGGTTTCAGAACCTTGAGAGTTAGAGAAACACAATGGGAATGTGGTACAGTGCCTATTATCATATGTTTTCTCTTTGTTAATGGCGTAAGCTATTGACACACCGTGAATTTATAAGCCTAGTAAAACGAGCATTACGAAACATGGCGCCACAGACTGTGGTCATAAATCTGGTTGAGATAGGGTTTGCCATTCTCATGAACTCTTTACCTTGTAGGCCGAGGTCACACACAGTCACACACACAAGCAGTCATTAATCTCTTTCAATAACACGGACGACTCACCCTCTATGCAAGCAGAGTGACAGGCTGTCAACGGTTTCACCTACATGCAATAATATTAAGCTAAGCTAAAGCTAATCTTTGCATGCTAATATGAATCTTCATCCATAATATAACAAGGAAAGAAAAAGCACTTATAACATTGACAGAAAAGCCTTTTTTCCTTCTAAAACCTTAAAAATGGAAATGATGATGATGAAGGTGATTAACTGGTTTGAGCTCTCCTCGTCGTGGATGTCACTAGAAGTCCTCGCAGTCCTGTTTTAGGGCGATGATGAAAGCATTCTTCTGGCAATCCCTCAAACAAGCCAAATCCAGTGGTGGCATGGGCTGAAACAGCACGGGCTTATCTCCGCCTTTGTGTCCTGTCATGTTGTTTGAGGAAGCTAAGCCTCCGTCTTCTCTGCAATACGCTCAGGTATTTATGAGCTGACCATATTTTAATGCCAAACAAAGACTTTGGATTGTTGATCATTTCACAACAAGGTCTTATTTGATAGTGGCCGTGGAGCGATTCGCTTGGGAAATGTGAGGAATGTCCTACATTTGGCTTTCGACAATGGATTTCAGTTTAAGGATTAATGTTTTCGCCAACACACGCAGCTCCTTTTCTCCCAGAAAAGAATATGTGGAAATTCTGCAGATAAATATTACACAATAGGAGACTGTGATGTAGATTTGTGCTTTTTGCTGGTGACAAGATTATGAATGGAAGTTGTGAATATGGCTTTCAATCTAAATCATTATTAGTGTCACATCTGACCATGGTCACATTTTCCCTCTGTTATTAAGGAAAATTGACTTAAATATGTAAACTGTAGCTTAATACTTTGTCCAACACGTGCACTTGGAGCGCTATTTGAGGAGTTTCACCTTATATACAGAACTCTAGTGTCCTAAAGCCTCAGAGCTCGAATAGCTCCGAGGTTCACTTGAGTCTACAGGCTTCTGAAGTGTTCTTGAGCTCCAGTCTATAGAGCTCCACTCTACTCAGGTCTCCTCTGCTCTCCTGAGTAGTTCCTGACTACTTTCTAGCAGAACCGTTCCCGCCCACCAATTGGAAGTGCCCTACTTTGCGTTTCACTTTCCCATGCACTCGATCGAGCGCTAATGTAGATCTCTAGACCTCTACACTGTTCTGTTGAGCTCTGGTTTACCATACTCACTGTACTCTACAGAGCTCTACTCTACTGAGCTGTAGTCTTCTGCACTCCACATAGTTTTACCTGGTTCTACTGAACTACAGGAAGTACTGTAATGTACCGTAGTACCTTATTGGACAGTGGTGAGCTCTAGTTTACTTTATTGTTGTGAGCTCTAGTTTACTTTATTGTACTGAGCTCTAGTTTACTTTATTGTACTGAGCTCTAGTTTACTTTATTGTACTAAGCTCTAGTTTACTTTATTGTACTGAGCTCTAGTTTACTTTATTGTACTGAGCTCTAGTTTACTTTATTGTACTGAGCTCTAGTTTACTTTATTGTACTGAGCTCTAGTTTACTTTATTCTACTGAGCTCTAGTTTACTTTACTGTACTGATCTCTAGTTTACTTTATTATACTGAGCTCTAGTTTACTTTATTATACTGAGCTCTAGTTTACTTTATTGTACTGAGCTCTAGTTTACTTTATTGTACTGAGCTCTAGTTTACTTTATTGTACTGAGCTCTAGTTTACTTTATTGTACTGAGCTCTAGTTTACTTTGTTGTACTGAGCTCTAGTTTACTTTACTGTACTGATCTCTAGTTTACTTTATTATACTGAGCTCTTGTTTACTTTATTATACTGAGCTCTAGTTTACTTTATTGTACTAAGCTCTAGTTTACTTTATTATACTGAGCTCTAGTTTACTTTATTGTACTAAGCTCTAGTTTACTTTATTGTACTGAGCTCTAGTTTACTTTATTGTACTGAGCTCTAGTTTACTTTATTGTACTGAGCTCTAGTTTACTTTATTGTACTGAGCTCTAGTTTACTTTATTGTACTGAGCTCTAGTTTACTTTACTGTACTGAGCTCTAGTTTACTTTATTGTACTGAGCTCTAGTTTACTTTATTATACTGAGCTCTAGTTTACTTTATTGTACTGAGCTCTAGTTTACTTTATTGTACTGAGCTCTAGTTTACTTTATTGTACTGAGCTCTAGTTTACTTTATTGTACTGAGCTCTAGTTTACTTTATTGTACTAAGCTCTAGTTTACTTTATTGTACTGAGCTCTAGTTTACTTTATTGTACTGAGCTCTAGTTTACTTTATTATACTGAGCTCTAGTTTACTTTATTGTACTGAGCTCTAGTTAACTTTGTTGTACTGAGCTCTAGTTTACTTTATTGTACTGATCTCTAGTTTACTTTATTATACTGAACTCTAGTTTACTTTATTATACTGAGCTCTAGTTTACTTTATTGTACTAAGCTCTAGTTTACTTTATTGTACTGAGCTCTAGATTACCTTTAATGGTACCGGAGCTCTAGGTTTACTTAATGGACTGAACTCTAAGTTTACTTTAATGTACTGAGCTCTAGTTTACTTTATTATACTGAGCTCTAGTTTACTTTATTGTACTGAGCTCTAGTTTACTTTATTGTACTGAGCTCTAGTTTACTTTATTGTACTGAGCTCTAGTTTACTTTACTGTTGTGAGCTCTAGTTTAGTTTATTGTACTGAGCTCTAGTTTATTGTACTGAGCTCTAGTTTTGACCCCAGTAAGCTGTAGTCTAATGAACTTGGTTGTAAGCTTAAGTTGACTACACTGTGCTGTGCTCTAGTTCAGCTTTAGTCTCTTGTGCTTTACTGAACTGTACCCTGATGAGTCTACAATATTGTACTGGACTACAGTAAATTATAGTCACGTAGGGTACCATGCTGCACTTTACTGTACTCTGGTGAGAGTTTATTATAAACTGTACTGTACTCTAGTAAGCTCTCAGCTAATATACTGTTATGTATGTCTACTTTAACCGTCTCTCATAGGAAAGTGCCCTCTGCTTTTCATTTTTCTATTTTTATTTTTATGGTTACTCGAATGCCCTCGGACCTTTCACTTCTGCCCCGGTGGGCGGGCCAGAGTAAAATATGCATCTGCTGGCCTCCTTCTGTGTGTGCAGCCTGGGAGTCATCAAGCAACAGATGGAGGCCAATACACATGGGACCTGTACCAGCATGTCTGATCCCCTTCAGCCACGCCATCCATTTCCTTTTATTATCTGAGGGTATTCCAGGGAGACGCATAAATCCCATTGGGATGTAATTAAGCCAGAGTGTAAATGTAGAAGGTTTGCCTTGTGGCTCATCTATTCATCTCTTCCCACCTCCAACACACACATCCATACAATATTATAATTTTGATGCTTAATTAATTCTAATTAAAACACATAAAATCTGCCGAAGCAATGACTTGAATTCTTGCATCAGTGGTGTTGAATGTTCGCTCTGTCCCTCTGTTCATTAGGTAACCTGTCAAAAACCTGCACTGAGGCTGGTTGGACCCCATTCAGCATAGACTCATACGTATTGGACTGTGGTTACAATCCCAACAACACCATGGATGATAATAAGTCGGTATGGCGAATCCTTTCTGACCACATGTGCTTGCGCCCTGACTTCATGTTCGATGTCAAACTAAGTTTCTTTTTGCAGGGAGAGTTCTTCGGCGCAATCAAAGTGGGTTACACCATTGGTCACAGCGTGTCCCTCATTTCTCTGACCATGGCCATCATCGTCCTGTGTCTCTTTCGGTAAGGAGATGAATCAAAATGCTACTTAATGTCCCTGTGTAATGACAGTCAAACAGCTTTTTCCATCATTTAGAGTGATAAAACCCTCAACTTCATACATTTTATAGAGGCTTTACACACCGTAATGTCACGCTGCCAGATTTTGTTGAACTAGATGTACAAATTTGACATTATCTGCTGTTGCAACAGTTCTCAAACAAAGCGAGGAGCCATAAAGTCAAACCACTTAGACGGGCTGCTGCTGCTCACAGCTCCCTTTGACCTTCAGTCCTGGGGTTGGAGAGAGTAAAAGTGTGAACAAACCGTACCCGCCAATAATAAGTCCAAGATAGGCTGCTGTGTGTGGCTTCTATTATACAACGCAGTCTGTTCAGTACGGTGTGCTTTCGCAGTTGGACTGTTTGTGCGTGATGGGCTAAACAACACGATGTGTGTTTACACCTCGGGTTTATAAAATGCCAATGGGTTGGACTTTCCAGCGGTGACACAGGATGTGAACAGCGTAAGCTGTTTACGTCCAGCTGTGGACGCCCTTTTTTCAGGCAGATAGTTGATGCTGTGTGTCTTTGCACTCGTCCTGCTGATGCGTTTATGCGATTCACCCATAACGATCAGCAGGAAGGCATTTTTTTGAGGACACCCAGGAGGGAGGATTTACATAAGTGACATCTTCTTTGCAAAAACAAGCTGATTTGTTCTTGTTTACGTCTGTGCAGGATGTCAAGGAAGTTTCACACTTGTTTCTGCAAGATATATATATATATATATATATATGTATGTTTCACTGGTAAACTACCTTCTATATCCAATAGAAGCCTTTGTGACAATTACATATAGCCTGACACTGAAACAACAGCACATTGCAAAGAAATAGCCGTGTTCATGCAGTGCTTGTGATGACTATTCTGTGACGGTGGATATTTCCTTCCGTTTGCATGTTTTGATGCCTTACAACACAAAGTATCACTAGTTCTTCGGGATAGGTTATTTAAACAGTTGATCTGAGATCTTTAATCATAAACTTTTTGTGAAGAGAGTTGTGTGTGTATCATCTAACCGTTAACTTGTCCTATTTCGCAGGAAGCTGCACTGCACACGAAACTACATCCACTTGCATCTGTTTGTGTCTTTCGCACTGAAAGCTGTGGCGGTTTTCATCAAGGACGGGGTTCTGTATCACGTCGTGGAGACAGAAAGTTGCGAGTTACCTGTGAGTACTGTGTACTTCTCCACACTCACCAACACGCCACTTTATGTTATTATTGATTCTGTTCAGCATCAAAGCCCCGTATCATAGATCAAGTTAACTCCTCCATCCGACATGCCAGCAGCGGGCGCTTTCTGTCCTATCAAGCTAATTATTCTCTGAGACGTTACTGACTTCAATGCTTCGTCTCTCAGTTTACATAACATGTAGGAGCTCAAGTGCTCGTGGGTGTAGCAGTGTTTGCCAAGTCCCTTCCACTCCTGAGACAACCCCTCCTGATTCATCTCTCCAGCAGGATCCTGGCCCAGTTCCTGTTTGCTGAACATTAAGCCTCAACTAAAGAGAGCTTTGTCCATGAATCACATTTGAAGTTCCGCTATCTACTTTAATCATTTCATCTCGGCAACATGACCATGGAAACAATACCGAAACAGGAGCTGCGATAAGATAAGCCGCTGTATTGCAGTGGAGGTGCACTTTGGTACCAAAGCTGTGTTATTCTTATTTGATTGACGTCAGCGGCGTTTTTCAGCTCGTTCTCCAGCTCTTCAGCTTACCGAGGAGCATTAGACCAGCAGAACCGGGCACCTGCTTTACAACCTCTAAGTGCTGATTGTTAATGGCTGGCTTTCCTTTTGTATCCCTCATGGCACACAGGTTGTCCTGGTCCAAACACAGCTGCCCGTCCTCAACTGTTTCTAAACTAACAAATACAAAAAGGCAACACATTAAAAAGGAACCAATTCATCCCATCAAGATCAGGTTACTCGCGAAGAACACTAGTCAGTCTGGGGAAATACTTTACTATTGTATGAACAGTCAAAGTGACACCTAAAAGGAATGGATCTCAAACTGGATTGACACTTGTGACACATTAGAAGAAACCATTGGTTTGTATGATGGATGTAGAAGCGTGAAGAGTGTCGCCTCACTGGTGTTTTTACACCAACGGGAGTTTATATTTGAGGGGCTTTAGAATTACAACATGAATCTCAAATACAATTTAAGTGCAAATTAAAGCATTTCAGCGCCCATTAGCAAACTTTGCTCGTATTACTTTGGATAATAACTGTATCCTCTCTGCTGATTGACTAAAAGTCAAACTGAAAGTTTTCTCTTAATCGAGTCGTCAATACTCATTTTAAATGAATTTACTAAGAACGCTCACCGTGCAGCCTCATCCGCTGGCAGCTTAGTTTGTCAAGTGCATTGTGGTTTGCATTAAACTACATTCATTGGTAACCGCTGACATCATGGTTCTCCTGTAGGTCAGCTGCAAGGCAGCGGTGGTCTTCTTCCAGTTTGGGGTGATGGCGAGTTACTTCTGGCTGCTGGTGGAGGGCCTGTATCTCCACACTCTGTTGGCCGTCTCCTTCTTCTCCGAGAGGAAGTACTTCTGGTGGTACATCCTAATGGGTTGGGGTAAGTTCCATACCATAATATACCCTACCTCGATGATTAGAGACGGCTCGCGCAGGCTCATTTGCAGGAACATTTGAAATCTATTCAGTCTCAAGTAACTGCCAGAAATCTTCAATTAACCGGCAAGAGACGTCCATCAGCCAACCGGGAGCTTGTCTTGTCTTTACAGCGACAGCAACAACACACATCACAACATGTAAATTCATCAAGAGAGGTTTTGCACTGTTGCCTTTTCCATTTGCATGTGGCTGAGTCTGGCTGCCGTGTTCGATGAGCTGCCAGTCCGCTCCACTTTTATACTTCAGTACAAGCGTCATTCCATGCTTTTGATCCTCTCTATAGGAGCACAAGTAAGGCAGACATAATATGTGCATCAAATGAATCCCTGCCCAAACTAAGACAGTTTATTTTGATGATTGTATGTGGATATCAAGATTTGGCAACTGTAATGTTCTTTTACGGCAATAACGAAACTAGACCTGACATGTTGTGTGTGCCAGCTGGTAAATGGAAACAAGGCTTTGACTCCAGATACAGGATGAGACAATATTGGCACAGAGAGCATATGAATGTGATTAGAAGTGATAAGCTTAACCAAAATGCTCTACAGATAAGACATGCAAAGGATTACCAGCATGCACATGCATAAAGCTCACGGTCATGTTTGGGGATGTTCAACAGTTCAAATAGCCTCATTAATAGTTTATATCAACGCTCAACATCATTTCAATGTTGAAATCATTTAAAACACATTCAGTTTGTTTCTTTCAGGCGCTCCAACCCTCTTTATCTCAGCGTGGGTGATAACAAAGGCCTCTTCAAATGATTCCGGGTGAGTTAATCATTTGTCTTCACTCTCATTGGGTTTATTAATGTCGCGTATCGATACAGCTGCTTCAAACAAGACACATTTACTTATATTGCATTTGGTCTCAGTGGCGTCTGTGCCGGTAAACCATCTTACAAAGCGCCAAATGAAATGTGCTTTAGCATGCAATAATCATACTAAAGTTTGTGTTAGTAATTTATAAGGTATAAACGTTTGGATTGGATTGACTTTGAGAGAACTTGTTTGTATTTGCTCTTGTCCTTGGACAGATGCTGGGAGATAATCGATGACCGGCCTTGGTGGATCATAAAAACACCGGTTTTGGGCACCATACTCGTGAGTCCCTCAAAACGCCACTTCAGCGTTTCCTCGTAATGCATCAAATCAATCAGTTTCACTGTTGTGGCAGGTCAACTTTTTCCTCTTCATCTGCATAATCCGGATTTTGCGACAGAAGATGAATTGCCCGGACATCGGGAGAAAGGAATCCAATCAGTATTCGTAGGTTTTCCCAGCAGACAACACCTCTATCACAGCGTGCTTTTACATGTCGCCTTCATGTCAGATGACCCTGAATGAATGACGGTCCGCCGTCAGCAACCGTGACTCTCTTTACAAAGAGACGAGCTCAGTCTCGACTCAAGCTTTCGTAGATGAACAGGAATTTCACTTTTCTTTTTTTTCTAGGAGGCTGGCTAAATCCACTCTGTTGTTGATACCTCTCTTTGGCATAAACTACATTATTTTTGCCTTCATCCCCAACCACATCCACCCACAAGTGAGGATGGTGTTCGACCTCATTTTGGGGTCTTTTCAGGTAACAGCATGCAAGGTGTGAGTGAGAAATCTGTCAACATTCCCAATGTCAGACAAAAGCGGCACTATGTCATGATGAAATGAGGGATTTAACGCGCCTGATCCGTCTTTACAGGATTGGCATCTTATGTTTAGGTAAATATTTGTGCCGCAAATATGGCACCAGAATGAAAAATAGATTCCGTAAAGTTACATGAAAAACGTTTGTTTGATTAAGTAACTGGTTTGTTTAGCTGACATATTTAATTTGTTATGGTTGAATAATGAGGCTGCTGATTTAAGAATTAAATTCAATGTGAGCGCTAAATGCAATGATGGAAACCAAGCGATGGAAAGAATTCTCCATTTGTAACCGTTTTAGCTCAGAAGGAAAACTCCTGGGAACATTCCTAAAAGATGAACCTCTGTGGTAATCTTACAGTCATTATTCATACAAGCATTTTGAGTGCTTCCCCAGCTCTGCTATTGCATTAGTACTTTTTTATTGGGATGATATGTTTGAACTGCTTCTCTCTTCTTCAGGGTTTTGTGGTTGCAGTTTTGTACTGCTTTCTGAACGGTGAGGTAAGTACGTTGAAAAAAACTCTCTTTCAGACGTTCACCGTCCTTTTATGTCATTAAATGTCAGTGGCCTTCCTCTGCAGGCTCCTCCTCGTCCTCTTTGTTTACGCCGTCTCTTTGCAGGTACAGGGGGAGATTAAGCGTAAGTGGCGCAGATGGATGCTGCAGAGGTTCCTGGGCGCTGACACCAAGTACCAGCAGCCCTCCATGGGCAGCAACGGCAACAACTTCAGCACCCAGATCACCACGTTTACCAAATGCAGCCCGACGACTCGCCGGGCGTCCGAGTGCCAGGAGCGGCTCTCTGCCACCTGAAGCCCGGCTCACTGCCCGCTCTGCTACCGTAAACACCGCGGCATTCGCAGCTGATATTGATTACTGGAGGTTAATGTGACATTTTGGTACTGACGCTATTATTTGTTCTTAATCCATAACCAAAAGAAATGACAGCTGACAGCTTTTTAAGAACACGACACTTGTTTAGTAAATGAGATGAATCATTTTCTTTCATAACTATATTCCATACTGTAAACTAGTTTGCTTTCGAGGTAAAGCTTTGCTGTATGACGACTTCAACAAAGTCAACGACAACAAAAACACTACAGAATGTTGGGGACGAAAAGGGAAACGGAGCTCGCGGTCCGTGTTTTCCATCCAATGTTTAGCAACAGTCGGACACAGCCGGAGACGAGCAAGATGTTTATTAAAAGAGGGTGTAATACAAGAGGACGCCAAGCACTTAACCTAATGGCCCATGTTGCCAAGGGACCAGTGGTAATAACGTTAATGGCAGGCTGACAGCAATCACAGAGGAGGACTCCAGCGTGCTGGACGTCCCTGTCCTGTCCGGGACAGTTTTACACTCTGCTGAAATGCTGCCAGACGACATTCCACAGGAGGCCCTAAAGCTTGTGAGATACGTCTCAGATAGCAAAGGCTTTTAGTTTTGTCTGAGTGATCGGTCGCTCGGCAGACGTTGGTTTGGAGCGATTCTGAAGCTAATGGAGCAGCTGTATTCTGTTATTAACAACACTGCTTAGCTTCCATTACCTGGGTAGCATGGACAATGGATTTCATTGTTTGATTGTAAGCTTTCCATTCTGTTGTTTTCTATATGGGTTAATAAATATTATTATTGTTATTGTGCCGTACTGTTTGCCGCTAGCAGCCTGCCGGTTGATTGGTCGGCCCACTACTTTGGTCCCGTTGGAAATATCTTAATATAGGATGGATTTCAATGACTTTTTGTACAGACACTCATTGTTCCCAGAGGATGATTTTTAATTACTTTTATGATATGATAATAACGTTTTCTCTAGCGCCACCAACTGTTCAATGTTTCCATCATCTACACGACGGCGTCTGTTTCCAGTTGTTACGTTTTGTAACGTAATACTGGTGATTGTTCTCATGAGCCTCTTCCACACTTTGACTGTAGTACTTGACACATATCAGCATGCTCACGTGCTAAACTAAGAATGTGAACATAATGAACGTGTGGCCGCTCCACAGCATGTTAGCTAACATGCTACGGTGCTAGCATAACGTCACACAGACGCTAGCTTGGCTGCTAAATGAAGTAGTCTCTAACTATTCATCTGTCCAACGACATCAAGCATAGCAGCTGTTGTTCGCTCTCTGTCCAGTAATATTTTCAGATGTTTATTTGTGTCCACCTCCTGATTTAGACATGAATACACAGTTAGTGACGGTGTCACCTCGGACGTAGGGAGTTTTCCTTCTGTACCAGTTTAGGTAAAACTGCAAGTGAACGTACCTCAGAGTAGTCGACACAGTCGCTGTGTACATATTGTGTAAATGTGACTAAAGTCTTGATTCATGGGGAGTTTTGCGTTGAAGACTTGAAGTGCTCAGGTGTCAACGGGAAATCGATGTTTACATTTAAACGTTCCTCACTCGTGTTATTTGCGTCACGCCACTTACGTGTCTCCTATTTGTCACCATGTGCATGTTGTGTAAATACTGTGTACTGTACATTATCGGCTGTAAATATGAAGATGATTAAAAGCATTTGCACTGTGGGCCTCCGTGTCCCTCCAGCTAAACGTAAGACACATCGCTTTTACAGCGATACAATCAATGATTTTCTTTATTCCTGCTTCTAATAAAGCAAAAGGCTGTTATGAAAAGAATTTTATGAAATAATGACAAACAAAACAGATGTACACTGTACAAACAATGTAAATCAACATTTGGACTGTTTTTAAACTCTTTGGTGTGATATTATAATGAATGTTGTTAAAGCCTCACTTGGACTGAACACGTCTCCCCCTGCTGCTAAACATAATACTTTTCATCTTCAGTGACCACGTTCAATCGTTGCCTTGAAACCTTGGCTTGTACCTTAAGCCAATGTGGGACCACTCTCCACAACGAGTGCACTGCGATGCCACTGCGTTAACCTGCTGGCGCCGCCAACAGGTCGGATGGGTTATAACTTGGTGAGGCGCAGAGTGTTGAGGCGCACTGGAAGAATAGTGCATCCCTCTGCATAGCTAATCTCTCGCAAAATCCCATTCCAGCACTGGTCTGGCTCATCGTACCTGAGGAAACATAGAAATCTTCATCATCGTTTAAAAGGAGGGAAGATTACAGGAGACGTTTGGCTCCATTAATCATATTGAATGTTATAATGGAAATTAATAATACATTTTGTTTTTGCAGATTATTCTTTTCTGCATTTCAGACCTCAATCAACTATACGTTTATGTACAGAACTACAGTACAGCGTAACTTTTCTGGAGGCTCTCACCTCCAGATGTCCGTCATCTCTGTTGGGACGGGCTCCTCACTGGTTTCACTGGGCATCATAGCAAAGCCCCCCACAGCGTACAGGAAGCCTCCCATCGAGATCAGATTGAGGGAGCTGCGCTCCTGAGGGAACTCTGTGAACTCAGACCACCTGGAGCACAACACCACAATAACACACACACACACACGGGAGTTATGAAGGTGTCATAAGCTGCGACCTTGCTGTATAATATCATATGACCTTTTGATCTGCCATTCGCACGCGATGAGTCAGCTCGTCCACTGTGGACGGATGCGTCGCCTCATAACGACCAGATAAAGTGGGTCATATAAATAGAGCTGTTGTCTCACCTGTTGGTGGCGATGTCGTAGACTTCCACGGTGCTGGTGAGGCCTGAGTCGGTGACGCCGGTCACCACGTAGATCTGGTCTCGGTGCACGGTGATACCAAACAGGGAGCGGGCCGTCTTCAGGGGAGCCAGGTCCTTCCACTCAAACTTCGTGGGGTTGTAGACACAGACTCTTCGCATGCATTTCCTGTAGGAAACATGCGATACGGTGTGTGAAAGGGGATCGCTGCTGTCACATGAAGCTCTTTCTTTTCACTCTCAAGGTCGTACAATGTTTTCTGTGAAAAAAAGAGCTGTGATGATGTCATAAGCTCAGACTCTACCTCGACTAAAGACTAACAAATTGTAGCACTTAAATTGTACTTGTAACGTCACTCATCTATAGCAAATTGTAAATTGGCTTATTTGAGGAAATTGCACTTTCTTGTTTCTTGTTCTCCTGAGTTTGTACCCTATGGTTGAATGCACTTATTGTACGTCGCTTTGGATAAAAGCGTCCGCTAAATGACATGTAATGTAATGTAATGTTATGTAATGTAATAAGCTGCAGTTGGGCAGTTTAAGAGAAGGTGCTATCTAGGAGGCAGGAGGGGTTGGAGATGCTCCTGATTTGCATAGTGGGGAGTGAAGGACACAGTGCTTTTGATGCTGGACTCTTTGGTTTAGGTTTGAATATTTTCTGTTGTGAGTTTCTCAAACTACAGAACTACAATACCAAATCCCCAGAGTACCCATTTTTGGTTTTAATAAATGAGCGAAAAACTAATAAATTATGGTTCCATATGGTTTTAGCAAAAGGTGGAATCATATGATTAGAAATAATACAGATTATAGAGTTTAACATACTTGCTTTCAGATTTTCCTCCAACCACGTAGACTAGACCTTTGTGTGATACGGTTCCATGGCCGTACACTTCATAAGGCAGCGGGTCTGATTCTCCCCATTTGAATGACCTGTGCCCCAAGAAAAAATATATGTTAGTTTTTTTTTACATATAATGAAATACTAGTATAACAACATTAATGGAAATATGCAAAATTCGGAGCTTTACATGTGACTATTTTTATTGAGCGGAATAACTGGCTATTGAAAAGTAGTGAATAGAACACATTTCAAGAGAGGACCTCCCTGAAGGTGTGTCAGTGTTTCATTTAAACAACAAAAAAATCATTCATATAATATTTTGTATTAAATTTGATATCTTCTCTTACTGTCTGTCATAGATGATGACTGAGTCCAGGGCGTGCTCGCCCTCCTTCAGTTCCTTTCCTCCGACGACAAAGATGGAGTTTTCCGCTTCGGTCAGGCCGAACAGACAGCGGGGGCTGGGTTGCGAGGGCATCCCTAACCACTCTGAACTCACTGGGTCAAACTAGGGAAGACAACAATGATATGTGAGGAACAAGAGGCACAAGGGAGAGAAAATAAGCAAAAACTAATGTACCCAATGTACTAAAGCCAAACTACCTGCAGGAAGTAGGAGCTGTATGGTTCGTCTTTGTTTTCTTCGTTGTAGAGAAGTCCTCCGACAACAAACACCTGGTTCTCCTTGGTAACAAGGCTACAGTGGTTTTTGGGAATTTCTGTGGACTCAGAGGCCACAAAGCACTCATTTCCAACCGGGTCATACGCCACAGTCCCAGTGTCGCTGATCATAAGTATCAGCTCCAGCTCAAACATCCCAAAGCGAGGGTTGTTGTTGAGTATACCCGGCAGGTATCCTTCCTCCTCCTCATCGTCCTCCTCCTCCCTTCCTTCTCCTCCCTCTGCCCCATCGTCGCTGGGCTTACTGGGCTTTGGGAGACGCCCCCTGTAAGCATCGTTGACGAGATCCAACTCCTTCTTGATGTCCTGGCTGAACCGCAGGTACTGGTGGCTCTCCACTTTTTCTTTGAAGTAATCCAAAGGTATGAGCCGGAAACGGACACAGTGCAGCAGCTCCGGCAGGTCCTTGACCCGGTTGGTCTCGTCATGTCTGACCCAGTCCATCAGGGACTCAAACACCTGCTCTTCCCGATCAATGTTGAGGGCGTCTGAGGTGATGATGATGGCCAACTCGCTCGGGCCCAGCTGCAGGAAGTCCTGGTGCCTGACAATAACCTGGTAGCGCTCGCAGATGAACTCTCTAGCGGTCAGAGCGAGCCTTTTTATTTTGTTGCAGCAGACCTAGCCTGAAGATAGCCTAGGAGATTCCAAACACCCGCTTCTCTTGGAGGAAGGACACACATACTGAAAAGATGGAGGGGATCTGGTACATGTTTGGCAACCATGATGATATCCTGGACGTTCTGTTCCGTCAGATTAAAGTCACACGTATACTCGTATCTCAGAATCATCCCCATAATACCCGGCTCCACGTCTTTGAGGACAATCTCGCGCTTCTTGCTCTCCTCCAGGTCGGACAAGAACATGGCCTTGAAGAAGGGGCTGCTAGCAGCCAAAACCAAGCGGTGGCAGGGGAACTTCTGGTCCTGAATTTTGAGGACACAGTCCACAAACTTGTCGTTCTCCAAGAGGTCACACAGTCCGTCCTGAAGCAGACTCTGTTGGTACATCCGAGGCTGCTCCAAAGGGTCTATGGTCATGGCAGCCATGTTATTCCGTGTCTTTGTCCCGGTTGGGTTTTGTTGGCACTCTACTGTCTCCCCACAGCAGAGCGGAACTGCCAGCGTGCACAGGGCTGCTCTGATCGCCGTGGAGAGCCTCTCCCGGTTGGTCGGCCAGTGGCTGCAGCTGTCTGTGGCAGTCAGTCACTGCGGCGTATTTATAGACAAGACCCTCACAAAGCCGAGGAATCCATTTTGGTGGACCCATCCTGCACCACGCAGACCCCCACAAACAGCTGAATGACTAAGCACGGTGGTGACGGCGAGTTCAATCCAGCAGAACGTCTCACTTCTTTTTGGTGCTCATGACTGCACTTGACTCTTTTTTCAGACACTTTTTAAAAGTTGTTTTTCTGTCTACGATCCACTATTGATTGAGGAACTACACATACTGTGGCTACAGTGGGGTTAATCGGTGTACCGCATTACATGGACAGTACCGGACCGTATGGTGTGTGTATATAACAGCAGCTTCATATCTTCACACCAGCATCTTGCATAATAAATCTCCCCTGACACCTCAAAGTGGAATAAATTAAAGTTTCAGAACCAAAATCCCAGCCAACATGGGCACAACCCTGAAACGTAATGCTTATTCTCAGAGTCCCTCCGAGCCTTCCTCCGGTTACAAACAGAGCATGTGATACACGTCACCATGTACCACTTGTTTCTCAATAGTATTTAACATTGTTCATACTAAATGGCCTTTTATCACTCTCACGTTGATTGAAAAAAAAAGATTGGATGGAAATGTCAGGGTGAACACAAAATGGTCTCAAATCTCACTTCTCAGTGACATATGTAGTCAGGGAAGATAATTATGGTAAACACCTAAATCGTTCAAGCCAGAGACACATCTGAAGTGATGAACAACACTGGCACCTGTTGGCTGAAAACCAGACAGGAGAAAAAGTCCCCCTCTACTATGAGGTGAGTCGACACCGTTTAATACACACAATGCGCACACAGTTAACAGTTACACATTTGCATTTCCTGCAAACTGTAAATTGTCCCCCAAACACAAAACTACTTTAAGTGTTCACGGAGAAAAATGCGATAGATGGACAATGGCAGTGTGACGCTAACGGAAAATGCTCCATAAAGGTGGTAAAGGAGGACGACACGTTTGTTCAGCCGCTTATTCACATTGCACAGAGACGTTAAGGATTAAAGAAGGAACAACAAAAAAACACATGAAATCAGACAATATTTAGTCATTTATGCATAAAATATTTTGCCATTGAAGCTGTTCTAACCCTTATTTAAAATCACCTCTTGTCTAATTAGGAAAGAACCTGCAAGACGTTCAAATCAGAGCGTCAAAGGTTAAAAGAAATCTGCCATTCAAATGGATTTAGTTTTTAGGCGGGACATTGGGATTAGGCCGCTGACTTGTCTAAGAGAATTACCCACAAGTCATTGCAATGCAAAATGTGAGGTTAAACTCATGGCGAAAGGTAAACAAAGAGGCTGACACGTGTGGGTCATATTCAATTTATAGAATTAAGGATTAAAGATGGGCAAACAAAAACAACACATAAAATCAGACAATATGTTATTGAAGCTGTTTTGATGAAAAAATAACGCTCAAATCAAGTAGTAAAGATGTGAAATATCAATTACACATCAATTTTTTTACGTTGTCATAGTGACGCAGTTTGCTGCAGCAAAGTGCTTTACTGTTCGTATTTACACCATTTCAAGGCCTCACAGGCGACTTACAATAAGTGCATTCAACCATAGGGTACAAACTCAGAAGAACATCCACTTACCAGGTGAAGTCAGGAAGTCCCTGAGGGTTCAGGGTTCAGGGTTTAAGGGTTTAAATGACCTGTAATGTAATGTAATATTGGGCAATAGGAGGAAAGGCCCATCCAGGCAGACAGCATCCAGCTGTGTGGATGAACCCACGTGTTTTGATCAAGTTTGGTGAAACTGGGCCATCTTGTGGAGATACATGAAAACGACTCACTGTCACCAAAGTAAAACCCCACCTAGTCTTTAGTTGCGCATTTTCATTTTTTTCTGATTTAAAAAAGACTTATAATATATCCAAACAAATACTGTACATCCATTTTCCTCTCCATTATATTCTGCAGTAAAACAAACTTCTACTTGTGTCACTTTTAGATGAGACTTTATTTCAAGTCGAATAGTTACAAACTCCTTTGAATAGAAACCCCTCAAATTAGAAAAGGCATTACAATCTTCCTCCAACGTTAGTTTGTTCTCTCTGTTCCCTCACAGGCAGCATGAGAGAGCGACCCACATTCAATGAAGGAGCCTCTGGCCTTTGTCGGAGCACTGCAGCCTGCATCGTATCAACGAGGGACGAGGAAAGACACAGTGAAAAGGCACAGCTAAGGTAGTCGGTAAGGTAGAAAGCTCTGTGGACGGTTTATCTACGTTCAATAGAGCTAAAACATTCTCCATCCACTAACTATTCTCACCTTTTGACTTATGTCAGTGCTTCGTAACAGTAGAGCAAATATGCTTTAAAATCAGCTATGTGGAGCAGCCTTGGTTTATTTTCTATATTGCACTCCATGCGCCCTGATTTCAAGTTTTTCAACCTTTCAGTGTGGTCAACATTGTGATGCCTGAACTTCTAATGAAAAAATCATAAGTGAACAGAGGAGACATCTAAACAGAGACAATTATTCTTTCCTTAACAACGTGGGTTTTCTTCATCTACATTATTAGGTTTAGCATTGTAAAATATCTAGCGGGCCTGGCATTTGATGAACAGGCTAAAATACTGCCGGTCGGTGGATTTGGGCCAAAAGACGTGATGATTATCTACATCAAGTGCACTTGAGGACATTTCACAGTTCAAGATGCTGCCTCACTTGTGACAAAGGCAATATAAAAGACTTATAGGCTTGTGAGCAATTCAGTGGCTGACTGGCTGTTACAGTCCGGTTAGGTACAGTTTGCAAAGCCAAGGATGGAACAATGCGTGGAGGTGAGGCGAGGAGGGGACGGGTGGCGGCGGTTGACCGTGAAGTCTGCGACAGTCCGTTTTTCGGAGGGGTTTATTCTGCTTTTTCTTTGCCCCCGTCCACGGCCTTCACCGGCTCCGGATCGTCCAGCAGGGCTTGTTGTCGCTCCCTTTCCTTCACCAGCTGCACGCCACAGTAGGTCACGAGTAGCACAGAGAGGGTGGACAGAGGGAAACCTGGAAGACAAAGAGGGCAAAGAAGGACACAGTGAAGACGAAAGGGTGCAGCTTCTTTGTGCTGTGCCTGGAGTAAAACTCAAGTGAATACAATGATCTGTATGCGAGAAATCCAAGTAACAGAAAGCAACAAAGGGTCACGTGATATCTGGATAATCTGTTGCTTTGCTGTCTGAGATGTTCACGCTTTGGCAAGAACGGACAGAAAAGATTTACTCCGATTTCATATAATAAATCTTCGTTGTCACACACCTTTAAAAATCAGTCGTCTTCCCACCAGTTTGGCAAACTCCAAACTGTTCAGGGCGAGGACATTGTAGAGGACAATGGTCCAGAAGTTGGCAGCGTTGAACACACCCCGGATCCTGCGTGACATGCCTTCACCCATCAAGCCCTGTAGATGCAGCGGCACAAGATCACACAAAGCAAAACGCCGTATATTGACTGCCAGTGATTTTAATCTCGATGTATCTCACTTCAATGGTAGAAAATGGCGGAATGGAGAACAACTTGGCGACCCACAGCTCAAAGTTGAGGCCGAAGCAGTTGAAAAAGGACCAGATGTAAACCAGCTGACACGGGCCAAGCCACAAGGTGGTGATGGCGAAAGTGCAGATGGTCGCCAGGAGCTCCTTGAAGATTTTATCGTGATCCCCGCCAATGTAGTCGTAAACATACCTGCAAATGACCTCTCCAATTCAACTTGGTTCCAACTGATCTTCGCTCTTCACAGTCGGGTCTGTAATTTAAACCAGATGACTTTGAACTCAAACACTCACTTGCACAGCCAGTCGTTGATGCCTCGGTCAAAGTGCCTGAAGAAAGACAAGTTTACACAATGTCAACGTCCAGCACCCTCAACAAAGCTTCCAGAGGTCAGAGATTGGTGTAAATCCCACGTACGTCTCGGAAAAGACGTAGAGCATGGTGATACACTTGGGAGGCTGAGGGGGGTCCAGGTGGTCCAGTGTAGCCACAGTGTTGATGACACCGAACATCACGGCAGCTTTCACCCAGTCATACACCAGATTGGAATAAGCCAGACCAGCTGCACAGGTACACGTGGAAATGAGGCAAGAACACTACTGGTAGAAGTTAATACATCAATTTCTTCTATATATGTTAGATATTAGTCCTTTGCAACCAGAGCCTCATGAAAACAGCGTGGGAACGTATGTGCAACTCACCGAGACTCCAGTCAGTAAGCTTGGACACCAGCTTCATGTCACTGGGGATAGTCAAGATGTAGAGGTAGTGGAAGAAGACGTCCACCACCAGAATAACCCCCAGATGCTGCAACGCCTTGGTGGTGATGTTCCACAGCTCCCTTTCCTTGCGGGTCAGCTGGGTGTTGTTCACCTGAGGAAGGCCAACATGTGCGTTGTAAAAATGATATGACTGCCGCAGCATTCCAGCGCCCAACCTCTAACCAGGTCGGGCGCCTCCTGCCTCTGCCCGTGGCATCATGAGTATAAATGCATGTATATGGCATTATGATCGGGTTACATTCGCCTTAAGGAGTCATATATATACACCCGTGAGTGATGGCTTCATAGCTACTGTATAATTTGAGAAGGGCTGCTGGGCTCTGTTCACTTTCACTCATTTTTCATCACTCCCACCTGGGCATGGAACCTGTCAAAAGTCATGATAGGTCCAAAAAAGAAGAACGGGAGGTAGAAGTTGTATCGCAGCAGGTCGGAGAATGTGTAGTTGCCGTCCTTCCTCTCGCAGTTCTCCAACGCAAAGCTCGTACAGCGCATGATGCTGAAGCCGCATCCTCCATAAAACAGGATGTCCTGCAGGTCGAAAGAGCCCGTCACCAGGGCTTCCTGAAGGAGGACCACATCATCATCATCATCTACTGTCATTTTGTACTGTATTTGAATGCGTCTGTTTAAAATGAGATCTCCTTCTAATTCCCAAAGCTGATTCTATAGCAGTGTGTTCAGTCTTAATGCTTCTATAACACTGATCTAAGGTTCGAACCCGGCACCACCCGCTCACCTGCCAGGAGTTATAGGGCTCCAGCTTGATGGAGGCCAGCGTGGTAAGGCCAGCCGCAAAGATCAGCCACTTCTTCTTGACTAGGGCGAAGCTGTAGAGTACGACGCAGTGAGACAGGACCAGGGCCATGAAGGTCCAGCCCATCGTGATCAGCACTGCCAAACAACCGTACACAGCAAAGATCAAGGATCTGTGCTGTGGGTAAAGAGGGGCCAACGTCAGAGTGACGTCACGGCGAAGGACGACACCACTGTCACGTATACCACGACGGATGGAAACAAGATGGAAATATTACACTACGGGAGGAGAGGTGGGGGCAAACAAATCTACGCTACATGTAGTTACTATTTTAATGAAACACATGGCAAACGTTTATTAATGTTACCTTACATCCATCAATACCAATCTTCATTGTTAGCATGAAACAAGGCAGAAAACATGTCGCTTTAAAGATGTGAACATTATTGTTAGTCTTAATCATTGCAGCTCATGCATCAAGTCAATTAGCTGTACAAATATATAGCATATTGCTCATAGAATAGAATTACACTGAACCGAAGTGCATGACCTGTACAGCCCAAGGTTTACGATTAGCATCAGTACATTGCATTTTATATGTTTGTATCACAAAACATATTAAGTCTGGTGTGCGGCCTTGACGCACCCACGTGCACACACAACGTGCAGCATCAGAAACACGCCATTGCACCTGTGCTTCACACACTTGCACGCACCTTTGGAGCCAAGAGGGTGAATATCTTGGCAAAGACAACGTGACCCATGAGAGCAAAAAGGATATGATTGCGGAATGTAGAGAACCACATCATCCACTCGAAGTCTGCAACGTCCTGTGGCAAAGTAAGATGCATTATTAACGCACGGCAGCTGCTCCCTCCCAACGTCTTGCATTGGCAGACACACTAAGGCGGTTACATGGGAGCAATTCACCATTTTCCTGCCAAAGTAATGCCATCCAGGTTTCACACTTTCTTTGAAGGCCTTTCTGTTCACATTCTCTGAAAAGAGAAGAGAAAAAGCACAATTATCAAAGAATAAAATAATCCACTAAGTGGTACATTTTCAACTGTTCAACTCAGTTTTGGGGTTTTGAAATAAGTCTTTTGAGAATGAAAAAATGCTTCTAAGGTCTGAGAAGTTATTCGTTTGATAACATCAAATATTGCATAATGCACTCGTCTACACTCGTAGGGTGATAATCCACTGGCAGGAGATTAGTTTGCTCCTGTCCTGAGTCAAAAGCCAACCCAGAGATGATAAGAATCAAAAATGTGTGATGATGATGTACAAGGTGACAAATGGGACGGGCACGCTGCCCCGACGGGAGCTGACCTGATTACACTAATGGACGTGGAACAGGGATATCAAAATGTGAGGGTCAGTCAGGGAAAGCCTCTTAATTCTGGGAACAGGGCCAAGCTTCTATTCAGACCTGAGCCGTGTAGAAGCTCGCCGACTGAGCAGCCAGAAAAAGAAAAGAAAGTCAGGGAAGAACAAGAAGCGCATGACTCGTCTGACTGTACAGTGTGTGACGGACAGCCCCCTTCGGACCACCCAGCCAGTGGGTGAAGAGGATACGTGGATATACTTGGCGGTGTTTCAGGGGGAGACGTCGGGGGTTAGCTGACTCAGTGTAATTAGATTTAGTCGGAAATATCAGGAAAATAATTAGAACATAATTGGACCAGCTTTAAATTGTCTTTGTATTAATAGGAACATGCGAGTCCGTAAGGGAGGGGGGGGGGTCTTTGTTTGCTCAATTACATTAACTTTGTTCTGTGCAGATTGAGGTTAGATTGAGTCCATAATAATGAAGTGAAATTGTCCCAAAGAGAGGGATTATTCTGTTGGGTCCATTTCCTCGTGTGGCGCGACGGACTTCGCTGAGCTTATAAAAAGTCGTTGTGCTGTCATTGTGTGCGCTTTGGACGTGTGTTGACATTTCCTGCACTCACCACTTGAAGCTTCCGATATCCAACTGCCTGCCCATATCAAGGCTGCAGCGAGCACCGCTGAGTAGAGATACAGCTCATATCTGGGGAGGGCAGCCTTGATCCCCATGGTGGACCTGCAGAGGCTGGAAGCCTGACGGGGTCAAAAACATCACACCTGACTGACGGCAAACAGCATTAAGTAGTTATCGAGTTTTATCCAACCAGTGTTACCATGTTTCCTTACTCCAGATGTCACCGGTCATGTTCCAGTTAGGGCTGAGACAAGCGGGGGCCTTGAAGGCCGAACACGGAACATGGAATTCATTCACGTGTAAATGGTTCACTGCAGTAATTCGTACAGTCTCTTTACAATATACCAAAAAAAACAGCCTAACATAGCCTGACAAAATCCACAGACCTAAACCGCGTATCATTATGTTGCTGCATTACACAACACCGCAGGTTCATCCTGACAAATACGAGTCTCTTAGTAGGTGACATTTTACAGATAATCCTTCTAGGATCCACCAGGCAGTGATTTAAATAGTACTGCAGAGCTCTGGCTCCTCGGAATCAGCACCGTCAGCTGCGCAACCCTACCCCTCCTTCCTATTATAGCTCGAGCTGTCGGTCCGGCTGTACAGCAGCTGCACCGCTATGTGATCTGTGAGAGGCTGCACACAAGAATCAGCACCGACTGGAATGACCAAGAATGGTGCATCGTAGTAGGAAAAACCCGATAGACGATTACTTTCCAGAGGGGAATGATGCACTCACACCTGTGTGTGTGTCTGTGTGTGTGTGTAACCTATGTGTGTGTGGGTGTGTGAGCGGGCTCATGAGCTGAAGTTAAAGAAGTTGGACTAACAAGTGCTGTGTGTGCCAAGATGTTGCCACGGCTAAGCAGGACCCCAGCACAGCGCCCTGCATACAGATACGGAGCCGATAGCACACAGGCCTTTTAGCATTGATTACTATACTCACTCCTCCATTTAACCCTTTGTACCATTAAACACACTTGTTTCTACTAACCTTGTATCCGCTTCACGCTGTCAAGATGCGGCAGCGGCGTTTGAAGCCAGAATCTTCGATGTAGAGGATGATTATGTTTTGGTTTTGGTATTTTTAAAGGACGCGGTTTTAGCAGGTTTTCTAATTCATCCGTCTTGTGGGGGGCTCGCCGCTGCCGATCACCAGGCTCGGCCAGTCAGGATGTTGCGGACTCAACTAGAGGAGGAGGAAGCGGAGGAGGAGGTGGAGGAGGAGGTGGAGGAGGAGGGGGTTGAAGGGTGTGTGTGGGGGGGGGGGATATATTTATCCTTCTCTACTGCACCGCAGTGAAGGGTGTTCTGCACCGAGCACAAGAGCCCAAAACACGCTGGGATAAAATGTTCAAGAGAGAGAGCGAGAGCGAGAGCGAGAGCGAGAGCGAGAGCGAGAGAGAGAGAGAGTTATATAGACAGTTAATATCTACAATATGATTGACACACCATAGAATATCTCTACTGATTCACCAGTGACAATAAATAAATAAGCATACCAAACATAAAGCATGAATGAATGAACATTTTTTTTAAACGCTGCTGTTGTAAAAACTGTGAATCTAAAGTTTATTTCGTTTCGTTATGGTGTATAATGTATCTACTGTTTGGTATCACATTATAAAGTCTAAAGGGACCTTTGATGTGGCCTCATGAAGGGGGTCCGAGTGAAGACGCACAGCAGGGGGCGCTGTCGGCTTTTAAAACGAGCCCTCAGAACACGTCAAGGGCTTGAGATTCAACTAGTTCGCTGGGATTGTTTCACGGCGCCGTGTGAACGGTGTTGGCGGCTGGTTCCTGCGCGTCTCTTGAAGTGTTTTCACGCTAAACGGCTGTGAGTTCGTTGCGTGAGCGCAGCAGTGACAGGTTGAGAATCCATCACAGAAACAAACCGCCCCCTCCCACTCCGAGCGCCCCCGCTCCAGATGCTACTCCAGAGACATACAGCCTCCATGTTGCAGGGCCAGCGGGTGGACGGCTCGCTGTAACGCGTTAGCTCACTTCCAAGGGGAACCACTTGGACACACGTAGCAGGACGCGAGCGATCCTCCGGCGGGCTTCCTGCTGGCGTCAACGTCCGCGCACACGCGGCCTCTTATTCTGGATGATCGGAGCTCCACAGCTAACTCGAGCCATTTGCTAACTATTTGCCAATTCAACGTCGGTTGCTTTTATTTTTCTTTAAGAAAAGCGCGTTCCGTCGCTATTGTTAAGAAAACCACTTGTGTTGCAGCGGTGATATTTTGCGCGGGGCCATAAATGACAGCCGTCCGAGCGGCTTCCCTTCAGCACCCTGCTAGCTGGCGGCTGTCCCCGCGGCAGCGACGCCTCGGTCGGCTTTGTGGCCGCTCAGCCTCGCCTCACACGGCTAACGTTAGCTAGCAAGCGACCCGAGCGCGCCAGCACGAATAACACTGTGGGGAACCATCGCAGGAACAACCACCCGTCTAAATGGACCACATGTCCATAATAACCCAAGTTTCCAACCCAAAGGATGAAGAAGTACAATCCCTTAACCAGGAAAAAGGTAAGGGAAAGTCCATTAGAGGCGCACAACTAATGTTAGCATGCTAACTACTTTTCTCTGCTGACATTAGCTTTTAGCTCGCACTCGCTAGCTGGTTCGGCAACTAGTTGAAGACATGTGATATGCATTTATTACACGGACACTTGACTAGCATTAGTTAACACACTGTGTATAAGCATCGGACTAACTAACGTTAACTAGCGGCAGTTTGTTGCGCCTCCGACATGAAGAGCGCGAGCGTTAAACCCTCAAACCGGCTCCGTTAACGTTAGTTAATAATAGTTAGTGCGTGAATCACTAGTTGTCCACGTCCAACACGTTAAGCTGAACGATGCCTTCTGTTGGTTAATCCGTGCTGTCAGACAGCTGGACTTGGTGATTTGGTGATTGACGAACGCAACAAGCGCTCCTGTGCAAAGTGCTTCATTGTGATTGAAGAAGAAGACGCAGACAGGATCACTCATCTGCTCCCAGTTGGGTTTCTAATGGAATCAGGGAATCGGGACATTGTTTTCTGACTCGTGTGGGAAGTCACAGCGATGTCGGGCTCCTTCCCTGTGCTTTTGCATTCAAGCTTTACTCAACCTGTTTTCTTCCTCTTCATCCATGTTCACGCTTCAGCCTGATTATGAGAGGAGGTCAAACTCCTCCATAGCTGCTTAATGTCCATTCTTTCCCATTCCTGGAGCCACGCCGACACTTCCCGGGTCACCCGTGCCCACGGGATGGGTGTCAGTATCACATCTCGCCCCCGCTTGTAAGACCATCGGTAATGTGAGAGTCTCCCAAGCACCACAATGCCTTCCCTCTGAGGGTTTTCCTCAGTTTGAGCTCCTCGGTGCATGTAGTGGGACTTGTAGGATGAATGCAGTTCGGGTTGCATTGCAGCGATACACACACACAGCATCTTTATTAAAGGTCAAGTGAAGATCTCACCAAGATGCCATTCGTTTGAAATAAGTCAAATATTAACATTATTGTATTAATAGCATGGCAATACTCGCTTCTTCCATTTCTTCTATTTCCAATTTGAAAAACTGAAAACTTTTTGTTCTTGTTGCATTCAACAAATAGACAACATATCTGTCCGCTTTGTCCCAGTGTACACCAGGATTCTTGGCTTTATTCCCTTTAGTTTATTATGCAACCAGCCAATGATCAGTTAACATGCAGCCGTAGCAGCAGCTGTCTGAGAGGAATTCTGACAGCTAGTCTTAAAACGCTTGAACCGGCTCCAAGCTGGCTGGACAAAAATTGACCACCTTTGCTCTCCGTGTTCCTGCACTGGCTGTCTAACAGCACGCGCCTGCCTTTCACACTGGTTTGGCTGCAAAGCAGCAGCCTAAATATAGACAGTGTGCCCTATTGGCCAGAACACCACTGACCTCCAGGCCCAGTAAAACCGACAATGACGACAATGTTGTTTTTGTTATTACTGTGATGCAAGGCCTCAGTTGGAAAACCAACTGCAACTTGATTATCAGAGACCATGGAAGGGGCTGTGGTCTTAGTGGGGCTTTTTTTCCTTGTCGGGGGGGTTTGCGCTCAGACCTTAATGCATGTATGAGATGCAATGGTGTCTCTTTCATGAGGCATTCCTTCGCCCTTCGGATGCTCATCTGCAGCTGTCATGGAGTCCAAGATGTTTCTTGGGGCTGATTAATGTATGTTGGTCAACGTCCTCTCCACCGTACAGGTTTGGTCAGATACAGATTGAGGTTCCCCCATACGGATGTTTAGCCCTTATCAATCTGCAAGTCTTTAAAAGCATAAGACTTGCAAGAGAAAACATCTGCTGTCAATCAAGTTGAACCAGACGGCTCTGTTGAAATAAGTAGAGGTTCAATGGAGCTTCAACTAAAAAAACGGGACATCCTGAAGTTATGTTTCGATCGGCCCAGCAGGTAAATAAGATATATATTTATATAGATAGTACATAACGCTCAGGGTTTTGATTCTCCTTGGAAATCATAGAAAATAAATGTTTTCAAATTTTTAATTTACCTTTCGTACAATGCAATTTAATTGATTAGTAAGCAAATCATGTTAAAAGTATTTACAGAACAATATGTGTGGGATATGCAACAAAATATATTATTAAATGGCTTGTGACTTATGTTTTAGTGATATGATACCCATTTGTGCATGTGTGGATTTCCTCCAGGACTGTTCCCTGTTTACCCTACATACAAATATATAGATTTTATATACAGCTTCCCATTGACATTTATTTTGGTTCATTCTTTGGACTCTTAAAATGAAAATAACAGCTGTGGCCGACTAATAACTGCTTGTGTTGTAGCCAGAGTGCTACATGCTAACTACTTCTCTAACCTGTGACCATGTCGTGTTTTTGAGGTGATGCTGTTGCAGCCTGTGGGACAAACGCAGCCCTGCACAGTCTGTCGATTATGGTCTTCTGTTTAGACGTGTAACTGTCTTCCAAACCTAATGATTAAACACTTATGGGCGATCATAATCATTTTGTCATTCCGTCACAGACCTTTCCTCTCTACGCAGATATGCAAGTTCAACATCAGTGGGAGGCTTCACTCAATTTTAAGAATGGTTAGATTGTCTTTTTCGTAGGTCAGAGGAATAAAGGCACTAGACAGTTGATGGGGATACTTCCTATTGACGTGCAGTGGACAAATCCTCTGCCCCACCTACAGCTGACCAAACCCGAAGCTTTAAGGTGTCCCACACTGCACACCGTGTGGGACCCGTTAGCTTCTCCCTGGGCTTGACTGACCCCGGCCAAAGCAAAGCAATGTGTCAAGGGTCATAAACCCACCCACGAGTCTCTCGCCTGGACGTGTCCTGCCGTCCCGGTGAGGGAGAAAAGGGGCTTTTCTTAGTCGGAACCCCACGGGGAGTGTTTTTTCTCACGGATAGATGTGTGGAACAGCCAGGCAGTAGCTTGTTGTTGTTGTTGTTGGTAATACATGCGCATTATGTTTGATATGCTTGGAATGTGTTGTGAATAAGGGAGCTGAACTTTGACCTGTAACGTGATGAGTTGGGGCGGAGTTGGCCTTGCGTCATAACGGCCTCAGGTGAGCACTGTGAGGGTCTGTAGTGCAGCTGACGCCTCGCTGGCCCGCTCACAGACCGGCTCACAGACCCGCTCACAGGCCCGCTCACAGGCCCGCTCACAGGCCCGCTCACAGACCCGCTCACAGGCCGGCTCACAGACCGGCTCACAGACCCGCTCACAGGCCGGCTCACAGGCCCGCTCACAGACCCGCTCACAGACCCGCTCACAGGCCGGCTCACAGGCCGGCTCACAGACCCGCTCACAGGCCCGCTCACAGGCCCGCTCACAGGCCCGCTCACAGGCCCGCTCACAGGCCCGCTCACAGGCCCGCTCACAGGCCCGCTCACAGGCCCGCTCACAGGCCCGCTCACAGACCCGCTCACAGACCCGCTCACAGACCCGCTCACAGACCCGCTCACAGACCCGCTCACAGACCCGCTCACAGGCCGGCTCACAGGCCGGCTCACAGGCCCGCTCACAGGCCGGCTCACAGGCCCGCTCACAGGCCCGCTCACAGGCCGGCTCACAGGCCGGCTCACAGGCCGGCTCACAGGCCCGCTCACAGGCCGGCTCACAGACCCGCAGAGCTGAAAGGACGAGACAAAGTCCTCCTTTCTGAAGTACTTCAATAACCCCATTAGGTTTTGTTTTACAGATAAACAAAGCTCACTCTGCCAGATGTGGTCATCTGGGGCATCATAGAGAACCATTTGGTTATTGATGTTTGCACAAGTTAATCAGTTAATTTGTTTGGCATTTGGTGGTTTTTGCAGTATTGTGTAAAGGTTTAGTGTTTGGTAAGACGTGGCCTTTATACTCTGGAAACTCCTGCGTCCAGTTTTACTCTTCTTCTCTGTTAGTAGTGATAGTACTATTTAATATCTTACTATATATTATCACTGCGTCAATGAGCAATTCCCACTGTGCTACGTGGCTTTATGTCACATAGTGACTGGTGGTTTGAATGATTCAGTGTCTGCGGCACTGACTAGTTGCCCTCTAACCAGCCGGCTCAGTTTGTATTGAAAAGCAGTGATCAAGGAGGACGGTGATGGAGGGAGATGACCGAGGGGCCGGGGAAGTTCATGCTGTTCATGCGTGACAAACATGTCAGTGTGCAGTACATTTCCTGCACTAATAAGTATTTTTAGCTGAGTATAGAATTTACACTCGCCGGCCACTTTATCGGCTCACCTGCACGTTGACATGTACATGGTCACATCTCTATGCGTGTCGGCGTGCTCAACCCGAGTATCAGAACGGGGAAGAAAGCGGATTGAAGTGACTTGGTTGTTGCCAGGCGGGCTGGTCTGAGTACGGGACTAACTGCTGATCTACTGGGAGTTTTACACACAACCATCTCGAGGGCTCACAGACTGGTGGACTCCAAATGCCTTGTTGATGTGAGAGGTCAGAGGAGGACGGGCAGACTGGTTCCAGATGAGAGAAAGGCAACAGGAATGCAGAATAGCATCTCTGAACGCACAACGCGTGGAAGCTTGAAGAAGATGGCGATCAGGGGAAGACCACACCGGGGACAGGAAACGGACTCCAGTTCACTGTGGTATTTGTTATTAGTAATTTGTACTAGTTAGTACAAATGTCTGTTTGTGTGTCACTTTGTGGTCCTGACCTTAATCTAGATGCTATGAGCCATAATGCTATTTGCTCCTTGCTGGTCTTTAGCATTCTGCTAGTGTGAGCTGAAGGGTGTGGGGGAGGGGGGTAGCGGGCGGAGAGGAATGCAGCCTTGTATAGGCTCTCTGGGGTGCGAGGGCCTCCCACCTCCTCCCTCCCCTCAGCTCGGGTCCAGGCTGCTTCCGTCACTCACCTGACAGCCGAAACATGGGAGGCCAACGTAAGCGAGCTTTCAAAATGGAGACCCCGAGGCCAATCGGGTGGGGGGATCCACGGCCGGGCGAAGGGGGGCAACTTGTCACTATTAATAAAAGCTCGCTGTCTGATTTAGGTCCTGCTCCGCAGGTCCGGAATGAGGAGCGATTTGCAATCTGAGCAGAGGTCCGAACGGCCTCTATGCGTGACCGATGAAGTCACCCGGCCCGCAGACTTATTTTCTGATCCGTGGATCAGCCAAGCCGGGTCAACAGAACCAACACTGACCATTTAATCACAGTCACGGTGCAGCTCACACCTCTGTGGTCACTTAGGGGGTTTGTCATTTACACACAGTCATTCCAGTAGCATCCACTTGCTCGGCATGCAAATAAGCAAAAGTAAACGCTTCCTGGTTTTGGCCGCTCCGTTATCTTTATTTACTCCTGCCTTGTTCACCCTCTGCCCCCCCCCCCCTCCTGCTGTTTCCACAGCGTCCCAGTCCAACAGCAGCCTGAAGAAGCAGAGGAGCCGGAGCATCTTCAGCACATTCTTCTGCTGCTTCCGCAACTACAATGTGGACCCGCCCGCCAACAACACCAACACCAGCTCCCAGCCTCCCCCCGTGGAGGAGAACGGGTCCCCTCCCAAGGTGAGCTGCTGCCCCCCTAAATGCATGCATTGTTGGGATGTCATCTCCTTCTTTTTGGTCCCCGTGCCTCCTGTTTATGTACACGTGTCTCTATGTCCCTTGTGTTGTAGTGTGACCAGGTCGGGGTCATCCCGTTCCCCAGTGTATGTATTGCCCTTTCCTTTGCATGCAGGCTGGGTGGGCTCCAGTGCTCCCCAGTACCAGCTGATGGTTGCACTGGCTATGGCTTTACATGGCAGCTCTGTGCCTGATCGGCATGGGGTCACCCATGATGCTTTGTGTGGGTTCAGAAATGCATAACTGTATATAACACTAACTGTCTAACAGGTGTACAGCTATTTCCATTAATCGTCTTCGGTGCTTCCATTACATGCAAAATCCATTTATTCTGCTGCTTATCACGCAATTGGGTCATATGAGTGAAGAGGGCTGAACTCCACAGTAACTCAGACAGGTGTGGATCTATAATATAAAATATATGTGGTCTGACCGACATACTGGTTAAATCACCCGTCAGTGATTCTACTCTTTAGATGTTCAGATGATTTAGAACTATGAGAGCATTTTTTTAAAGAAAAGGTTACCTGTTGGAACTACTTTTTGTTTTGTTCCATCTCTAAAGATTTGACAAAGATATAAGAGGATGGATGCCGGTACTTGTTGAGGAATCCAATAGATCACTTTAAAGCAGTAGATCATTAAACACTTCATGTCAGACGTGGCTTTATCTCTCTATTGGAGAAACTCTTCCTAACACGATGCTGCTCATCTGCTCGGCCTCAGTCATGTATGCAAGCTGTATGTCTTCTATCACTCTCTCCATCTGTCTGACATTATCTGTCTGTCCCCACAGCCACCAGCCAAATACCTCCTGCCAGAGATGCTAATATCGGACTACGGCAAAAAGTGTGTGGTGATCGACTTGGATGAAACACTCGTCCACAGCTCATTCAAGGTGAGAAGAGGCTAAAGCGCAGAAAGAGGTTCACTGGTGATATTGTGCACAGTTCTGAACTGTGAGCTTCCTTCTGGATGGAAGTGTAAAGCACCCAGTAGAATATGTGATTGGCAATGAGAATAATATCTGCTGTATTTGTTATCCAAATGTCAGCCAGTGACCTGCAGAACGTTAAACCCAATGAAACCCGTGGAGAAAGCCAGCAGAGGAGCAGCTGCAGGAAGAAGAGGGAACGTACTTGTGATAGTGATCTAGGCAGAGCAGGGTGCTGATGAGAGGCGGTCTACCGCCGCTGTTAACAATCCGTTGCAGTTAATACAATTTCTCCACGAGATTGAAAAAGCATTCTCACACAAAATAACTTGTCAGATGTCTAAGAGTAGTGTCTGTTTCTCCTACAATTCCTATTATGATGTGCCCAGACCTCCTGTGCATCCTGTCTTTGTCTTTAGTCCGTCCGGTTGCTATTCAGGGCTTTAGATTATTCTTATTTAGATAATTTGAGGTTGCGGGTGGAAAGGAGGAGGACAAAGAGTAGGCTTTTTGGCACGAGGCAAAGTAGTGATGTCCTTGTCTTCCAGAGATGTTCTAATCTGTTAATAAGTGAAGTTCTAGAGCTGCTAGCAGAACTGTTTGATGGTCCTGACGGTTTCTCTCCTCCATGCAGCCCATCAGCAACGCAGACTTTATTGTTCCGGTGGAGATCGACGGTACCGTTCACCAGGTATTATTCGCACAGTAACACAAGTACGTTTTTAGTGACGTAGCCCTTCTTGCGCTCGGAGAAAAAGGTCCGTTAATTCCCATGTGAAGCCCCCGAAGAGACTGGCTGTGATCTGGTTCAAGTAATCCAGGATAGGCTGTGTGTATGTTTGTGAGCCTACTCGTGATTACTTGCACTGGGCTGCAGCCGCTGGGCAAAGAGGGGGGAGCCGCCAGACTGTGAGTGAAAACAAAAGCACAAGTAGTGGCTATTGTTGTTTGTGTAGCAGTGGTCAAACCGTGTAGTAATACACAGGATACTGTATCTCAACATTTCATCCTCTCCACACTCGTGTTACACGTTGTTTTTCTCTCTAACTTGACAATAAACTCTTGCAGGTGTACGTGCTGAAACGACCCCACGTGGACGAGTTCCTCCAAAAGATGGGGGAGCTCTTTGAATGTGTCCTCTTTACCGCCAGTCTCGCTAAGGTGCGTTTGGAGACGTGTCGTCTCCATCTGTGTGGAGCAACATGTTCTCTGCTCTCGCGATCTGAATGCTCACACTTTCTCTGCCTCGCTCTCCATCTGTGTCTTTGGCACCGTAGCCAGTAATGCATGGTAAGTATGGCGGCGCGTTGGCCATGGTAGTGGGCGTGTGCCGCTGGCTTCTTGTGTCATAGAGTAGCGCTCGCTGCGGTCAGTCAGGTGAACATTACCGGCTTCCTTTCTAGAACGTTAGCGTAGCATCTGCGAGTTGTTCCATGGCAGCTCCTGCTGAGGCTTGTTACCACACAGGGAGCTGTGTGTACTGTGTGCCCTTTGCCCCTTGTTTGTTGTCACATGTTGTGTGTTTGTGTGGGTTTTGGACAGTATGCCGACCCTGTGGCGGACCTGCTGGACCAGTGGGGCGTGTTCCGGGAGCGACTCTTCAGAGAAGCCTGCGTTTTTCACAGAGGGAACTACGTCAAAGACCTGAGTCGGCTGGGACGAGAGCTCAGCAACGTCATCATCGTGGACAATTCGCCCGCCTCTTACATTTTCCACCCAGAAAACGCTGTGAGTTCCTCGAGTTGTTTGGCTTCTGTTCGCGGGTTTGAATCCAGTGCCCGTGGTAGTGTGGAATACCAGCTAACTGCAGGTGGTTTTCCCATCTCTTAAGGTCCCTGTCCAGTCTTGGTTTGACGATATGAATGACACGGAGCTCCTGGACCTGCTGCCTTTCTTTGAGGGACTCAGCAAGGAAGAAGAGGTTTACGGAGTCCTCCAGAACCTGCGAGGCAGGTAGCAGGACGCCACAGCGCTCCTTCCTCCCCTCTGTCCGTCTCCGCCGTCTTCTACAACCACGCCGCTCGCATTCGGACAGATGGTCCCACACGCGCCCCTCTCGTCTCTGCCCCAAGGAGACGCCCCCCCATCCCAGCTCTCGTCCCCTGGTGACCGGCTGCCTTCCGAGTACCATCAGAGAAAAACACTAACTACCCCAGGAGCACTGTGTGTCAACAGAAGAAGACAATTTTAAAACCAACAGAGTTTTACTATTTGGGGAAGTGCTTATTTTAAAACCAAAAGAAGAAGAAGAAAACCGAGAAACAAAGTCTGAGAAGATGGTGTCCTCGTGGCTCTGCAGGCGCTTTCTCGTGGAAGGATTCTCTTTTCTTACTGAATGAAGTGCCTTGTGTGAATGTTGTTTATATTGGGAGATATTTTGTACAAGGCGTATTTCAAGTACTTCAATCTTTTCACACAAAATATACTTTAGAGTGAACACAAAGGTTTCTTCATAAAAGTTTGACCTTTTATTTTTTTGATCAAATGCTGTTTTAATGTCTACGTAGTATTCTCTCTTTCACCCCCCGGCACGCTGGTGCCATTATATAGACGTGACTTTCTTTCTGCTTTTATTAAATGTAAAAGGAGGTCAACCTTTCAGTACAGTAATTCTTTGCTCAGATGAAATTGTGCCATTTCTCTCATCACCTTTAACCTAATCCACATATCTTTTATTTGCTAAATAAGCAAATCATTTGTTTAACATGCTTCATATGTGTTCCAGGGGATCAGCCATAAACTGTTAAACCATCAGTAGTGTATCGGATTTATTTTGACAAAATAGTTGTCAAATACCTTTGTGTGTTGTTTTATGTGACGAGATGTTGTCCTCATGGTCATCTTCTCTTGTGTTGTCTCATGGGATGATCCTTCTCTATAATTAGACACCGATGCTACGCTATTCCCTTTTTGTTGTTTCAAATAGTCTGGGAGCTCACAGCAAATGGGTCGAGTGCCATGTTGTTGTTGTTGTTGTTTTCTTTAGGTAATGTAGGATTTAGTGTTTGCTCGTGTCTGGACCGCGTTCTCTCTTGATTTACAAACGGCGGTGCGGGCGATGTGTTTACCTTCCCAGACTAACTGCTCTCCACCTCAGTGCCTAAGGAGAAGAACCACGCAACCCGGATGCTGCAACGTTCGCTACCGGGGCAATAATCTGTTTTTGGAAAGGGATAAAGAGCCGGTAGACCCTAAAAGTTATCATAACCTCATGGTTCAAACAATTCATCACCTGGAAACTGGACATACACGTACAAGTTAGTCCTTCAGTCATTTTAAAATATATATATATATATATAAATTTTTTATTTTTTTTCTTGAAATGAAGATACCGCAACAACTTGAATGTTGCTTGGTCTATTTTAACCACACAAACCAAAAGGACCGTTTATCGTGATCCACATTGCCATTAAAGGCTTTTGTTGTGAAAGTAAAGAAAGAGGAACAGTCCCGGCTCACGCAGACTGGTGAGAGGAACACTAGGGGAACCGCAACAGGACCGTGAGGAACCTCATTGTAGCTTCGAAGCCTTACTGCCTGTGCAGGCACGAAGCAACCGTTCTCCATTGATTCCGAGGATACATCTACGCGTTTAGGCACAGTCCGTTCTTGCTCACGCAGAGTCACTGTGAGGCTGGGACAATTATCCTGACGGGAATGAAATGAGGCAATGAAGTTGGTAAAGCTTGAAGGTGCCATCAAGGGATTGTACGCTTCGACAAACCTCATCTGCTGAATTCCTTGACCTGTGCGTCGTGTTGATTTAAAGACCTACACTTTGTCACAATTCCCAAGTTGAAAGGCTGCAGCTCTTACAGGCACGTTGAGTTATTGTCTGTCTCATGATGCTTTCAGTGTAATCTCATTTGTTCAAAGAAGAGACTGGTCAGACATTACCTTCCTCTGAAAATGTTTGTATCGTGATATTTTTCTACCTACCTTTGTCAGTATTTGGTTTGAAAAGAAGCATTCTACCAATCGTGTCCAGCTCGGTGTCCCCCCCTCTCAGAATTCTGTCCGCTCGTCTTTCCCATCGAGAGACACGTGTGTGTGTGTGTGTGTGTGTGTGCGCGGCAAGCGTCATGCTTCCTTCCTGGTTTTCTTGTTGTACTCGTCACACGCATCCTTCTCTGTATTTCTTTGACACCACGATTCTACGACACGAGTTAATATCATTTTCTCTCTTTGGTTTATTGAGGTTGTCCACGTTCTGCAAACTGACACTGACTTGTCAGTTATGGTTGATTTATTGTGAGTGTCGGCAGTGTGTTGTCATCGTGAGCATCATTTTTCTTTCTTTCCATAATAAAATGCTTCATTGAAACAATGCCTACATTTATTTATTATTTTCAATAGTACGACTAGGTACATGAAAAAAGGCCAGCGCTGCCTCATGTCTCTACCGGATATAATCTCTACTCCTAAAACACATAAAAGATCACTACGTCTTTTACACTTCATACGTTAACTTCCTTCCAATAATGTCACAATAAAGCACATTTTATGAAGAAGGAATCCTCGTCTTCTGTCAGCAACTTAATGACAAACTTGAAACAAGCGTATTTGATCTCAAATGTCAGTCAACAAACAGAAAACTGAAGCTGTAGTTTCCTGTTTGGTCTGGAGCCACATTCGCACTAACGGCACCACCAGTATTTATTCTACTTTTAGCTCTTCATGTCTCTTTAGCTGCTGAATAACTGCTGCTAGCTGCTCTTCTACTCTTCTTTCTGGAAACCGCTGTTCAGTGAGCGTGAACCTAAAGGTAAAGTTGCAGGTGGTAAAATCAAAGCAATAAACTTAAGTACAAAAGAAATAAGATATGCTTAATTAGTCAAAGGCTTAAATGCCACTCAAACGTTGTGCACACCTCCTGGTGCCAGACTCCCGCTGTGTACCTACGGCGTTCCCATCCAAAGGTCACCAGGTTAATGGTTTCATTCTGGCTAAACGATAAAGCTTCTTTCCCTATTGCATAATACAACGTCATATAAAGTCGGTCCAAAATGTCATCCTTTTTTTATCATTTTATCCTGTTCGACTTCGTATGTATTATAAGAAGTAAATCATTAACCAAGTCGTGGCCTTTGTTAATCTTTAGTCCAAGTTGACATTTGAAGAAATGCTCTCCGGACGTTCCTGACAACGGGACGGACGGGCAGACCACCCGAAACCATCATCAGCCAGGAGATACAAAAACAGTGAGACGGGTGTTCTGTTAAAGACTTTTATCTTCCTTGTGATTTACAAAAAGAAGTAGTAGTCACATGAAAAAATGAAATTACTGTTAAATTACTTAATAATACAAAGCACATTGTTTCCATGTTGGCTTTTGTTTCTCCAGAATTTATAAAAGCGTATTTTAAAAAAGACAGATAGTTCTATGTAGCATTAATTTAAGGGAAATGAGAGACATTAAAGGTCCAATGTGACTCATTATATTATAAAATGGGGCACCTCCCATTACTACTTATGTTCCAGTTGCAGATAGAGCTCCTAAGCTTGCTGAGAAGACCCTGGTCTTTATCTAACGTTTGTAGTAACAGCTTAAACTACTGGAATGAAGGTAATAAATTAAGAAACTAAAACAATAGAGAAAAAACACACGATTGATTATCAGCAGAAACAGCAGAAACGGAGGCTGTGTTTCAGAGGTCATTATTTCCTGCAGCGGCACAGTTGGCGACGTCTCACTCAACATCGAGGACCATGATGTGTAAAAAGAGTCCAGATGAGGGCAGCGGGTCTCCGTTCTTACCAAGCAGAGGCACGTGTCGGTATCCTGTGGGGGGGGCACAAAGCGGCCGCAGTCAGCGATGGAGACGATGTCAGTGGGCTGAACGGGGGTCTCGATTCTCGAGGATAGCTTCACTGCTACTGTTCATTTATGAAGTGTGAAAACAAAGGACTATTTTATGTCCTTAGGGGTGAACGCTGGGGGAAACGGGGGGAACTTACCCATTTTTAAGCTTTCGAATGGAAGTGTGTACTGCCCGACAAAGTCATTAGCGGACATGGAGTCGTGGTCTTCAACGGTGAAGCGCACCAGCGCTAGCTCCGGCACGTACACATCAAACTGGAAGTTTTCATTCCATGCTGGGTTGAAACCTTCAGAACAAAAAGAATATGTGCCGTCAGGTCTACTTCAGCCCCGAAGCTTTATGCAGCTGTGTGTTTTATACTAGCCTTAGTAGACCAGACTGCATTGCATTCTGGTCTACTAAGGCTACTACTGCTAGAAACATGTTCTTTAAACTGACAAATCAAAGTTCAGTACAACAAGCGCAGGAATATCGTGCACAGAGGGAAAGGTACCATTGTTTGCAACAGAGGTGGTCGCTTTCTCAGCGACATCAGCCGGCACTCCGTACACCTGCACTCTAACCAACGGGTCCACAATGGAGGTCTTCTTCTGGTTCACTTTGGGGAGCTGCTGTGCGGATATAACCTGGTGACAGACACGGGTACGTCATGTCAGACAGCGAGAGATCCTCCCCGACCTCGACTCTGCACACCGCTGAACGGCGGGACCAGAATCTGAGAGGCAGGTAGCAGGACACACCACAGCGCGCCTGTGCTCTCCTTCCTCCCCGCCGTCTTCTACAACCTGAAGTGCGTGGGGGTGATCACCGCAGGGGGGAAAAAACAAACTCACCATGACATGGAGCGTCTTGTGCTTTAGCCAGGGTCCTTGGGTCAGGGTGATGGGGTCAAACTCAGTGGCTTCATTCCTCATGAAGGCCGGCTTCAGGACATAGCCGCTCTTTCCGTTGACCAGGAATCGGCCTTGGTGGACATCCATGTCCGTGCAACTTGTCTGGAAGTTCAGGGCCACTGAAAAGGGAATTACAAGAAGACACAGGGACTAAATGAAGCCGCTGTCTCCCATCAGGTCCGCTTTCCATGTGAGCGATTGCAATGCCCATTGTGTACCTATTTGGCACCCGGCGTTCCACAGAGGCACCGGGCTGTAGTTGGAGGAGTCGGTCCTGGAGCCTGCTGGATAGATGCGGCTCAGCTTGTCCACGTTGTGGCGGATGTACGAGTTGGCTGCAGAGAGCACATCAAGGCAGAGAAACTGAGTCATCTGCTAAGTGGGAAAGCCAGATCCTAGGTTCCTATCATCATGCAGAGGCTATGAACGGAGGGTGATATGGTCAGTTTGTACGATCGGTGGGACATCCTTATTGGTTCTTAGGATACATCTTGACACTATATATATTTGAGTGAATCCAGCTTCCTCACCCGAATCCTCTACCAGCGCCATGGCGTTCGGCTCCTTGAAGGACGACATCTCGTAGAAGCTCAGGTTTCGTCTCGCGTCTTCAAAGCCGTTGAAGTGGACGCTCTTACAGTACACCACCATGTCGGACAGTGCTTTTGCTAGTTTCAGCTTCTTTTTCTCCTACATCGGATCGACGGGGTAAATCGATCGTCGGTACAAAAAGAATGTGTGAAGGGAGTTGCATTTGCTCTTACTCTGCAGGACACCCCACCTTTTTTTTCTCCTCCTCCTTCAGTTCGTCCTTGTCTCCGTTATTCGCCTCGTCCTCCTCCGTCACGTCAGCGTCATCAGCCGCAGCAAAGCTGGCCTCCAGCTTGTTTAACCTCTTGCCTTTGATCAGGAACTTCCCCTTTAGCTCCTGAACGGGCGAAGCATCGTGAGCAACTGGCACAGAAAGCGCGAAAGAAAATGTTGTTTGCCGATCGATACGAGTGGATACAAACCTCGGGAGATGGAAAGTCGGTGGGCATTCCGCCCCCCAGGGGGGCGGTGACGAGTGCACTGCCCAGGATGGAGCTCATGTGGTCGGCCATGACTTCCTGCTGCGCCACACTGCAGTGGTTCTCCAAGGAGAGGATAACGGGGTAATCCGACGTCTGAGTGACGAGTGGGAATAAAACAGAGAGCACTCAGGCCCAAAGCAGTGGCGTGGCGGATATTACAAGAGTGCCAAACCCACCTTGAAGGCGTACTCTTTAATGGATTTGATGGCGTCCTTGAAGAGGATCTTGGAGGTCAGTGTGTAGCCGTGGTAGATCACTGGCTCATCGTCTGATCCGTCCCAGACGTCCAGCTCCACACAGCGGCAGCCCTTCAGCAGAGCCCTGAGACCAGCAACCGACGGCGTTAAAACCAGTTACAAATTCATAGCGCCCACAAAGATCCCATTGAATGTCTCGTTTAGCCAGATCAACTGTCCCGAATCAAAAAGACATGGTTTATAATCAAGATTAGGAGACATAGCGAATCCTCATTTGTGAAGCTGGAACCGTGTGAGTCCCTTAAACAATGAATCAAGTCACTAAATGGCTCTCTATCAAATGGCGACTTAATCAACCAAGCCCACTGGGTCTCCACGTCCACCTGCCGGGCCTCCGTCATCATACAACAAAAAGCAGTTACCTGACGTAAGCCTCCGTGCTGCTGGGCCCCGTGAGCTGGTCCTCCATCAGGTAGGTGTTGTGCGAGGAGGAGATGAAGTAGTGGTTGAGGGGCTGGCTCATGTCCTGGTACACCTCTCTGTGGTCTGGGTTGAGGACCATGGCCTCTGGATGGTGCATGTACATGAGGAATCCGTCTTTGGACAACAGCTTCTTCTCCTTGGCTGAAAGAACCCGAGGAGATGATTGATTCCGCATGGAAACAGGAGATAAAGACCACGAGGTACGTCCTACCCCTCTCAGCATTCATGTCGATACCGTACTCACCATTTTCATCAGGCTCGTGCTTCTGGATTATGTTGTGTGCGTCGGCCAGCGTGGCCGCCTCTCTTTGCTCTTTTATCAGGAAGTCCACAAGGTTCTGAGGACTCATGAAGCCTGTCGCCTTAGCGTACTCCCCGTAGATGACGTCGATCTCTTCCCGGTGGGTCAACAATTTGTAGAAATGTTCGATCTCCTCTCCAGCCAGGTATCCTGATTTGGATTTGTCACATTTCTGCACAGTGGAAATGTCACATGAAAGTCGGCCCACAAACTGAAAACGTTACCATCCTTTTATGAACACAGCAATTGCTTTTTTCGTTCTGTTGTATTGCTCCTGAGTATATGTACTCATGATTAGGACATTTATGAATCATTGCATGAGCTAGTCGGGTTCACCTGGAAGAGCATCTCAGCGTACTCGTCGTCCACCTCGACATTGATCAGACGCAGGAAGTCCTTGAGCTCCGACTGACTCATCTGATCATCTTCGTTCTTGTCGGCTTTCCTCAGGCAGTTGAAGATCCAACTATAACGCTTGTAATGTAAGGAGAGTAGATGTAACAGCATCTTCTGCCTGCATACTTCATTTGTGTCGGACGACCAGGTCTCGCCTACTCTCAGTCTGAGCGCTCGCCCTCATGATAAGGATACTGCTCGGTCTTCTGCAGGCGGTTCAGGTTGCCTCTGTTGGAGATCACTGTCTGCAGGCTGCTGACCCACCGCTTGGCCTCCTCCTCCGAGCTGGCGATGAGGTCCAGGTTCTTGCGGCTGCCCTTGAACATGATGGAGAAGCAGCGGCCCTCCACGAGTTCCTCCGTGTTCTTCCGCAGGCCCTCCGACTGACGGCCCATTCGCACCGCCGAGACGTCGTCGAGGGAAACTGAAGACGGGAAAAGAGTTGCATTTTTTTTTTTAACAGACCAAACCAATTTGAAGTGTCAATCAAACGTTTATCTTTTCTCTACCAATGATTACTTTTAACAAATATGTTTTGTTTAGATTGCAGGTTGACATGTTGGACCTGTTTGGTACACGTGGGGCTACAATCACATTGAAGAAAAGTAACCTGATGAATGTCTATCGAAACGTTGACCAATATCTCTGAATCTCTGAAGTCCTGCTGTCCGACACTCGGGGACATTTAAATATGTCTAATTGGTCTAACAAAGAACGGCAGCTCTTTATTACTTTTGATACCCCCCGGTGTGACAGACCAGCCTGCTTGGTAAACACAAAGCTGCTGACGTCACATCACAAGTTTTGACATTTGCTGATGTGCAAAGTTGAGGATGAACCTTAAAGGTTTGCAGGTCGTGTATTTTCTCCAAGGTAAGTAAACAGACTCTGAAACCAATTTACAAACATATAAATACATAAATAAAAATCACATCCTGATTAACACACCCACAAAACATCACTGATAGCAACCCGGCTGTGTGATAAAACAGCCTTTGTTGTTGATTAATCTTTTTACAGCTCAAAGGTCAGTCCTTCACTTTTAATGATCCATGGAGGGAAAAAGAACTGGAGACACACATGTTGTTATATGACGACTTTAAGTCACTGGTAAAGAAAACCAACATCACACTTCAGCACTCACACGTCTTGCTATTCTTGAACATTTTCCTCGATTCACGCCACATGGTTTTACAGTCCTCCATGAGCCTGAAGTGGCGCGTCTTCTTCCAGGACGAGGAGCGGACCTTGAGGAGGTCTCCCCCCTGAAGGAGGAAGTGAAGGTCCGGATCGCCCTTCATACCTGTGGAAAGAACCCAAGCAGTCCATCTGATTAAACACGGCTCTGCTCAACCCGTCCGCCCGGCGACTTTAAACACTCCTCCATCGGGCCACACGTGCACACGTGCGCGACACGTGCTGCGGAACAGTGGCCCAGCAGCCTACCCAGGAGCTTCTCGTTCATCTCGACCACCTTCTGGCCTCTGGCGCGCCGCAGCATCTCCTCAGCCGGGCTGGCTTTGGGTCGGCCCCGCAGGCAGGACATGGCTATCGGGCTGTGCGCTCTGGCACCGACCGTTTCGTTTGAGGGGGGGTGGACCTGCGTGGACCTGCGTGGACCAGCGGGACCAGCGGGACCAGCCCCGCTCAAAGTCCACCGTGCATCTGCGCGGGACTGTGCGCGTCGTTCAGGTGACGTTATCGGTTTGAGGCGTTTATGATAATGTTGGTCACGTGGTTGCAGAGGATCCTGAAGGGAGGGAGGACGAGTTGACCGAAGGGACTGTGTCGGAGACGCAACGTGGCCCCGAAGTTTCTCAATATTCTGCTTGCGACGCATAACAACTTCTCCATGATATTTATTCTCAGATGCTGCTGCAGCAGTTTATTGATTTACATCATCAACATCATCACACTCTGCAGTGCGATGACAGATTACACGTGTGAGTGTAAAACTACTTGGCAGATGTAATAAAAGTTGATTCTGCTTACAGGCCGCCAGCTGTCGCCCCGCCGGCTCCCCCCGGTGGACGCCCCGCGTCACTACCTGCCGCTGACTTCTGGGTTTCACTCACACGGTCCCGTTTTACGCACTTTAAAACGCTGTTAAAAGCAACACGGTGGCGCAGAGGAGAGACGCGTGTGCCTCGTTATTCGTAGTAACTACGGGCTCTTTGCTCTTGCAGGACCGTTTTGTTTGCGGCAAAGTGAAAGAGGAGCCACACCTTTTGGTGCAGGAGGTCTTTCTCTGATACATTTCTTTCAGCAAACAGTAAGGACTCTCAGTTAGAGAAGAAAAACCTCAGATGAAGTGCAGAATTAGACCTTATTCATTGTTGAAAACCGCTGTAACAAAGTTAGGTGTTGCTAGTGCAAAATGCACTTCAATAACCACAATGAAACAAAAATGTGTCCTACCATTGACCTTCGCTTCGGTGCCATTCGTTCCCATGTATACTGATTTGTTGGGCGCTTTCCTTCACGCTGTAACTTGTTTTTTTCCCTCCTTTCACTTGATGGGATGCCTCCCTCTTTCCATGCGAGCAAATGAGGTAAGAACCCTTCAGATGTGGGATTGTGGAGCTCAAGGACAAAACCGAGGGAGGCGTCCAGGTGGGTCTCCGCTTGCAGTGTGCGTGGTGTCAGCTCTGCCCGAGGCTCCAGCACCGGTTTGACAAGCCTCAACGAAAGCCGCACTGCTGATGTCACAACAGGAAAGGTTGCAGTACCTCACCGCTCACCTCACCCGCGTGGGACAGCATGGCACACTGAGATTTTTATAATAATAATAATTACATTTTTCAATCCATTCGATTTATTATTCAGCTCTCCTGAACACTTGTTTACCCAAAGGTAGGTAGACATGGAGGGGAATAAACAAGGAGGAGATTCTAACCTTGGGAGCCCTCACACGCCTCCAGACACGTCATATTTATACAACTGGGGGAATTCACTTCATGTCTGTTGTTTATATTTCCACGCAGAAACCCTCTGCATTGCAACAAGGGGTAAACACGATCAAGGCTGGATAGCAGAGTTGACGTCAACTTGGAGAACATTGGTTGCACTGAACGGGTCGGATGAAGTTTTTCTCTCTTGCTGTGCTTTTCATGTGCAGCTTAGCAGTGGCAGGATAATAGCACTGCGATCACTGGTGCGTTGGGGCTCTTGTGGCTCTCAGCACTTCCCTTTCAGGCCTGGCTTACCCTCGGCGCGGCGTCAGCGTCAGCTCACAGGGCTGTAATGCAGCATCAGGTGGGGAACAGGGAGGGAAACAGGAGCGGTGAACAATCGGGTTATTTGACCAAAACGTGTTATCTTAGATCCACATTTTGCACGCGCCTTCCTCTGGGAGCTTCTCTGTGAGCCATTTGGCCTTTTTGATCAAAGGCATCTGAAAGTACATACTGACCTTAGATTACTGACGATTTATTCCTTTTAGCCATATAATTGACTGAAAGAATTAACATTGCACTGCAGCAAAAGTAGTTATGCAGCAAAGGTTTTTGCATGACAGTTGACCACAATGAAATGCGTCACACAAACCTTCTGAACACTTTAAACGGAACTATATTTGCTTGGTGTCGGTGTCTGACCAACCACTGTTTCTACATATAACACTTCTGCTTTCCCCCAAAACAAATGAAAAGGGAATTGTCAAAGATCAAACTGCTCGGCATTCAATAAATCTCTTCAATTTGACAGCTACAACATTTATGAACTGCTTATATGGTAACATGCGTACTAACTGATCCCCTGTGATCTGGTTAGGGAGTCAGATTACATGAGTGGTCAAACCAGACTACGTTTGATCAGGAGAAGTCTAACTGCTAAATGAAAATGAGTTACAACGCTCTCAAGTTGAGAGTTTGTGTTTGTTTTTTATTTTACCTGAAAATGGAGGATGGACATTTAAAAATGACTCTTTTTGCGTTTTGTGGCCATCGATTAAAAACCAGCAGTTTCCAAAAACATACACAAAAGAAACAGCATCGCACATGTGCTTAAACACGTTCCATCCTTGAATTTTGTGTTTGTACTGTTTTTGAATGTATCACCAAATGAAGCAAAATGCCTTTTATTTGCCCTTAACACTTTTTTAGGTGTTCAAGAGAAAAATCAATATTTTACTCTTTCCATGGCAGGTTTGCACCTTTTACTTTTTGTAAAGGTGGTCTGTTTGATTGATTAGATAACAAAACCCAATGGATAATTCACAACAGAATTATTTAATTTGTAGTAACTGCAGCAACTGAGTACATGTTCGTATGATCTATTAATGATGACTACTGAGAGTCTCGACCCATTTTGCTCGACTTGTGTTAACCTGTAAGATGCACTCTACTCGTAAGGGTGTAGTTTCATTCTAGTTTTTTTGAAAATGTCGCAAAACTCTCTTTTTGACTGTCAAACTGTCAAAACACTAAAATGAAAGGTTTCCCCGCACGCACAAAGGGGAGAGCGCGCCCGCGGGCTGGTCTTCTGACGTGAGACAGTGCGTGTGGAACGTATGTGTGTATATGTGTGTGTGTGTGCGGTGTATGTGTATGTGTGTGTGTGTGTGTGTGTGTGTGTGTGTGTGTGTGTGTGTGTGTGTGTGTGTGTGTGTGTGTGTGTGTGTGTGTGTTGTCTGAAGACTGAAACACACACGCGATGGTCCGTGCACTTTAACAAACTAACATATCACTGTTTCCGAGGTTTGGGGCATTTTTGCTGACACTTGTCAGACTTTGCCACACTCAAGATGGCGACGTCTTCCTTCTAGCTGCTGAGGGCGACGTCACATGACGTCACACGACGTCAGACGTGCGTACGGTTGTGTTGACAGGAGCCGTAGGAGTTGTCAGCGGAGCAGCAGCAGTAGCCATCATCACCGGAGCCGAATGGAGTAATCACAAAGATATTATTCCACACCGCGTCCCTCGTACTATTTAGCAAACAACGACGCCATGGCAGAAGACCAGTCCTCTCAGTCCTGGACGATCGACAGGGATGACTACGAACTCAATGAGGTGATCGGTGAGTAGCTTAGCTTGCTAAAGTTAGCATCCTCGCCTCCCCCCGTGTCTCTGCAGCGGTGTCGGCTGCCAACTGCCACTAGTTAGCTAGCTAACGTTAGCTAGCATGTCTGTAGCTAACGCAAGGCCAGTCACAACCCGTAGCTCGGTTACACCCAAGGAAGGTTAACAGCTCAGCTGACTTTAGTCTCGTGCGTTCTGCAGTTTCCATCTCGTTAGGCCGAATGAAGTAATGCGCTTCCAGCTAGTAGGAGAGCTAAGCTGAGATGGATCCGTAGCCAGCCAGCCCGAAGCTAAGCGGCTAGCTAACACAAGTTAGCTCATGGGTGCGTGAAGATTCGGCAGTTGTTGGAGAGGGTGGTGCTCTTAGACTGAAGGTATGACACGGATTATCCTGAGCTTTTCGTTCTTTGCATGAGTCAAGGTAACGTAAACAAGTGGACATAAAGACCGATTGACGGTACGTTCTATTACAGTATTGTACAGTACTCTTGGATTAGTTACGCCGGTACTCGGTCCTAGAAACGAGCGTTTAGCACAATCTGGGTTTATCCTGACTGCGGTCTTCGACAAGCTCCCGAGGCCGCACTGGGCGACAGTTTCACCCGTGATGTCGTTCTCAGGGAGCGGAGCCACTGCAGTGGTCCAAGCAGCCTACTGCAAGCCGAGGAAAGAGAAGGTGGCCATTAAACGCATCAACCTGGAAAAGTGTCAAACAAGCATGGATGAGCTCCTGGTAAGAAACCGACCAGAACCTCTTGCAACAGAAGAATGGATTCATACTTATTATTATTATTATGGTTATTTACACCAAGTGTTTCATATGAGCCTAGAACACCTGTGAATTGGATAGAGAGGAATGTGTGACAGTTGCCTCTTTGATGGACACGTATGCAGATTTACCCGTATTGCAATTCCATCCCCAGTGAACTTAACAAAATATATAGAAGAAATTCTGTGTCTTAGTATTTTGTGATATTGATCACATCGGATGGAGTATATCGTTCAAATTGCAATTTCATCATGCCTGCCATCTCCCTATGAATAAAGATGCAACACGGTCAACGTCAGCAGGACAAATACCCAAAGGCAACGTGTTAAATGAGTGTCCAGTGACTAGATAGATGACCAGATGTCTCAGCCTTCCACTGATTCACCTCAACAGGTTCATTTATATTCTCAGTTTAGCAATAATCTTTCTAACCCAGTAAATCAAATACCTGACAAATCTAAATACATTGATGACATAATTGTAAATCATGTACAACTAACATTGCAATAAAGCAGTACGGACATTTTCTAAATCATAACCATACATTTTAAAGGGAGGGACTCAATTGGTAGAGCAAACTGTCCTTTGGTGGTCATATCTCTATATTGGTATGGATATTCATGTAGCTTATATGTAAACTGTTGTATGTGCTTTTGCTCATTTCTAGTAGCCGCCTTGCAGCAAAGGGACTAATTTACATTTAAAGTAAAATTATACTTTTCAATACATTGCAATGTATGCCATCCAATGTAAATACTTTATTAAAACTCCCCTGTGTCCCAGCCCTTTTCTGATATGTAAAGGTCCTGAATGCATCTGTCATGTGGAAATGTCGTGTTGGCTTTGTGGTGTGCGAGCTGTTATTTCTGCTCCCTGTGTGACCTTGTTTCTCGTGTTTCCTTCTGTGTAGAAAGAGATCCAGGCTATGAGCCAGTGCCACCACCCGAACATTGTGTCTTATTATACCTCCTTTGTGGTGAAGGATGAGTTGTGGCTGGTGATGAAGCTGCTCAGTGGTGGTGAGTTCTGTTGTGTTCAAAGAAAAAGGAACTCCTGACGCGACTTGGCCGACTCTTTATCTTCACCTTGACTTGACTTTCTTCATAACACCTCCTTCCTTTGTCTTGTTTTTAACCTTAAGCAAGCCTGGGTTTGAACTTTGACTGAACGCTTAGTTTCCTGGTGATATAATCCCGTTGACATGTTGTGGCCCATTAGTAGGTTGTGTTCTTCTTGTACCCGGTTTATTTCAGACGTCTCCTTGTCTCTCTCAGGCTCAGTGTTGGACATCATAAAGCACATCATCTCTCGTGGCGAGCACAAGAGCGGCGTGCTGGATGAGGCCAGCATCGCCAGCATCCTGAAGGAGGTCTTGGAGGGGCTGGAGTACCTCCACAAAAACGGGCAGATTCATCGGTGAGTTGTGGTGATGTACCTTGCTGTCATCACTGTGCGCCGCTCCGAGCACCGAGCCCTGCACGAGACCCTCCTTTTCAATATTTAATCCAGTGAAACTGCATAATTGAGGAAGTTTGTTTTAACAGAACACTCTGAGAAGAAAAGCCTCTTTATAGCCTCAGTGCCTTCTAGCATGTCAAGTATACTTTGTTCTACATTAACAATCAACCAAAAAGTATTCTCATTTTTTTAACGTAAACTTTAAATCTACTGATCTATTAAGCGGTGGTGCTGTTGCTGCGTGGGAGACGTATCGGTGCAGAGAGCGGCTGCCGGTTGACTTGAGTCACTAACATGTAATTAGATCCACTCCCATTCTATGGGCATAGTTTGCGCTCAATTATGCAAACTTAAAACAAATGAGGGCAGATGAACGGTGAAGTTTTTAATTGTTCATCTTCTGGTCAGTTTGCACAGCCTAACCTCCCCTGTGTCGACCCTCCCTCATGCACAGGGATCTAAAAGCTGGAAACATTCTTCTCGGGGACGATGGCTCAGTGCAAATTGCTGGTACGGTGTTTCTTTGTGCTTTTACTTTCCTTTCCATGTCTTTCCTTAATTAACGCCCCTCGATTGAGCGTTCATGTTTAGATTTGTGTGTTTAAGAGTTCTAATGCATGGAGCCGGCTCAACAAACAAGGTCCACCTTGTGACCCTTTTTTTCTGGAGATTAGTTAATTAGTAAATATATTTCCTCACGTGCTCCACAGACTTCGGTGTGAGTGCCTTTCTCGCGGCGGGAGGAGACATGACTAGGAACAAGGTCCGCAAGACGTTTGTGGGGACCCCCTGCTGGATGGCGCCCGAGGTCATGGAGCAGGTAGCAGGCTTAGTTTATCGATCGTACTCTTATGCCTCATAACTGGGCGATAAAAGAAAAGGCCGCAGCGCTCACATCTGTTTCTAATCTGCAGGTCCGCGGCTACGACTTCAAAGCCGACATCTGGAGCTTCGGGATAACGGCCATTGAACTGGCCACTGGAGCTGCACCATATCACAAATACCCACCGATGAAGGTAAGGCCCTCATCTCCTTTACCAGGCACATCATCTTCTGCAACGCCGCTTTGGCTCGATTAACAAGCAAAACATTTTAAGCAGAGAAATAGTTTTTAAACCACTAAACACTATTTCAGAGTTGTTTAGTCGTGGAGATGCTGATCAACCGTTTACTGAAGCTGTCCATTGTTCTTTACGTGTCCGTAGGTGCTGATGCTGACCCTGCAGAACGACCCCCCCTGTCTGGAGACGGGCATCACAGACAAGGAGATAGTAAAGAAGTACGGCAAGTCCTTCAGGAAGATGCTCTCTCTGTGTTTACAGAAGGATCCAGAAAAAAGGTCAGTTTCTTTGTTCTTTGCCAGATTAAAGTTGTGCTTGTTTTTCTTTCCATTAGAGAATACAATGAACAGCCTTGTGTCTCTTTTCCTATTTAGGCCAACTGCAGCAGAGCTGCTGAAGCATAAGTTCTTCACAAAAGCCAAAGTGAGCCTTTCATCGCTATTATTAAAAGTCACTGAAATAGTTTGAGTTGTGTGCGTTTCAGAGAGAATCATTTTTGATCCTGTAATCAAGGTTCTTTTCCTTGATACAGAACAACGAGTACTTGCAGGAGCGGCTTCTTCACAAAGGTCCCACAATAACCGAGCGATCCAAAAAGGTTCGATAGTCACTCATTTAAAGTGTATCGCTCTGTTTTGCCGTCTGCTCTCGCGTGTGTCCCGGTTTCCAAACGTGGATCTGGTCTTTGTTGTTGCACCACTACCCAGGTGCGTCGTGTGCCGGGCTCCAGTGGCCGCCTCCACAAGACGGAGGACGGCATGTGGGAGTGGAGCGACGACGAGCTGGACGAGGAGAGCGAGGAGGGCAAAGCCGCCGTGGCAGCGCTGCGGGTGAGACGCCACATGTCCATTCAGCTGATTTGACAAGGCCTCTTGGCTGCGTCCTTATGGCCAGCAGGTGGCGCTAGTGGGCCTTTTGAGACAGCCAAGCTGCATCGTGCTTTTGCTTAGTTCTTAGTGTGTGCAAGTTGAGACTAACACAAGACTGCAGTGATCTGCCATGAGAAGTGATATTTGAGAATATCTGGACCAGACACCGGCTCATGTTCTCCAACATGTGTTCATGTTCATTCCTTGTCTTGCTGTGGGATTTTGCTCTCCGTTATCTTAACTGTGATTTAAAGTTGCCTCGTCTTTCAAACCTACAATACACATCAGTCCACACATTTGAGGGGATAAAAGGAGAATTGCATGTTTTTAATCCTGACAATCTGTCATGTCCATTCTGCAGTCCCCCAGAGTCAAGGACGGGCCTGAGAATATGCAGGTGAGTCCATTTGTAGTGGACATGACTTGAAACTCTTGATTTGTGACAATGCCTCACCTCAGCAATCTGCATGACTGTCCTATGTGTATCCATGGTTGTAAAACCCCAGAAGACCCACTGACGGATTTTTGATCCTGTCTCTCAGCTTTTCCCACCGGCCGATGGCTCCGCACCACATCTGCAGCCCCTTGGTGCTGCGAGCGAGAGCCCGGCCAACGCCGGCCAGTCAGGGGACGATGCTCCTCCACAGGCGCCCGCTCAGACAGCAAGTCCTTCACCTGCAGCCACTGCTCAGGTACGTGCACATTCCTCACGGGGCCATTTGAAACCTCTACACAGGCTCTTCATCACATTCTCTTCACAGCATTTCATGAAACGCATTAGCCAATGTTATCTTGTATTACTTGTGGTATAATGGGGCTCGTAAAGTAAATGCATTGGTTATGATTAAAGGTCTGGGGCATCACTTTAGTTGCAGAGTGCAAAGGGTTATCCATTAGTAGAGGCTCCATAGCGCTACAGGTGGTCACAAACTCCTCTGTGCACCTTTAAGTTAAGCTCTCTGAAACCTCCTCACACCTACTTTACTACGGGAAGGAGGTGTGCAATGGACACCATGCACAGGCATAATTCACCTTGTGTTGTAGGCACCGTTTTTCTAACCTCCTTTCTGTGAATTCTAAGCAGATAGTTTGTACGCTAAACGGTTTTGCTCCTGCAGGATCCAGCTGTAGCGAATGCCAGCGTCCCCATAAGCCTCGTCCTGAGACTGAGGAACCCCAAGAAGGAACTCAATGACATCCGATTCGAGTTCATGTCCGGCAGAGGTACGATGCAGCCGCGAGCGCTTTCTCTTCTATCTTGTTCTAAAAAAACGCTCCCGTCTCCACCTCCTCTTCATTTCTGCTCTCAGATTCGGCTGATGGAGTTTCTCAGGAGTTGGTCTCAGCTGGTCTGGTTGATGGGAGAGACTTAGTCATTGGTAAGAGATACAGGACTATTATCAGTTTTCTGACGTAATATTCTCTTGTCTCTTTACTTGGTTCTGCCAGTTTTACACAGCGATCAGTAGGAACGAGCCAAAAATACATTCCCGTGGATATGTGATGAGTAGTAAATGTTCTGACACGATATAATCTGAATGCATGTCATCTGACAATGTCCTCCCACTTTTTTTATCTTCTGTCTAGTTGCTGCCAATTTGCAAAAGATTGTTGATGACACTCATAATAACAAAAATGTGACTTTTAAATTGGTAAGTACACTCTGTACTCAGACTCGTGTATATTCCGGTTCTCTACACAGACCGTATAAGCAGTTTACAGCCTTGTTTCCTTCTCTTCCAGGCATCCGGCGTGGAGGAGTCTGAAATTCCCGATGATATTAAACTCATTGGATTTGCGCAGCTCAGCATCAGCTAAGTCAAGTCGAGCCACAAACAGAGGATAGAAACTAATGGTATTGCACAGCTGCATTGTAGTCAATTCCAAGAAACCACTACTGCCAAAGAGAAGAGGAGGAGACCGGGAGCTGGCAGCAGTGGGACACTACTGCAGGATGCACGAGGACCACGTTGGAAAGGGGCTCAGTTCATAACAGGAATCACACTTGAAACGTTTACAGTGCGCTTATACAGTAAATGGGAGGAGAGCAATCAACTATATCAGCTCCTTATTTCTTTCTTTCTCCCCCCACTTCATTTACATAAGCACAATCCAAACCATCTCCTGCCAGTACTGGAAGTGATTGCCTTTTGTTTTCAGCGTTTCATTTTCTTTCTTTCTTTAATCAACTGTGCCACAAAACTCACTAGAGTGTCGTGCTTACTTTATAAGGCACTTTATGCTACACTGAAATTGAAAAGCCTTAGTCAGTCATAGATATTACCAGTTTGTTTGGCAAAATAATGGAGCTTACTTTGATTATTTGGTGTATTTCATGTATGTCGATCCGAGAGATCTCAGAAAAGCTCCAGTAACGCTGACAAATGACTCTGAGTCGCTTTAGTTTTATAAGTCTGTACATTCGGATGGATTTTTACGATGACCGGATTCCAGAGTGTGGTGGTTTAGTCAAAACGTAACCAAAGAGTTTAGGCTCTGCCCCCCTTCCCCTCTGAAACAACTGAAATGTACACAGCACTGCAGCAGCAACCCGTCAGACACCGGCTCATGTTCCCTCATCGCTGCCTGCCTCATATTCCTGTACTATGCAATAGGTGTTTCCTTTTCTCTGTGTGTGACCACACGTCGCTAATGATATTTCTCTCGGGTTGAATAATTCCACTTTTTGCGCTTGTTGCTCACTAGGAGCTCGAGAAGTTTGCCAGGCAGTTTTGCAACCTGCAGGGAGGTTTTACTTCCAAGTTTTCACAAGAAATTGAACATTTGACCCACGGCTGCAGCGCGTTGAGCCGGTTACTCGTTACTGATTTCACAGCTCAGGAAGAAGCCAATGAGTTGCTGTTGTCTCAGGCCGACTTGACGGGTCAAGTGCTGCACGTAGAAAAACTGAAACTGTTCAACCAAAGTGAAATAAAGTTTAAAGGGGGAATTTGGGAAAATGGATTTTTTTTTTTCTGTCACTTGTCTCAAGTGGTTTTACGCAGATAGTTTGGTGTTATTCGCCTCCGTTTCCCACAGCTGTGTTTTAGTGCTCCTTAGCGAACGTTAGCATGCTAACATGCTAAACTAAGATCACGCCATTGGACATCACCCTGTGAGCTGGTCGGCGGGCGTGCGGCTGCACACGCTTGGTTTCGTTGCCATTTACCTGCATTGAGATGGATCACTGAAAAGCTCAACAAATAAAACCTCAACACATAAAACCCAAACCATCTGCACGCCCAGACACCCCCGGTACACCGTTCAGACATTGGCACAAGTGGCCCTTTAAACGTCCAGGGGCCGCTTCACAAGCAGCAACAGCTCCGTCGCCGCTCCTCGTGCAGCTCGGTGTCTTTGTGTCGCCCCGAAGGGCTGAAAACTGGCTCCTAGTGGTACTGATGTAAGTGGTGTATGTAAAGACTCCACGCGCACACCCATCATGAGGTTGTTGTGTAACCATGTAGATGCATCGACTGTTCACTTGTAAATGGAGATGAAGGCGGAATGAGACTCCGTTGGATTTGCTTTGCAGTCTTTCCCCGGTTCACTCATCATGCACACACTCTGCTGAATTGGCACCTTACTGACATGTTAACGCGAGTGTGTTCATCACTCTGCAGGTGATGTCATGACGTGTCCCCGGCTGTGTAATGAGACGGAGCGCAGGTCAAACTTCTCTCCCTGTGTGTGATAAAATGATTGATTATCAAAGGCTTTAAGCTGAAAGGCACTTCGAGGTCCTACTTTACTTTCCTCTTTGTTCACTCATCAGAAAATCACCGTTCTGTCTCTTATGGAGTCACTGAATGAATAGTATTTAATCATTTAATTGGCAAGTACATTTTTCTTTTTTACAGATCATTACATATATTTAAAAAAAAAAAATTGATTACGAAATGCATAATTTGAAGTGGAATATTTGTGATTACATACAAAAGCGATTCCTTGACATGTATCTTATTAGAAATGACAACACATGCAAATGATTTTAGTAGCTGAATAAAGTCACATGATGAAATCCAATGATTGAGGACAATATTTGATTAAAGTATGATTCTTACAGTCTAGTTTTCCTTGTTTTTTTGCTTTAACAGGTCAACCATTTGGTCCATTTAATTACTGACTACGGACAGTTAAACATTTATGTTTCACTGTCTAACGGGAGCTCGGATCGGAAATCAGAGGTCAGAGTTTCACACAAGTTCTGCAGTGTGAAGATGGTGGATTTTGGAGAGATCCTGAGAACCATCGGAGACTTTGGCTTCTTCCAAAAGATCATCCTTCTTGCGTTAGCCTTCCCCAACTTCTTATTCCCCATCTTCTTCAGCAGTTTCCTTTTCATGCAGTCCGATCCGGAGCGACACTGCAACACGGACTGGATCCTCCAGGCTGACTCCAACCTGACCACGGGCCAGCAGCTGAACCTCACGCTGCCCCGCCAGGAGGACGGGACCTTCAGCAGGTGTCAGATGTTCGTCCCTGTGGAGCGGGACATCGGAGACATCCGGGAGTACGGGCTCAATGAGACCACGGCGTGCCAGCAGGGATGGAAGTACCACAGCAGCGTGTACGAGGCCACCATAGTCACGGATGTAAGTGGCTGATGATTCGGGAGCGGTGCGTTTCTTCTCAGCCCTGCTGATCTTGTGCTGTCGTTTGGCAGTTTGACCTCGTCTGTGACGAGTCGGAGATGCCTCATCTTGTGCAGACGATATTCATGGGCGGTTTACTCGCTGGTTCATTCATCTTCGGCCCTGCAGCTGAATCGTAAGTGACTAGAAAAAGAGGAATTCGGTCAAGTGCAAAGAAACCTACAGCTTGAATGTAACGGGGAACTACTCTCTAACTTCCAGGTACGGACGCAGAAGAACCACGCAGTTACCAGTTGTTCTCCTGCTGATATTCGTCACAGTTGCTGGCGCGTCTCCAAATGTCTATGTTTACATGTTGGCACAGTTCATAGTTGGAGCTGCACTCGGAGGATATAGAATTAACTCCACCGTATTGGGTATGACTTGATTTAATGCAACCAACATGTCTGATCTCTGTTCAATAGAAATCTGTATTTGTAGCTGTGAAGAGACTGAATTCCGTTGTAGCTACAGAGTGGATTGGAGTCACCAAAAGGTCCATGGCCGCGTGTGTGAGCCAGATGTTTGCAGCTGTTGGACAGTGTGCCATGGCTGGCTTGGTCTATGCTATCCGTGACTGGAGAAAAGTGCAGTTTGTCATAGCAGGAGCGCAGGCCTTTATATTCCTGTACATATGGTGTGTGCTGTTTAATACTATTCTTTTGATTTGAATGAATCTTCTTGGTTGATCGGTTTACATTTTGTGAGTGACTCCCAACACCTCGATGCGAATGATCCTTCCAGGTGGATTCCGGAATCTGCGAGGTGGTTACTTGGACAGGAAAGAACCGAAGAAGCACATAAGTTGATCCGTAGAGTTGCAGCGATCAATAAAAAGAAAATTCCAGAAAACCTGCTGGATGAGGTAAGTCACACCCTAATTCATTGACCTCTGACACTTAACTGTGCAGCTGTGAACAGGTGTGAATGTGTGAACGAGCAGAAGTCTGCGTTTGGACCATGATGGGTGCTGAGGGGCGGGGCTTAGGACAGGTTTATACAGGTGTTACCTGAACACCCCGTGTTATAATAAGACATTTGCCCCTCAGGTGACTGAGAAACGAGAAGTCCAAAGTGGAGGAATCAGAGCAATCTTGACCTCATCAGTCCTGATGAAGTATTTGTTTGTTATATCCTTTGCTTGGTAAGTTTCAAGCACCATTTGGAAGCACGTTATGTATTTAATTAAATACATTTTTTTGTGATTTGAAGGTTTTCATTAAATCTAGGCTACTTCTGCCTCGTTCTGAATGTGGGGAAGCTTGGTCTGAACATTTTCCTGGTTCAGTTCCTCTTTGGGATCACCGAGGTGCCGGCACATTTCCTCTGTATTTGGGTTCTAGAGTTGATTGGGAGAAAGAAATCGCTCATATCGTCCCTCCTGACCGGCAGTTTCTTTTGCCTCCTGACCCTGGCGTTCCCTCGGGGTAAATGTCCCGTCCTTCACGTCCAGCACATGAAAATACAGCCGACTGTCCGCTGAACTCTAATTTAAATTCCAGACAGCGCCGTTGTTATCACGGCCCTCATTACCGCTGGGAAGTTCTTTTTGAACTGGGGGGGCTCCGTATGCATGGTCTACATCCAGGAGTTGTTTCCCACTTCTGTCAGGTAACCAAATAGAAGTCTAACAAGTCCTGTGCATGGGTTTAGATCTTCCATTGTGCATCTGAAGGTGGACTCCACTCTCGCAGGCAGACAGCCGTTGGCTTTGGCTCCATCGCCTACCGAGGCGCCGGCCTGCTGTCTCCTTTGCTCAACGTTTTGGCTGCGTACCACCGGTCCATTCCCGTCGGGGTCTTCAGCAGCCTGACTCTGATCAGCGGGGCGCTGGTCTTCCTGCTTCCGGAGACGAGGAGAAAAGAGCTTCCCGATTGGACGAACGAGGCCGAGCGCAGCAGGTACGGGGGCGGGGGGATTCAGTGAGGAGTCGTGTTTTCATGGGATCGGTTTCCACCATCCACACTGCGTCTGCCTCAGGACGTTCTGCACTACCGATGGTGCTAAATCTCTTTTGTTACGTCCATACAAAAAACAAAATGTACAAATGACAATTTATGGACCATTATGGACCATTCGAGTACTTTCCCGTCCGCTTCAATCGGAACTACTCGTCACACTTGTGTGATTGAGTTCAAAATAACGTTTTAACAAAAAGTCAGACAGGTGAAGATCTGAATTATGTGGTTTAAAGATTGTCTTCTTTTATTTCTAGGAATATGACCGAGAAGAACACAGGAAGTGACGCCAACATCGTCGAACACAACAGCAGAAAATCCACCAAACTCTAGTTGGAATGCCATATTATTACAGGGGGTTTTCTTGTGTATTGTCAGAGCTATATATACAATATATATATACAATATATATATATATATATATTGTATATATATACATACACACACAGTAGAATACTTTAGTTTGGACACAATGTTTCCGTCGATCTTGCCGATTGGCCCCGTTGTTGGTTCACTGCGTCTGACGGAATCGTCTTTATTTCAGTCTGTTACTGTTTCACTGTTCTAGCAGCAGCCGGCTGCTCTTGAGAAAGTTGGCTGAAGAAATGATAAACCCAGATCATGCACAGCAGCTAAAGTGCAGAAGAAGTCCGTGAAGTACGGGGAACAATGTTGAATGCATAAGCTGGTGGGAATGTAAACACTGAGTCCACAGGAGGAGGTTTGACTTGTCCACCATTAACACGCTCGTGTAACGATATGAGTGGTGACCTCCACCCGCTGCTTATCTGTCTGAAGCCGCCGTGGCTTTATGATCGGCGGTCAGATCATTTACATGTGAGCTCACAAGCAGTTGAGTTTCACATTCAGCAGAGATGTGCGACTTTACCAGGATGCAACATTCTGTGTGTAAAGCTGCAGATGCGTCACATCCCATCGGAGATCAACCCTGAAAAAAGAATGTTTTCTTTATGTTTGACCCTTTGACACACGGACACGTGAGAAGTTCTACAGATGTATTTTCCCATCTGGATGTTTTGAAAGGCTGTATTGTATTTAACACAGACACCTAATGTTAATCAATTAACACATTATGTCTTAATCTTAATAAATAAAATAGAAAAGTGAACTTGTTTTTCATATTTTCCATGGTGATAATATTATTATAACTAGAAAGGCCGTGAACCACTATTAAACGCACACAGGAGTCATTGTGGGGTCTTTCTGTTTCTTTTCAACCCAAACGTCTTCTCTTATATACAAATGTGCAGACGCAACTTTAGTGTTTGACTTCTTTATGAACATTTCATAAATTCTGCTTTGGGGCTTCAGAGCCTCTGACTGGGAACATTTTATTGTCAGCTGTTTGTCGCATGACGTAACAGGTTAAACGTCCATGTCAGAGGGCGGCAGAGAGGTTTCATGCGTCCGCGTGTTGCAAAAGTTGCAGAAAGATCAACAGGACTTTCTGTGAAAAGCACACTGGCTGGATAGAATCTACACTCAAGCACCCAAGTGGCAAACGGTTTTTATCTTGAACTTTAAAATACAATCTTTCATTTTTCAAGATCGCTAAAATGGGCGTTAAACAATTCTTTGGTGGAGGAGGTGAGAGTTTAATGACTGCTGAGGTAAAGGGTCATTTCTTTTTATTTATCTGCCTCATCCTCGCTGACTCAGACAGTCGGGGTTTAAACATTAACCGGCTTTGCTTAAAGGTCACCGTGCAGCAGTATCTCCGAACCGAACATGGCCGATTTTGGAGAGATCCTGAAGAGTATTGGAGAATTTGGATTATTTCAGAAGATCACTCTTTTTGCTCTTTGCTTCCCGAATGTTATTCTGCCTTTTCAATTTGCCAGTGTGTTTTTCATGCAGTCCGATCCGGAGCGACGCTGCAACACGGACTGGATCCTCCAGGCTGACTCCAACCTGACCACGGGCCAGCAGCTGGACCTCACGCTGCCCCGCCAGGAGGACGGGACCTTCAGCAGGTGTCAGATGTTCGTCCCTGTGGAGCGGGACATCGGAGACATCCGGGAGTACGGGCTCAATGAGACCACGGCGTGCCAGCAGGGATGGAAGTACCACAGCAGCGTGTACGAGGCCACCATAGTCACGGATGTAAGTCACAGGTCCCTCTCAGATTTGTAATCTACATATTAAATAGTGTGAATAAAATGACTTTTCATTCCTTTTTCTACAGTTTGATCTAGTTTGCGATCAGGCTAATTTGCTGGCATTCTTATTGGTTGTCTATTATTTGGACCTTTGGCTGAATCGTAAGTGTGCTTTACATTGCAGAGCATGTGTTTACGTTTTCATATGTCACTCGCTGACTCGAGGCCTTTTCTTTCCCAGGTTCGGCCGTAAACGTGCAGCTCAGATTCCAGTCATTGTGATGTTGATATTTACCCTCACAACAGGATTATGTCCCAACTTCTATCTATATTTGGCGTCCCAGTTCATGGCAGGAATTGGATATGGAGGTTTCCGACTGACCGGCGTCAGACTGGGTGAGGTGTTGGTCACTCAATAAACTCGCCATTGTTTTCCTCCCAGTACAAACCACAGGGAGAGCGACTACGTGAAGACATGAATTAATACCTTTGTATACAGTATGAGTAGAATAAAAGCTACCTGCCCCGCGGAAGGTGACTTTAATCATAGACACATACTTAATCCTAACGTACTGCACGCACTTTGTGAGCTTGTGTAACACTAACGCACTTTGTTTACATTTCGTTTAGCTGGAACATCTTCCTTCACAACATTATCTTAAGCGCATGTCTCTGTTCTTCATCAATAACCACCAGTCTCTTAATCAGCTAATGATTCTTAATCAGCCTGTATGTTGGTCAAAAAGCACTTGCATGCATTTGTGCAGCACATAGGAATTATGTGGATAATATTATTATTTGTGAGTGTCTCCAGTCGTATTTATTACTTTTCGTAATCAATGTTTACAGCATTGGCCGGTGTTGGGGCTCCATCATTCGTGGCAGCGGCGTGGATGCGAGCGCAATGAGCTCATATTTGACTGTCACGGATTTCCTGTTTCTAGCCACCGAGTGGATCGGCCCTTCCAGGCGGTCGTGGGGAGCCTGTGTGAGTCAGTTATGTGCTGCAGGACAGGCCGCCCTCGCTGGTCTGATGTACTTCATCAGAGACTGGAGACTGACTCAAATGATCACAGCATCCCTACTTGCTGTCGTTGCGATTTACACATGGTGTGCGCTTTACTCCTTTTTTGACACCCTTTGGTTTAAAGGTAAATTGCGGGTCGCTGATGAGTGTCCCTTATTTCCGACAGGTTTATTCCAGAGTCAGCCAGGTGGTTGTTGGAAAGAGGAAGGACAGAAGAGGCTAAACAGCTGATTACCAAAGTGGCAGCCATCAACAAACGCACTGCCCCAGAGTCTCTGCTGGGAAACGTAATCGTACGTAACAACAGTAATTTGGACTGTGCCGATGTGCATTAAAAAGCTTAGAAGCAAATAACTGACTCACATGAAGCGTTATATAAGAGCGTGTATCAGCTGTCTGTTGGATGAAACAAGCAGGCGTTATACGTGTCGACCTCTTGTTCATTACAGATTGTAAAGAAAGAAAGTGAGAACAAGGGAGGCCTAATAATCCTTATCCAATCATCTGTGCTTAGGAAGTATTTCTTCACCATAACATTGGCATGGTGAGTGACTCCACTGAGCCAATAAGTTATGCATTGACATGCCAAGTAAGAACCTATTTTAAAATTCATATTTCAAATGGTTGAATACTTTGCTTTTTGTAAACATTCAGGTTCTCATTGAATGTTACCTACTTCTGCCTTTCATTCAATGTGGGACATTTTGGCTTGGTTGTCTTCCTGACACAGCTCATGTTTGGTGTGACAACTCCCGGCTCACATGCTTTGCATCTGGCTGTTGGAGACTTTGGGGAGGAAAGTGTCCCTGATGTCCACTCTGCTGACAGGGGGATTCTTGTGCGTCCTAATCTTAGCTGTTCCCCAAGGTAACGCACTTCACAATGTCTTCCTCCGGCTGTCAGTCAGTGCAGCACTTGTGTCCACGCCAGTGAAATGTCACTGGGTGGCCTTTGATCAGATTCAGTACAGATACTCATCACATGATGTTAGGGATCCCCTGACTTTCCCTCTAGCGCCTCCTGCAGGTGATTCAGGGTAAAATCTCATCCATATTACATTGATCACCTCATTCTGAGAACAACCGCGCTATCATGGTTGCTTGTTCTGAGGTAGGTTTTTTAATGTCTGTCCCTATTATTCTGTTTAAGGTAACGATGTCGCTGTCACCACTTTAGCAATATCAGGACGTTTTTTCATCAACTGGTCCGGATCCATATGCAACGTGTACGTTCAGGAGCTGTTCCCCACATCCTTTCGGTAAGCCCTCTCCATCTCACTGTCTCCATCTCACTGTCTCCATCTCACTGTCTCCATCTCACTGTCTCCATCTCACTGTCTCCATCCCACTGTCTCCATCTCACTGTCTCCATCTCACTGTCTCCATCCCACTGTCTCCATCTCACTGTCTCCATCTCAATGTCTCCATCTCACTGTCTCCATCTCACTGTCTCCATCTCACTGTCTCCATCTCACTGTCTCCATCCCACTGTCTCCATCTCACTGTCTCCATCTCAATGTCTCCATCTCACTGTCTCCATCTCAATGTCTCCATCTCAATGTCTCCATCTCACTGTCTCCATCTCACTGTCTCAGGAATCAGGAATCAGGAAACATTTATTTGCCAAAATATGTCAAACATACAAGGAATTTGTCTTGGCGGTTAGTGCGCGACAGTAGACAGACAAGACAGCAGTGCACAAGTAATAAAATAAAGTGGAATGAAATGCTAGTGCAATGGGTTAGTAGAATAAGGCTATGGGTTAGTATAAAACAAGGGAATAAAGTTAAAAAATGTTAAATATTAAAAAGTTAAAGAAAAGCATTAAGCATAAAGTGCACTAACGAACAAGTAACAGACAAGAGACAAAGTGACAAGTGACAAAGTGATGAATTACAGTTAAAGTGGCGTGTGCAGTGTGAGGGGGAGTGACCGGTGGGATGTTATAGTCAGTCAGTGGGGGACCGGCTCTGTTGATGAGCCCGACTGCCGACGGGAAGAAACTGTTGGTGTGGCGGGAGGTCGTAGCCCTGTCGTAGAGATGGAAGGGGCACAAACAGTGCCCCTTCTCACTGTCTCCATCTCACTGTCTCCATCTCACTGTCTCCATCTCACTGTCTCCATCCCACTGTCTCCATCTCACTGTCTCCATCTCACTGTCTCCATCTTAATGTCTCCATCCCACTGTCTCCATCTTAATGTCTCCATCCCACTGTCTCCATCTCACTGTCTCCATCTCACTGTCTCCATCCCACTGTTGCCATCTTAATGTCTCCATCTCACTGTCTCCATCTTAATGTCTCCATCTCACTGTCTCCATCTTAATGTCTCCATCCCACTGTCTCCATCTCACTGTCTCCATCTTAATGTCTCCATCTCACTGTCTCCATCTTAATGTCTCCATCCCACTGTCTCCATCTCACTGTCTCCATCTTAATGTCTCCATCCCACTGTCTCCATCTCACTGTCTCCATCCCACTGTCTCCATCCCACTGTCTCCATCTCACTGTCTCCATCTCACTGTCTCCATCTTAATGTCTCCATCCCACTGTCTCCATCTCACTGTCTCCATCTTAATGTCTCCATCCCACTGTCTCCATCCCACTGTTGCCATCTTAATGTCTCCATCTCACTGTCTCCATCTTAATGTCTCCATCTCACTGTCTCCATCTTAATGTCTCCATCCCACTGTCTCCATCTCAATGGCCGCCCGTAATAGTGGAACGGTCCCCCCGGGGGTTCCAGCCGGGTACCTGTTCTACTCTGTCTCCCCTTCTGGAGCCCTCAGTAGGCATCTGGGTTGCCGCTCTCACCATCCGCCGCCCACCGCACGGTCTCCAGAGGAGGAGGCCATTTCGTGGTCGTCCGGCGGCGACTCACTGGGAGCGTGTGATGGGCCTTGCGGTCCGGCTCCAGGCCACCTACTCCCTTCCCGCTGGGCCGCCGCAGCGATCTCCCGTTCCCGCTCCCCGACTAGCTCCTCCGGCCCCGAGACTACTCCAGGCCCCGACTCGGCCAGTACCGGCCCCGAGACTCCAGGCCCCGACTCGGCCAGTACCGGCCCCGAGACTCTCAGTCCCGACCCCGACTCAGCCAGTACCGGCCCCGAGACTCTGGGCCCCGACCCCTCCAGTCCCGGCCTCGAGACTCATGACTCCGATGCCTCCGATCCCAGCTGCCCGACTCAGGTTCCCTCCCTCCCATCCCGTGGTCCTCTCCCTCCCTCCCGTTGGCGATTTGAGGGCCGTCTGGGATCCGGCCCTTGAGGAGGGGGTCCTGGCAGGGGGTCCTGGCAGGGGTTGCAACAGCTTCCCGCTCCCTCCAGCTGGCAACTCCGGCTTCCTGCATCCTCCCGCCGACGACTGCGGAGGTGTTCCGTGTCCCTGAGCCGCCGCTGACTGCGGGGGTGTTCCGTGTCCCTGACCCGCCGACGACCCCGGAGGTTTCCCGTGTCCCCGAGCCAGCCATTCCAGAGACGTTCCGCACCCTGCAGTCGCCGCTCCGGAGCCGGCCAAATCACCGGAGGCTCCCCGGTTGTTTGCCTGTCCGCCGGGCCGACCCCCAGAGGCTCCCTGGTCGTCCGGTCGCCCGGCGGTCCGACCAACGTCTCTGGTTTCCCTCCCTCCCACCCCTTGTCCGCTCTCTGCTAGTGTGAGCCGCCTGAAATTCGGCCCTTGAGGGGGCGGGCGGGTACTGTCACGGTGCGGTTTTATTTCCTGTCTTATTTTGTAGTTTTCTGCTTCTTGTCTCCTTGGGTAACTTCACTTCCTGCCTTGTCCTGTCATCGTCTGTGATTGTCTGATTGTTTCCACCTGTGTCCAATCACCTGCACCTCCCTAGTGTATTTAAGCCGTGTGTCTCCTGTCACACGTCATTGTCAATCGTCCTGCCTGCCTCTCGTTCCTGCCTGCTCCTCAGTTCCTGTGTGTGTGTGTGTGTGTGTGTGTGTGTGTGTGTGTGTGTGTGTGTGTGTGTGTGTGTGTGTGTGTGTGTGTGTGTGTGTGTGTGTGTGTGTGTGTGTGTGTGTGTGTGTGTGTGTGTGTGTGTGTGTGTGTGTGTGTGTGTGTTTTTTTGCCCGTTGGCCTTTAGCTTTTTGACTATAAAAGTCATCTTTTGTTAATCGGTGTTAATTTGATGTCTCCCACACATTCTTGAAGTCTAACTAGCTGGTCCGTCTCTTCTGGTTTGATCGACGAATACAGTTTTGTCTGCATAACAATGGAAGTTTATGCGATGTTTCCTGATAAGATCGCCCAAAGGAAGCATATAGAGGGTAAATAAAATCGGCCAAAGTACAGAACCTTGTACCAACATTGGTGGTCTTCGAGGATTCACCGTTTACAAGCACAAACTGGGATCGATCCGATAAGTAGGATTTAAACCAGCTGAGTGCAGTTCAGTATGTAGTGCTGTAGTTGGTTTCCGTACAGATTGACTAGTCTCTAATTCAAAAGATGACAATATGATGACAATATTGTTAAAATATAATTCCTTTTTGATTTACCCATAAACCTCGTCCTTTTGAGTTCAAGTAGAAAAGTTTTAATAAAGTATTTCCACAAAAATCTTTAGTAAGTAATGAGCTCTCTGATGTAATTTACCATGTTGAATAAAAAGTCATAAGAACTCTGTTCTATGTTTAAAAATATTCCTAGAGTACAGTAGTATGTTGAAACAAATCATAAAATCATAGTATAATACGTTGTACTATGAAAGCCTGTGGAGGGAGTGTAATGTGACGACGCCTCTCTTCCCCTGGGGTTGTTGTCCAGTTCGCCCTCGTCTTTGTCTGAAGATTTGTTTTGCTGGGTTGTTTAGTTCTGTTTTTGTATTCTTTGAAGGAGTATTTATTACTTTTACACGTGTCTTGACTCCCTTTTCGGTCCTCTCGTTTTCTGGGGGACACTCCAACGTGGCGGTGCTGGTCAGCCTCCTTTAGTCCACTTTCTCCCCTGAGAACTGTTGCCCCGGGAAACCCGGCTGACACCAGAACCCAGCCGGGTCACCCAGCCACTATGTCGCCGACTACATGTGCCTCACAAAAAATGTTACATAGTGGTGGTTGAATGTTTTATTTTCTCCTATCTTTGTAAAGGGAGGACAGTGTGTACTTCACTCATCATTGTAGTGATTCCAGAGAAGCTCTTCCAGGTCAAATGAATTGAGCCTTTAAAGAGGCTGAAGTGGATGATAACAGTCTGTAGTTCATCAATGATCATCATAAACGCAGCTGAAATATATAAAAAATACTTAGTCATTGCCTTACAAGATAAAGTCAGGTTAATCATTTTTTTCAATACGCAAAGTGAGATATCTGACGACAACATGGCGGATTTTGGAGAGATCCTGAAGAGTATTGGAGAATTTGGGTTATTTCAGAAGATCACTCTTTTTGCTCTTTGCTTCCCAAATGTTATTCTGCCTTTTCAATTTGCCAGTGTGTTTTTCGGCGATGAGCCCCGCCCGTCCCAGTGGCTCCAGCACCGCGCCCACCTGCCGCACATGCTCCGCCCAGGTGGTACTGTGGAAAATGACATTGTCCAGGTAGGCGGCAGCCTATGCAGCGTGCGGACGCAGCACCCGATCCATGAGACGCTGAAACGTGGCCGGGGCCCCAAACAGCCCGAAGGGGAGTCTGGTAAGTTGGTACAAACCGTATGGGGTGGACAATGCCGTTTTCTTCTTGGACTATGGCGACAGAGGAATCTGCCAGTAGCCCTTGGTTAAATCCAGTGTCGTAAAGAAACGTGCAGTGCCTAGCCGGTCCAGGAGCTCGTCGATCCGGGGCATTGGTTGGCATCAAACCGTGACACGTCATTCACCCTGCGATAGTCCACGCAGAACCGTACAGATCCATCCTTCTTAGCCACAAGGACAATGGGGCTGCACCAGGCACTGTTGGACTCCTCTATTACCCCCAACTCCAACATACTGTCCAATTCCCTCCGGACCACTTCTTTCTTGTGTTCGGGCAACCTGTAGGGTCGTGACCTCACCGTCACGCCGTGGTATATCTGTGTACCCCCGCCCCTGTCAGACCGCACCACCTCGTAGTCGACGTCCCCCACCTGCCGTGTGACCTCGAAGCGCCCTTGCCACTTGGCTAGGAGTTTAGAGTTGGAAGAAGGAAGTAATACAAGTACCTTTTCTCCCGGTGTGAATCGTCGCAGCCTGGCCCCTCTGTCGTACACCCGTTGTTGTCGCTCCTGGGCCTGCAGCAAATTCTCCCGTGACGTCCGGCCCAGTGTGTGGAGTTTTGCTCGCAGTTCCAGGACGTACTGGATCTCATTCTTGCAGGGGCTTGGACCTTCCTCCCAGCTTTCTTTAATCAGGTCCAGCACCCCTCGCGGCGTCCTGCCAAACAGAAGTTCAAAGGGAGAAAACCCCGTGGAGGCCTGGGGGACCTCCCGCACTGCAAACAACAGAGGGTCAAGCCAGTGGTCCCAATTACGTTCATCGTCGCTAATAAATTTACGGATCATGTGCGGGTGATACACGCTAGTACGAATGGACTTAATGCCCAGTAACCCGTAAAGTTCTCTCAGTGTGCCCGACATGAACGAGGTGAGTCAGAATCTCCTTAGGGATTCCAACTCGGGAGATGACCTGAAACAGAGCCTGCGCGACGCTCTTTGCAGAGATATTGCGCAATGGCACTGCCTCCGGATATCGTGTTGCGTAATCCATGACTAACACAAAGCGATATCCGCGTGCGTTCCGGTGAAACGGCTCGAAGAGGTCCATACCGATCAGCTCGGAAGGAACCTCCACCAACGGCAGACGGCGTAACGGCGTCAAAATCGGGTCATTATCCGGTCTAGCGTTTTCTCGTATCCCATGTGACCAGCCATCGGGTTATAGTGAGCCGCCTGGAAAATCATTTCCCGGTGGATTTTTCGGCACCAGCAACTGTGTGTTTTCCTGCCCCGTCAGAGTGTCACGACTCACTCTATACAGTCTGTCCCTAATCAATGAAAAGTGCGGAAATGACCGCTGCGTCAGGGCGTACCAGATGACCATCAATACAAATCACTTGGTCGTAGGCTGAGCGTAGGGTATCGTCACGAGACTGTTCGAGTGGAAAATCTTTCATGGAGCGAAACTCGGAAGCCGGCGGAGTCTCTACGGGAGTGATCTTCTACTTGCATCGGACCAAGGACTCATCTCTTTTCTTGTCTTGCTGGACCTCAGTGCCGCATTTGATACCATAGACCATTGTATCCTGTTGCAGAGACTAGAACATTTAATTGGTATCAAAGGAACTGCACTCAGCTAGTTTAAATCCTACTTATCGGATCGATCCCAGTTTGTGCTTGTAAACGGTGAATCCTCAAAGACCACCAATGTTGGTCACGGAGTCTCACAAGGTTCTGTACTTGGACCAATTTTATTTACCCGCTATATGCTTCTGTGGCAAGCGTGAGGTCGGGGAAGACTGCCCCGATCGTTTATACTTTAAATAAGGGAAAAAAAGAAAACCAGCAACGGGCGTTGCTGGTAACCCAGGGAAAAAGAAAGAACAAAGATCTATGACTAAAGTAAATTTCTAAATTTAAGCAAAAGGACAACACAAGTTCGCTATACTGAGCAGGCGGGAAACGTGTTTCCAAAGTTTATTTCAACCACAATAAAAACAATTAAAATCTGTCAAAAAGGTTACCGTGTTTTTTCAGGGCTGGGGCCTTCGTGCTCAAGGTGAGTGGGGGGTGAAGGTATAAACTTAAAATGGGAGCACCACAATCCACTCTTTAACACTCCAAAACACACACAAGGATAAAGCAAAAAGGGAGTGAATAAGACACTACACACGAGAGGACACCTTCACCAAAAAGGGTTCACCAGTGAGGCCTTCAGCACCTGGAATTACAAAGAGGGAAACCAAGAACATATTCAAAAACAAGAATTTACAAGTACCAAAAGACAAATCCAAAAATAATATCAAATGATACAGGGTAAACGGGTTTTTTTTGTGCTTTCTCCCCCAGCAGGTCTCCGTAGATCGTGGTTCCTTCTGGACCCTGGTCCTGACACCTGCCGTGGCCCTGCTGACGCCTGCTGCTGCCATCATCATCATCATCATCATCATTATTATTTTAGATATTAATCATATTACTGTACTCATAAACCAACATTACCCTCTCCTGAAGTCTCTGTGCTCTCCCTCCCCACAGGCTTCTGTGGATGGTGGTGATGGTGGTTCTATCTGATTTTTTTTTCCTGCCATTTAGCCCCGATATTCATTTCTGTAAAAAGCAGTTCTCTTTTTCATATTGACTCCGGCTATAGCACTGAGCCCCAATGGCTACTTCTACCATGTCCATGATGAAAGTGGGAGCAGCAGGCTATCGCATCAACTCTATTATACTGGGTATATCATTTTACACCACATGATTTGTATCTTCTAAATCAACCTTTACACAATAAAACATTATCAATGACTATTATGATAGTCATTGATAATGTTATAATAACAAATTTATTGCAATATATTATTTAATCATAATATCATTGACACCAATTGTTTCGTGGCTGTTACAATGTCAGCTAATGTACCTTTAAACTGTAAATCATATTGTAGAATTTTTTAAATGATTCTAAAGTTTGTGACTTGTTAACTGTGTATCTGTCTGATGGCAGGATGGAGCCACCCAGAAGGCCGTGGGGGGCGTGTGTGACCCACCTGTTTGGTACGATCAGTGCGTCCTGCCTGCTGTGATCTACGTCATCAACTAATCGCCGCAGCTCCAACTGCACTGCTTGTTATCTACATATGGCGCTGATCAAGTGCTTATTGCCTTTTATATTTGCATTTGTAAATTATTGAAGATTTGAGCGGAAAGTTTCTGTTTCTGTGAGGTTCGTTCCAGAGTCGTCCAGGTGGTTGTTGAGCGGAGGAAGAACAGAAGAGGCTAAACAGCTGATCGTACAGACGCACTGTTCCTGACTCACATCTCACATCTCCGTTCTTCATTATCCACGTGCTTGGGCGGTCATTTTATGCTGCTGAAAAGTATTTTATCATTACTTTTACCTATCCACTTGTTTAAAAAAATGTTTTTTACCAAAGACCATTTTTGTTACAGATTGCTGTGAATGATGCTGGGAACAAAGGAGGCATTCAAGTTATTTTAAGATTAACTGTATTGACTAAATTTCTCTTCATCACAATGTTGGCATGGTGAGTTGAAATTTCTATTTCTTAAAGATGCATTTTTAATGTAAAAGTATAAAAAATCACTCTTTATCTAGTCATAAACATTCAGTCATTTGAGCAGCCTCATTTGGAAAATGTGCTGATAAAGCTGCACAATTGTGTTTTTCTAACTAAGGTGGCGAGTTGGGAGGTAACTGGAAAATAAGAGGTTAATAAAGCTGCATAATGTAAGATATTCAAGGTCCCATCTTCCACATGAATAATGTGTTTTCTTCCTGTCTTTAAATTCAGGTTTTCACTGACTCTGAAGTACTGCCTGTACTTCAATATGGGAAACCTCGGCTTGAATATCTTCATCACCCAGTTGCCATTTGGTGCCTTTGGAATACCAGCTCATTTACTATGTGTGTGGCTGCTGGAGGTTTTGGGCAGAAAAATATTACTTGTAGCAACACTTCTGACAGGAGGACTCTCTTGCATTCTTGTCTTGGCTGTTCCACAAGGTAGCCCCATTTCATGAAAATCATAACTTCTTGTTTGTGCTTGATGTCTGTTTTCAACTTTGGTTTTCCTGTTTCTTTTTTCTCGTCAGGAAATTCCTTTGCTGTTACGTCCTTGGCCGTCTGAAGATTTGTTTTGCTGGGTTGTTTAGTTCTGTTTTTGTATTCTTTGAAGGAGTATTTATTACTTTTACACGTGTCTTGACTCCCTTTTCGGTCCTCTCGTTTTCTGGGGGACACTCCAACGTGGCGGTGCTGGTCAGCCTCCTTTACTCCACTTTCTCCCCTGAGAACTGTTGCCCCGTAGCACGTTTCTTTCTGATCTCGGCTCTTACCGAATGTGACGTCTTTGTGCAGGACTTGTTCCCAACATCTGTTAGGTAGGTTTTCAAAGGCTTAATGTGCAAACATCCCAGACCTTGAAGAAACCGCATTCAAGACGCGGTAAAAGGTCTTTGGTAACCTACTTAGGTTTCCAATGGCCTTACATCTTCAGGTACAGCACCCCTGGTTCCAAAGCTGGGACATGAATCTGAAGGGGACCTTGATTTTGCCATCAGGGCCCCTGAGCTTTGAAACAACCTGACTTGAGGTGAACTATTTTTTAAACATTTCATACAGTACCTTTTGATAGATTTCTTTTCATGGGATATTGTCTTTGAATTGTTTTTATTGTAGTCTAGTATTGCAGCAGTACGTCATTAATATCCTGGGTGCTCATTATAGCTGTATGCTGGACATCTTGTGGTTGTAGTTATTTACAATGTCTCAAAAGAGAATGTTTCACCTTTGTCAACCTGCCGTCTGATTGACAGCCCTCTCACTCCTCACTATACACACCACAGTCGGGGATTACTTGCAGTGCGTTTGGCTCACAAGCGAACCGAGCTACCAGTACACACACCGATGTACCTCACCGCAACTCAGCTGCTGCTCAGCAGGCACACAACTTGTGGGGTATAAGGCCGGCACCCCTCGAACAGTTTACGCATTCTGGAAACACCTGCACCTGGCGGATATCTGCACTCTCTCCAGGTTTGAACTGCTTTGGTTTTCTGTTAAAAGGCTTTTCTCCATCATGCGTCTGCTGTGCTTTTACAGTCATTTTAGGTGTGCTGTATAAATAAGCTTCTTTTTACATTATTCTATGTGATCCCAATGTGAAAGGTCCATTGTTCCACTTCCTTTCCCCTCCAGACAAACAGCCACAGCTTTCGGAGCCATGTCAGCCAGACTAGGTGGATTAATGGCTCCACTGCTCAACATGCTGGCCGTGTACCACTGGTCCATCCCCACCACGGTCTTCAGCAGTGGAGCGCTCTGCTTCCTGAGTCCAGGAGAAAAGAGCTTCCTGAGTCAACCGATGAGGCCGATAACCACAGGTGACTATTGCAAATACAGTATGTTCCATCATTACCAACCCGTCATTGTCATCAGACACATTCATCGGCCGTTTTATCGTTTGCTGCCAGATTTCTGTCATTGATCTTTGACTTTCAGAAAGGGGACCTCCGCAAAGCGGGCCAGCTTTTCAAGTTCAATATCAACCAACATGTAAACGTGTTTAAAATCCATGTTCATACACATAATCGCTTTACATCAAATAATAGTAGAAAAATAACAAATTACCATTTGCTTGTGTGTGTATTAATTGAAGGCTTCATGTGTCAATGAATGTAATGAAGCTGTTAATAATGACCTACATTGTTTTTAGTTATTTTTACACTTCACATACACAAGATATAAATCAGATGTTCCTAATCTAAGCAGTAAGCATGGCTCTATATATGTGAATAATTTCTATATGCTTGTCCTTTCACAAAATATTCATTAACATCCTTTCATAAAACTGACTGTTTTCTATTAAATGTGATTGTGTTCTACTCATCAAAGTTACAGATCTGTCTCTTAATATTTAAAAATGGTGGGTACATAGAAACTGTACCAACCACACAATATTAATTTGCGAGATTTACAGTAAATTATCTGAAAGCTAAGGATGTAAATTTGACATGTTCTTGCCTCAGTGTCAGATACGAAAATCAATACCACTTTCATGTCTGTATGTTGCCCTTCACTTTAGTTTATTAAACAGTGCCTGGCATTTAATTCAGTCAAATTAAAGACATCATTAATCAAAACTGCATCAGTGCTTTGCAATTTTATTCCAGGGAGATCATCAGTAAGAAACAGCACTTCACATTCATGTGGAATCACTTTACAAGTTATTCTGAAAATGTTAAATCCTTCACTTCTCTTTGCATTAATGTTTTTTTTTAAAATCACATCTATGTAATACATTTCATTCATTTTCCAGCTTTGATGTCACACACACATTCGGTTATTACCACACAAACGTGAAATCTGATTAATAGGACAGATGCTTGATACAGATGTCTTAATAAAAAGCAGAAGTGAATTAAATCAATAATCCTTGTGCTTTTAAAAAAATAATTGGAAGTGGTATTACATCCGTACTCTTAACAAAATTCCTTTCTTAAAAGCATGTTAATATTTTTTGGGGTGTACTTTCCAACAATGTGCATAACATCACATTATCCAATCAAGTCATCCATCCAGCTACTACCTGTGCTTTCGGGTATTTGCTCCATGCTGTTGTTCCCAGACACTAAAAGACTGTCCAGAAATACATTTGCATCCGTCGGCGGCGACACAGGCAGCAACTGTGGTTCAGGTGCAAAGATGTCGTCAGCACAAGGACCTGTCCAAGCTGAAGGAGCAGCAGTAGATGACGTATCTGGACCAACCGAATCATCGGTGGAGTTGGTAGCTGGGCTGGATGGCAACACAGTAAACACATCAGTAACTCCGAAGATGTCATCCAGAAAGTTGGACGCTTGGTTCGAGGAAGCGAAAGCTCCTCCTTGGTGAGGCTCTTTTGATATGATGTGAGTGTCGAGCTGGCTGAAAGGGTCCGAGGAAGTGGCTTCGGGCAAAGCTGCGCCAATGAGAGAAGATACAGATGTACCACTGGGGCTGATTAGATAAGAGGAATCTTGAGGAACTCTGCAATTCAGATCAAGAAATGCTTCACCAAACACGTCTCTTCCTCCTTCGTGTGATGCATCAAGCTGTTCATTTGGATTGTGAGAAGATTCTTCAGCATTTATCTGAAAGGCCAACGGGTCATCGCAGGCTGAACTGGCACCATTGCCCAAACAATCATCATTTATCCATGTAGAGCTCATGATGTCATCAGGAAGTATCTCAGCTATTAACTGATTGGTCGACTCCTCGGATGCCTGGCTGGCTGACTGCAAAGTTTTTGTCAGATCTTCAGACTCAGCTTTTGTAGGATCCGTTACAGACAGGTCTGTGGACTCACTGCTTTGTAGATCTGATTCAGGATCATCACTTTGTTCTGTAGCGCTTCCATCATCTCCTGTTTCACTTGTTGAAGTCTCGTGCAGGTTGGATGGCTCTGTTGATTTGCCTAAAGACCCAATCGTGTTATTGTCCATTGTGTTAGTCTCCGGGAAAGAAGGCCGTCCCTTTAAATGCTCTTCGGCCTCTTGTTCCTGGAGCGGAGCTTGAGAAAGGTTGCCCTCCTTCTGGATCTCTTTTGTCACGGCCTCCTCAACCTCTTCTGTCTTTTTGTCATGATCAAGTGTTTTATTATAATTGACTTCATCTTGCGCAGCCAATTTTGTGGCTTCTTGAGGCTTCTCCGAGAATGTCTGAAAGAGCCTTCCTAAGAGGCCACCGCCAGGTTTGACATGTCTCGGTTCAACCCTGTTTGCTTTGTCATTTCCACCTGACGGGAAGATCTCTGACAAAGGAGTCTTTGCTTTGGACCAGGATCCCAGTTGGACTTTTGTCTTTTCAGCCTGTTTTGCATTTGTTCTCACAATAGGCTTCTTCGGATCACTGCCATTTTCATTGTCCTTGGCTGACTCAGTCTTTTCAAATTGTTCCTTATTCCTCTTAAAACCAGCCTCCTCTCCATGCATGTCTTCTTCTGGACTGAGAGTGCTTGGACCTCCTGATTCACAGCGGTTGACAGAGTTTCCTGGAATGAGATACGCTACCTCAGCTGGCTTTTGGTGTTTCACATCCTCTTGAGTTGAGTTAAAAATGTCAGTGAAACTCTGAGAACCAAGTGATTCCTCAACCTTGTCTTCAGGTCCATTTAGAACCGTTAAATCAGTCTGTGGGACCTCTTGGTTGTTCTCCACATCAGCAACGAGCTGTTTTCTGCTGAGCTTGAATGAGATTTGATGAAGATTATTTTCGTCACTGCCATCTTCTGTATCCTTGGATTCATTCACTCGACTCAGGTCATGAGCAACGTCAACATCTGGAGCAAATCGTACAGACTTCTTAACTTTTTCCCCATTAGCGTGCAGCCTGTTAGATGCTTGATAGTTTGGTTTGGAAGTGAGGGCCATATTTGTCTCTCCATACCTCCAGTTTGTGACAGGATCGCTCACAGGAGGCAGAGAAAAGTTCCGTCCTGTCGAGGAGACGCTGTCTTTGGCTGGATCACTGCTGAGTTTTGTTAGCTTGGATGGCCACTTCTCACTTGAGGTTTTCTTCGATTGCTCGTTGACCCCTGAAATAAAGGAGCTCATTCCTCCACCATGGTGAATCTTTAATTGGTTGTTGTCACTTTTGTGTTGCTCTGCAGTCAATGCTCCACCGATGCCAGAGAGCCTTTTTCTCACTTCTGTTTGCTGTGCGGAATTAAACCCGGGACTCTTCTTCTCTGGGGGCCAGCGCATTTTTAGTTTGCCCGTAACATCAGCACCACTGTTGTATACCATTGCTCGTGCAGAATTCTTTTTAACAAACACACCATCAGAGGACTCTCCTGATCTATCGGGTGTGCCTTTTGTCATTTTGGACGAAGCATTTGGCTCCTCTGTGACGTTATTTTTCTGAACCCAGCGGTCTTTATGTTGCTTGTATCCAAATCCTTCATCATAATTTCCTGTTCTTTTAAAGAGCTGTTGGTAGTGAGAAGTGCAGTAGAACTCTCCATAAAGAGATGAACAGTTGTAGATGCTGCAATAAAGTAAAAACAAAGAATATTATAATAGAAAACCAAATCTAAAACCTCATTACCTGAAGTTTAATTCATAATATACTTTTTTTGTGCTCAGCTGGAGATGATTTCAAAGCATTGGAGATTTCCCAAAAATGTTTCAGCTCATTATTGTTAGAATATTCCTTAAATTCATGCATAGTATTAATCAGGTTGAATGTCCATCATAGAGAGATTGACTTTTCATTCTGTGGAAAATGTCTCACCTGAGCTTCTTCTTACAATGTTTACAGCAGAAACAGTTGATGTGCAGGATACGTTTATTGGCCAGCATTTTCTCCATTGGGTAGACAGGTGTCAAACAGGCAGAACACATATCCTTCGCAGGTGAATCAAACTGTGATGATGAAACAAATTCAGTTTACGGTATTTGATATAAAATATTTGAATGTATTTGCCTTTCTGTCATTATTTCATTTATTACCTTACATTACAACTTTATATCTGCATTGGAATCCTTTGTTACGGTTTTCGAAAATATATATATATATATATATATATATATATATATATATATATATATATATATATATATATATATATATATATATATATATATATATATATATATATTTTTTTTTTTTTTTTCTTTTTAAAAAACATAAAAGCGTCTCTCAACCACTGCACCTGGGCACAACAGGTGCTCCCTAGTGGGTCCGAGAGCTACTGCCAACATGTTACATTTAATTAAAATACCTTTGAGGTAATTAACAAAGCTAACTTTGAGTTTTTTAGGAATTAAACATGTGAGAAGTATCATGCTAATTGGCGAAAGGTGCTGGTAGCTGAATTTTGTTGTGTTCAGACTGATCTAAACTGCTTAAGTTCCCAGTCTTCATCTTAATATAATCCAGCTGGCTGCCGTCTTATATTAAGCACACAAAGATCAGAGTGGTCTTCTTTTCTAACATTTTGAGAGAAAACAAACTACCTTATCTATCTATATTGCCAAAATCGTTTGGAGAATATGCAAAAGAATTTCCACGATTGCAAGCTAACTAATGACTAATAAAAGATCACTAATCCATCCATCTTCAAACCGCATATCTGTCTGGAGTCAATCTAAGCTGAGATCAGTAATGGTTGTTGATATTATAACTTTCAATATTAAATTCACTTAAAAGTTTTGCAATAATAATGAGAGACCAGCATGAAGAATATGAATAAACTTTTAAAACCGTTTATTTGACAATTCACACAACAGAACATTAAGTATAAACTGCATGTTTATTACAAGAACTTTGTTTTCAGTTTTTTCAAGTGGCTACAGTATAAAATGAGACAATTCTTTTATTAAAATTCAACAATTTAGTACCCAAATAAGATCCATTCTACAACTAACAAAACGTTCTCATGAAAACACATTATAATAAATACACAAATAACTGCTTTCCTAAAGGTCGGGTAAACACACGTCTCATTCAGTGCTTTTCCTTTGGTTGGCTAAATGTTACGAACACCGTCCCTCCCTCGTTGGTATGGTTCAACACTTTCTCTCTGGTGCGGCCAGACCTTCGAATCAATGGCGATGTCATGACTTCGTATCTGGCTGGATTACCAACCACCTCAAACAACGCTGACGACTTACTGTCAGACTGTTTGGTGACAGTTGTTGAAGTCACAGATGAAAGAAATACGTTGCCAAAGCCATCCGTCTCTTCGTACGTTTCACTGACAGTTTTGGTGCCAACTATTCCGGCAGGTGGCTCTGGAGCCGTTTTCACTTCGATCACACTGACATTGCGATGTGCAG